ACGTTGGTAACGGTGATAAACTCTGTTTATTTACAATGAAACAAAATAACAACAACACAGCGTCTATAAGCTGGTGGACGCCGTCGGTGTGGAGATTGCCCACGGCCGAACGGTCGTTCACAAAGGTACAAAGGACGGGATAAACGCTCACCGATGCGCCGGAAGGTTCCCCGTTGTCGCCGCCGCCGAATCCCAGGAAGAAGAGGGAAGCGAGACTGCTGTCCGCTGGTTTTAAGATAACGGCGGGGGCGAAGTGGCCAATCAAGGAGCGACACGTCGATCTCCTTTGTGCGGGGGTCCGTTACGGAAATCGCCCCAAGGGGGGAGAGGAGGAAGCCACTCACAGTGGTAAGCAGCGCCACCTCTCGCTACGCCAGCGCGGCCGCCACGGCGCGCCAAAACGCTGACGCGACAGAATGTTGAGGGATCACAATCCCCACAAGGGATTAGAGAAGGCCGGTCTCTCGGGGGGGGGGGGGGGGGGGCATGGAGCCTGGGCTCCCCCCCCCCCTCCCCCCCCCCCCCCCCCGAAACCTTCCATTTTGCTGGGACCTCCTTTCCCCCCCTCCGCCTCATAAAGCATTTCGTCATGCACCCCCCCCCCCCCCCCCCCCCCCCCCAAGCCCGAAACAAAATCCTGGCGACGTGCCTGGATTACAGAGACAACGCTAGCTGAAACTGTTTCCGTAGAGTAGGCAGCACCAAAAGAAAACACCCCCTGAAAACAATTTCTGGCTACGCCACTGGAGCATCTGATGGCCAATCGCTGCGCGAGAAATACAAGGAGCCTATCACTGTTGAGAAATCCAGTGAGTCTGCTTCCCCGCAAAACCTCATATTATGCTCTAACTGAAAAAAGAAAAAAAGGTACAACATATTTTTTTGGTTCCTTTTGTACGTGTTCCCTACCTTGTCTCATCCAACGATGGACCAAAGCCCACGGGCCGCTACACTCTAAAAAAAATGCCTGTAAGTCTACTTTCACGCACAACACTCGGAAAGCCAATCATCGCAACTTACGGAGGCAGCTCAGCGAATGACGATGCCAAAACATATGTTTAGACCAAAAAACACAGTCTGAGTTTTGACATGAAGCAATGTAAAACGTCAAGCTTGCATTACTTAATGTCACAACTCGGACTGCGTTTTTTGGTCTAAACATATGTTTTGGCATCATCATTCGCTGAGCTGCCTCCGTAAGTTGCGGTGATTGGCTCTTCGTGTGGTGTGCGTGAAAGTAGACGCACAGACTTTTTTTAGAGTGTAGGCCCGATCACGTTCCACGCTAAACTATGACATGCTTAACTTTGATTAGAAGTGGACGAATAATGCTCCGAATCCAAAAAGCGCTGCATCATTTCTATACACTATAAAAAAAATCTGTGCGTATACTTTCACGCACAGCACTCGAAGGGCCAATCACGGCAACTCACGGAGGCAGCTCAGCGAACGACGATGGCGAAACATATGTTTAGACCAAAAAAAACGCAGTCTGAGTTGTGACATTAAACAATGCAAAACGTCACGCTTGCATTGTTTGATGTCACAACTCAGAGTGCGTTTTTTGGTCTAAACATATGTTTCCGCATCGTCATTCGCTGAGCTGCCTCCGTGAGTTGCGGTGATTGGCTCTCCGAGTGCTGCGCGGGAAAGTATACTCACAGACTTTTTTCAGAGTGTAGCTTCGAGACTACACAGAGCCTGATAGCCGGTATGTCGTGGCTTGCTTTGCAATTTAAAATTGATGAGTCACTCAGTGCTCTTCGATTCGAATTACTGTACGCCCATCCCCACTAGTGATCCGAGACGCGGGCACCGATAGGTGCATCGAAGCGAAATACCACGCAACTTCTAAGTGGCTCGTGATTGGATCTGGCTCTCTGTAGTTTTTCCTTTAGTCCATCGTAGGATGAGACGAAATATATAGGAAAGTGACACGCGGGAGCTTTTAAAAGTGATTGCAACAAAATTAGCACGACTCGGGGAAGCCCACAGATGGCAGCGCATCAAACGACTGGCGCAACCAGCTGTGCAGATGACATAGTGCAGTGCGCGACGTGGACGTAAAAAAGGGGACCGCAAAAGAGAAGGACGGCATGAGTTACGAAATAGGCGTCTATCTAGTGATAGGGTCAAAAAAAGGCGCTACAATCATACGCGCCACTAAATGCAAAAATAGATAGAAGAAACAAATAAAATAAAAACACTATGAAAAGCGCACGAACAAAAGTAAAACAAATGATTGGGAACATATCTCAAAAAACGTCCTGGTGCAGCTAGGGGACAGCCCGCCTAACAACGTGGATGAGTTGGATGAGTGAACATCGACAAAAGCCGCAAATGCACGTTTATATCCTGGTGCGACGAGTTCGATCCCACTGACCGATTGGATGAATGCCGTTTCCATACAAAGACGGGGGGCTACCGTGAAAGGAGCTTCGTCTTTTCTCAGTTCGGACGGAACTTGTAAAAAGCGGCACCTTGGTCTTGATAAAGGCCGTGAAACGTTCTCGCGTTTTCTGGGTTTTTGTATTCCACTCGCGGTTAGCTTTCACGATCACTCAAAATCTGCAGCAAGGAAAGGACGATGCCGGTATAGAGATGAAGGTGGATTTTCGTGACAGCATCAATAGAACCACGCCATACGCGGACGACGATTACAATGCCATTTTTCAGACAATCGACTAGCGTGACCATATTTGAAAAAGGATCCGGCTGGGCACAGAAAAATTGCGACGACGAGCACGTGTCTCAACGCTTCCAGACTGAAAAGAGAAACCGGCGAAGAGCTATCGCATCGCGTTCAAGGGCTGCTTGCTACCCGAAGACACGGAGACGCCAGCAGCAGCAGCCGTTTGGGCGACCGTTTTTTCGCTGTAAAATCTAGCCGCGGCGATCAACGCCTTCTCCATAGCTATGCTCGACTTCGGGCTCGGGAGAAAAGCCGGCTGCGTTTACCTGAGCAGGTGGCCCACGAATTCGACGTGAGAGGGGGAAAAACGACGCGCAGGAGGGGAGGGGGGACCCGTCTTTGTACAACACACAACCGTCCCAAACGGAGACGCGGCCCAGGTAGCTTTCTCCGCGCGGAAACACGCTAGCACGCCGAGCGAAAAAACCACGACCTCGCTCCACACTCGCACGTTGATCGCGGATTGAGAATTAAATCGACTCACCGACGTTTCCTCCTCCACAATCCGTTCGGAGAGTCCACAGTTTGCTTTCAAATGAGAAGCGATCGACAGCCGTGCCGCCAAGCGCTCAAAAACTTGGTCCGGTTTCGCGTTGCGCTCGCTACCTCACGCCGCGCGAAGCACTGCTGAGGCTCTACCCGATACTACAGCAGTACAAGGGGTAAGGTGGTTCCCCCTCGCGGACGACAGCGGCCAGAGCGGCGCCACCTCGCCGACTCGTTCACTCACTCCATGGTGAACACTATCATCCCTAGCGAAACGCAAAACATTCCCTATCTAGCGACAAAATGTTTTCATTTCCCTAGCACTGTTGAGATCAGTGATGGGACGAATCACCAGAGATTCGGATTCGGACAGATTCGGAAATTTCCGAACTTCCCGCGACGAATATTCGGCAGATTCGGAGATTCGTCAGGTTCGTCGCTGGTTGCAGACGGCGGCGTGAACACTTTCGTAAACCTCGCGAACGCGATCAGCTGTGTTTCTTTTTTTAGGTACTGTTACTGCATATAACCAGATTTCTCTTATTTACTTCAACGTATGGTATGTACTGTACTCTTAATCTAAACCCTGGCAGGCGCCCAGGTCCAGCTGAGCTGATCGGTGTGGCAGGCGCCGCGAGAGCGATGAAAAGTGTTGCTCATCCCAACTTCGACCGCGTACCGACAAAGAAAAACGTCGCACTGTCGTTTGTTTCTCCGTTCTCGGCAGCAAGTTTTGTATACGTTAACTTTATTTGATGAAAAAGAAACAACACAGGGGTGTCCACCGCAACTTTATTGTTCAGAAACAAACACCAACTAATTCAGATACCGTATCATTAAACAGAAAGGTACAAATGCAGTACAGGAGAATAGTACAGCGCAAGGAGTTTTAGATTGTTTCCCGTGTTCCGATAACAATACCGGAGTGGACACACGTTGAAGATAATCGAATCGAACATACTTACTTGTGTGGGGTGTGCTACTATGACCGTAATTATAGGCACGAAATGTGTTTGAACCCGGTCGTGGTTTGAACCACGCACGTACGGCATCGATCTCTTCCGGGGGGGACTGCTGCGAACCTCGGACGAGCACGGTGGACGTCTTCGGTCTCCGGGAACCCCGGAGTACGAGAACGTGATCTTCGCGTAAACATCACCTCGCGTTCCGTCGACCCGCCGCTGCACCGGCTGCACGTCCGCCGAATACTGCCGGTCAGGGGCGACCACGCCAAGCCTGACGAAATCCACGAGGAACTTATCGCGCTTGCGTTTCGCCGCAAAGGCAGCCGCGGTGGTCACTGCCATGACCCCGCCGACAACGCCGGAGGTTCCTGGTGCCCAACAAACTCTCGTCAAACCGCCTGTCCCACAACCGACTGTCACTGAAGTTCGAACTGGCCGAACCGCCGGGACCGGGGCGATGAAAACATGCGCTTGTATTTCCACGTGCACCAAGCATGCCTATTTTGGTCGTAATCCGGAACCGAAACCAATTTTCCCGCGATGTCTGGTTACCGTTCTCGACAAACATCCGAAATATTATAAACACAGCGGAACATTTTATTTATTACTATGATGTTATATTACAACAATATTTTGTGCACTTTGTGGAATTTAGGGAATTTAATATCACGAAAAGTTGAAACACTCATCAACGTGATCTGGACACCATGGCAACGCTCCGAATTTTTTCGAACTTTTCCGAATCTCTCGAGAATCGGCTACTTTTCCGAATCTTTCCGAATCTTCAGATTCGGCTCCGAATCTCGATTCGGATAAAGATTCGTCCCATCACTAGTTGAGATTGCTGATCGCTGGCTGTCGCCACTGTCGCCGCACATGTGCTTGTATGAGTTTCGCGGTAGTTTGCTGCAATCGGCCAGCCTAATTTGTGTGTACACTGGAGCAGAAAGTGGTTTTAAACGTGTGTAATGTACAGGAGACTCTGTCCTACGTTCAGACGGCTTCAAGCCAGGTAAGCCTCGAAATATTCCTAGACGAAACAGCAACACGCCGCAGGCAGTCACTATGTTCGTAATCTCTACGACTCGGAAGAAAGAAAAGGAGTGACCTCTTCATCACAATCTTTGAGCTATATGTTATTATCAATAACTATATATATGTAACTACAAATTAAGCTTCTCACAGCTGTTGAGGTAACTATTGTATACAAACTTCGTGTTAAAAATATTCTGTCTTTTCGGTGCAGTGCGACCTCCGCGCACGAGCTCATTTGCTTGAATCTCAATTTCGTGCATATATTTTTGCCTTTAGGACTAACACGGAGCGATGGAGTCATTCTGCGGCAGTAAAGCATGCTCTACAATACAAACAAGGAGACAAGATAGGCGGGTACACCGTTCGCCAGGTATGGAAATAGCCGCATGCCCCTCTCCAATCCCCCCCATCTTTGCATCACCTTCCTTGGATAAGGCTCGTGCTGATTAGTGCTCAAAGCCGCATGCCTCTCTCTTATCCCCATCTTGGCATCACCTTTCCTGGATGACGTTCATGCTGATTAGTGCTCAACACATGCAGGTTGAAGAAGTCACGGAGCTCCATCTTGCAGCGGTCCGACTAGTCCATGAGAACACTGGGGCCGATTTTCTACACATTGCCCGTGATGACCGCAACAACTTGTTCAGGTACGGATAGAAGTCATACACATGCCTTGCAAGTGACATCACGCTAGGGAAGAATGGGGCCCTGCACCATACTTGTGGTTGACTTCACACCGCACGGTTGCGCTTACCAAGGCGTAGGATGCTGCTAACTGCCGGGAGATGCGCTGACATGCACCATATTTTCAACAAAGGTACCAGTTGTGTTACATCTGAACTTGGAAAAACGTGCCGAGCTTACGATGATGACGCTTAGCCAGTACGTGCAGAATTTTTCGGCATTGGTGCGATTGCGCTGGGAGCAGAAAGTTTCGATATGCCGCCGCCGAAGTTTTAAAAACAAAAAAAAACAACTGCCGTGTCGCAAAAACAAAAAGAAAAGAAAAGTGGAATTGCGTGCTTCAACATTTGACGAGCGGCTCTGGGAGTTGCTTCTAGAAAAATTGTTACGATTTTGCGAAATACTGGTAAACAACGCAAGGCTACCATCATAATCTAAACCTTGAGACAAGGACAAATCAAATAATGGAGGGTTTACAATAATATTTTTCCTAACCGGCTCGCCTGCACACTTTCGCTCCTTGCAAAGGCTACTGTCTCGCGGACAGCACGAACCGATCCTCTGGTGGCGGCGTGTCGGCGAGCTTGCACACGGGGGCCCCCGGCGACCAATCGCCGTCTGGCCGGGCTCGCTTCCTGACAATCGCCCTTACTCAGTTGGGAGCCCCGAAGGTGCGCTCGAAGCGTGGAAACGGCGTTATGTAACGAAAGGCAAAGGCCATCTACACCACGAACGGGCAACAGCCGATGCAAAGGCGTGGGTGAACGTAAACAACAGTAGAAAAGTGCCGTCGCCCGCTGTTATAAAATGCGTCCCGCGAACTTGGTAATCCGTGGCCGCATCCCCTTCCTGCCGCTCATACTTTCGCTAACTTCACGGCTACTTTGTCTCGCGGGGCATGCCGACGAAACGATCGGACGATCGTCAGGATAAGTAGCAATTGCTTCAGCCGAGCACGGCGCAGTTTACCATTGCTCTCGCTGCGAAGGGCCGTCAAGTCAACCACCAGCATGGTGGATACCGGTGTTCGACGTCATCATGTGACGTAGGTGCAAGGCATGTACAGGCGATATTCACTGGACACCACATTTGAGGGCGATGTTTAGAGTGCATGTTCAGAATGAGCTTGCATTAATAGGCTGCTAGACCGGCAATCTTGATGGTGTTGAATATATGGTACAAAAGAACTGTAGAAGCTCGCTGTCAGCACGCGCTCAGCAGTCGCACACACAGCTATGGCCGCCAGTGAATACTCCCTATGCGGAGAGCAAGTCTGCTTCTTGCACAGGAATTATGGTGACGTCAGAACGACGCCGAGCTCTGATTGGCTTTGACTGAAAGGATAGTGGGTCAACCTCAATGCTAAGTGCCTTGAGGTCTACCCCCTTTTTTTGTTTTCAATCAGCCAATAAGGGCTCGGTGTTCTGACGTCTCGGTGAAACACTGAGAATTAACTTCAACTGCTTGGGCGTTTTTGACATGCGGATCAAGTGTCAGTTACATGGTGCCTGCACAGTAATAAACCTTTTATGACATTGTGGACACTAAACAAAATGAGAACCTCTAGCTGCAGGGGAATCTCTAGACCAGCAACCACCTTAGAGCCATTGAAGTGGTTGAGACGCTGGAAAAAATGGGTCCACTGGTAGTAGCAAGAGAGATTATTTACCTAACTAGAAGATTGTCACGAACTCTCCTCTTTTTGTATGGGCCCACCGTAGTAGCTAATCTTTGGTTCTTTTCTTTTTTTTTTTTCTTTTTTCTTTCAGTGTGGCATTTTCCACACATCCAAAAGATGACACAGGAGTGGCTCACATCTTAGAGCACCTTTCCCTGTCTGGGTCTCAAAGGTATCCATGCAGGGACCCCTTCATGAAAATGAACAACCGTTCCTTAGCCACATTCATGAATGCAATGACCGGTAAGGAAAGCTCAGTTTCTTGTATCTTTGAATTCGGGCAGCTTGATCTTATCATCAGCCAATCTTTTCTAGGATGTGATGTCACCTTCTACCCTTTCTCCACACAAAACCAGAAGGACTACGAGAATCTTCTTCGTGTGTATTTGGATGCAGTCTTCTTTCCTCAGCTCTTGAAGCTGGACTTCAAGTATGTTTTTCCAGATGTCCTCAGTTTCTTTCCAAAACCCAATGTGAACGTCACTAACGTTGCTTTGCATACACCAGGGCTCGTCGTTTCCCCAGGTGGCGGGTTCGAATCCCGACCGAGGTGCCCGCAATATGACGGAGGCTTATTGCGGAGAAGGCGCCGTGTAACCGAGCTTTCGGTTGCACGTCAAAAGATCCCCAGGTGGTCGAAATTAATCCTCAGTCCTCCGCTGGGGCGTGCCAGATGCCCGTCGTAGGTTTGGCACGTAAAACCCCCAAATTTGACTTTTGATTAGGGCTCTTCGTTGACTTGCAAAAGTTTGTCATACTTCGGAGCTAGCATATATTCTAGTCATAGAGAGCCATAGTTCACTTAACAAAAGTACATACTGAAATTCGAAGATCTACTTGGAAGCTGAAAAGAACAAGGTGAAAAAAGAAGGGAAGGAAAGCCTCTTTTCAGCTGTTCGTATATTAATCAAGGTAGTGTAAGCAGACTTCGTGGTATGTTTATAGTGAGTGGCAGGCACACCAAAAAATTTGAGCCTTCTTCATGAGTGACCCTGCTACCTTTGACTGTTCATCACAACTAACCGACATAAGGTGCTGCAATAGTTTGAAATATTCAATGTTATGGTTTGCTGCCAACAAGTTCAATGATGCAGTCGTCTTGGTCAGTGTTCCAAACAGGAAAATAAATGTTCTATTTTCATACCTTGAAGGGGAGTTCTGGCAACACCTTGAAAGTTCTCAACAAAGGATATCTTCTGAAAGAGCACAAAAACTGAGCTTAAAGGGATGCTGCATCGAAATCTGGATTCCTCAAAACACGGCAGCAAAAGCGTGCAACGGGATGCTACAAACACCAAAACATCACTCATACAGCGATATTTCCAACAGATGACTATATTTTTCAAAAAAAAAAGAAAAGGAGGCACATTCGACAGATATCTTTATGTCTTGTTTCCCCAAGAAGGACGGGGGACGTCCTTGCGTCTTTTCCCCCTCGCCGCCTTGAGGGGGCGAAGCGAAGAAAACAGGAAACGAGATATCTTGACGTCACGTACCTCGTTGGCCTCGTTCAATCTCTACCTCTTTTTTCAAAAATACGGCTGTCCATTCGAGATGTCGCCTTACGAGTAGCATTGTAGGGATCGTAGTGTCCCGCCTACAGCTCCTGCATTGTTTTCCGAAATCCGAATTTCAGTTCACCATCCCTTTAATGCAGCAAATAAAATTTCCCAAAAATGTTTAAATACTTTTTAATTTTAGAAATACAATATGACTGAAACCGAATTTAACCTGCAACTTTACTGGTCTGGCATCTTGTTGTGAAGTCAGATGTTTTATAAACATCAGCACATGGGCAGTTTGGGCCTGTTTTGCCCAATGTCGGAAGCAGTCAGAAGGTCGTCGCGATTGTCCTTGAGAAATAATTGGCTATGATTCATCAAGCTTGTCTTAATCAAGCAATGACTAGCAAATGTTTGAAGATTTCCAGCAAGAGACTGCAGACGATTCGCCGTTCGGGTCAGACTGCTCGGACACACTTTCGTCGCTGAGCCTTCTCGGTCGAAAATTGATAAGATATCTCTCTGCTGCATTTCTTTGTGGTGTTATTGCATCCCACAGCCACTCACCAATTCCCCCCACCTTCCATCGCATGCTGCAAACAGCCTAAACGAGACGCAATTCGCAAAACCACAAATGCACACTATCACTACAACTCGCAATGCTGTAGAGTGGGGAAGGGGTCGTCTGCTCTCGTATGCAACATTTGATGTCACGAGCGCCCCTGCTGGTAGTTGCCAATAGAGCGGCAGCAAGTGATTCATAGGTGTACGCAAACAATAAAAAATGCATTTTCTTGACACAAAATTAATATTTTGATTGAATATTTCGTAGCCATGCGAGTGAATATTGTCACGATTGACAATTGATGAGGCGATGATAACTGAAGAAAACTAAACGTTTAATGGGGCAAACTTGTGCCCAAAATAAAGAGAACACAAAGAAGAATAACAGAGCGTCGCGGGCGTCGAAGTCGGCGTAACAGCAGGTTCGAACGCTAGGGCGAGACTGAGTCCGGTTCGCCATGCGGAGCCCCTTATGTACGTGCATGAGCTTCTGGCATAATCGGCGTAGAATGTTCGACGCGTAGAACATTCGGGCCTGGAACAAGCAACATGATTCTCGAATTTTCCAGAACACTAAATTGCAGGAATAAACAAAAGACACGTCGCTCCCAGGAATCGAACCCTAGCTTTCCGCGTGGGAGACAACCGCGATAACCATTAGGCCACGCGCGCGCTGCCTACCTGGCCGGCTGCCCGCGCGGCAATATTCAGTACATGGTGAAAATCTTATAAAAATCTATGACCATCAATATTTTCGCTAAAGCTCCCCTTTAATTTATTCGAGCTAGCTTTTAGTATTCTCTTACATTCTTTAAACCTGTAATACACACTTAACTGAAATTATGGATCGCCATATCTATAACCATTTTTATCATCGCTTGCTTTCTTCTGGATAGGCAAGAGGGCTGGAGGTTTGAGCATGCTGACGTCAATGACAAGTCCTCTCCAATCACCATCAAGGGAGTTGTCTACAACGAAATGAAGGGCGTTTTTGTAAGAATCCTATTTTCCTCGCATCTCCAGCGCAGGAGCGTGTTGCACACCTAATGGAAGACATAAACTCTGATCATCATGTTTAAATCCTGAGACTGAAAAGAAAACTTGAAGATATATTAGCAGAACCAGAAGAGGTGTCAGACAAATATTTCAAACTCAGCTTACAAAATTTATTTTATACACGCTTTTATACCTTCAAGTTTCCTTCCCAGTCTCAGGATTTAAACATCATGATTAATACGCATCAGCTCACCTGCACGTTGACCATTTTTGTATATACCCAGAGTTCTGTGTGGACGCCCTTTTTGCAGTCAAACCCAAGCAGCAACTTCAACCAGGCTGTAGTAAACAAACTTTGCTCCAGTGGAGTTTATAGCCATGTCAGTGGCGGCCATCCATTAGCGATTCCTGACCTGACCTGGGAGCAACTGAGGGAATTCCACAGCACACACTATCATCCCAGCAACGCCAGGTATGGCTCACTCTTGCATGGAGTCAATTTCCTGGGTCCACGTTGCTGGCTGCACACCAGCCAGCAACAATTTCAGTTTATCTACTTCAGGCGGACGCTGTCCACTTTTAGAGGACTCAATTGTTGTATGCTAGATTGCTTTCTGAATTTCCAACTAAAAAGGTTTGCTTATCCAGGAAATCAATTCTACTTAAAAAATTTCTGACTCTTTTCTTTTAAAGCAGCGATTCTCAAACTTTTGGCTGTCACAGACACCCTGACCCACTTGGGGGACGTTCAGTGACCCCCAATGCATTCTGCATTGGAGGTCTTGTGCAATGACACAGGAGGGCTTTTCTTTAAGAACAATTTTTTCACTTGGCGCAGATCCCTGTGATCCCTCTTGAGGGCTTCTGGGGTCCATTGATCACAGTTTGAGAGCTGCTGCTCTAAAGAATACTACTCAGCCTGCTCCCTTTCTTCATAAAAAATTCACTCCACTACAGTCTCGGTGAAATCACATTGGCAGGCAGAAATCTTTGCTACAAGCTTGCCAAACAAAAATAACTTGAACTTGATGTCACACGGTGAATAGCAGCATTTCAAATAGCATTTTACAAAGGCCAGCATGACGTCTCTTGGATGTCATGGACATTTCGGTATTTGCTTTATGTTCTCAGTAAATACGCCTCTTGCTCAATGACACGATTTACTATGGTGTCAGAAAGTACCCAATCAATATTTTGCTAAAGAGTGACATGCTATATCTTTAATAAAGTAAAAAAAATAAAAATAAAACTCAACTGCTCGAAACTGAAACCAAAACATGAGCACGGCAGCTCATGGCCGCTATGTACCGAGGAGAAGGGAGATGCCAGGAGTCACTTAACTACACCTGATTGTATTTTTTTTCTCTACTTTAGCGTGTGAAGCGTGCACCGTTTGTCTTGCAGTTGTTTCACACTTGTATCCCTTCCGCTCAATATTCTGCACTTAAAGATTAGCTGCCGATACCACAAACTACATTTCTGAAGTAGCGGTCCCACGCCTGTCGCAATGTTAATCCGTCGTGCGCCGCCATCGTGTTGTCCATGTACTTCCTGTGATCTTTGCAACATTTTTTTTTTATCAACATATTTGCAGCTTTTTGGAGGCATACTAAAATCAAGTTCATATTCTTTTCTGTTCTGATATTGAATGCGTGCCTTAGATGACCCACGACTTTGAATATGTTTGGTACACATAGTTTGAATGCCTTGATACCGTAGAGAAGAGAGTGAGTTCGGCTGAAACCAGCCAATTCTCGACCGGCTGTTTTTGGACCGAAAGAAAAATTAATTTTGAGCTGCAGCTTGTGTTCTGGGTAGGTAGTTGGGCTTTTATAGGTCATGTTCAAATAAAAACCTTGGCGAGCATAAATACCTTGTCAGTGTCTCTTTTAAAGGGGCCCTGCAAGGACTTTTTTTACTGGTTTTTAATTTGCACCAAACCTGATCGCACTGAACGTAGTAACTTAATAAAACTTTTCTCGAATTTTGCTTTATTTTAAAAGTTATAGGCAAATTAAAATTACAAAAACAAGCAAAAAATAACCTCCTTCATGACGTCCTTGGTTGCTTGAGTGGCTGTGTACTAGAGGAGGGGTAGTGAACTCAGCGAGCGGTCACGGCTGCCGCACTCCGTGTCGACGGCTCGAGAGGGCACCATAAACCATGTTCTGGCTAGGCTATATCAAGCAGGCAGCCTGGGTGGTTCGCATTGCACTTGCTGCGCGATTAAACACTATTCGGCATGACACTTCATTGGCCACAAACGACAGGAAACACGATGTAAAGATCAGTTCAGAACAGGAGCCGCTTCGCGCTGCCATGCTGCCAAAAGGCCAAACCACAAACCAAAGCTGCTCGCCGAAGGCCTTGGGAATGCTCGGAACCGGTCGGATCCTCCAGTCCATACAACCGCAGCGCCGCTGCATTTTACGCTCGCGGATGGTTGGTGCCTGATCCCACTACACAATTGAAACGGTTTGCGCCACTTATATTTTGTATTTCAACTAAGAAGAAGCTTTTAGTGGCTCTGACCAGTAGTAAGCCCAGGACCAAAGACGTCACATATCGTGCGCTTTCGGTATTGCGGGTCGCCCCCATAGGTGGAGGAGGTTTCCATGTCGTCTGGTTAAAATATGACGCACTGATATTTAGTTACTCTCTCCATGCTCGCTGGCTTGCCCGAACACTGAGGAACGTGGAAACTGCAAAAAAAAGGTGGACACTTAAGTGTGATTGCAGGGCCCCTTTAAGGCAATTTTCCTACACTTTTACAAATCACAAAATGCCACACTATATTTTAAACTATTTATGGGCAAATAAAAACATGAATGCCAATTTTTTCCATATTCTTGCACAACTAAAAGTCTGCCACCAAAACTACCATGTGTAACACAAAATTGGCCAACCAAATTGGGTGCTTATCAAGTAACCATACGAAGATGTTGAGAGAAAAGACTCATGCCATGTTTGTATTATCTGTGTTGCACAGCATGATCGTTTTGTGGTTCTTCTTACCGTTGAGTCCATTCCTTATTTTTGACATATCTTTCAGATTCCTAACATATGGTGACTTTCCAATTGAGCCCACGCTGTCACTGATTGATGAATTGGCCCTCTCGAAGTTCTCCAAGAGTGCTGAGGTTCACAGCATCCCACTGCAGCCAAGGTGGGATGAACCGGTAAGCTTTTCGTTTGCATTATTCTGCAACTGGTTGTTGAGAACTGGCTTTTCTCCCCCTCTTTTAATGCATTAGCACTAGATTTGCTTGTTTTGATGAAAACCCGGCTCTGTCTTTCGTTTGTCACCAAAGGGGAGAGAGGGCTAAGGAGGGGAGAGAGGGTGTCGCGTGCGGCGCTCTCATTGGTTCGAAGTGCTGACATCAGCACGCATCAACCTCTCCCTCTCTCCCCAGCGTTGACAGACACTGCCAGGTTTTCGTGAAAATGAGTCCTTTCGTTTTCATGAGTCTCGTGCACGGCTGGTGCTGAGCCAGGGAGGAAGTGGTGCAGCGCAACACCTCCTAGGTAACAAAGCCGTACCAGTATTGAATGAGATAGTGTCATCAGAGAAGGATAACGCTGGACACAGATTGGAAATGAGTGCTGCGACAGTGCTCAGCTTCGAGTCAAGTTTGAGCTGATCTTTGACGCAACTGTTGTGTTCAACCTTTGCCCAGTGTTGGCCTTCTCTGATGATGCAATCCCATTCAGCACTGCGGCTTTGTTATCTAAGAGGCGTTGTGCCGCGGCGCTGTGGAATACAGGCATGCTCAGTTTCTGCTCTGCCGTTGCCGGGCGTTCTTCGCTCTGGTTTCCGTAGTAGTGGTGCGTGGGCTGTGATGTGTGGATGTGGTTCCCTCCACGAGTGATATGGATGCAGTTCCTTCCACGAGTGGTATGGATAGGGTTCTTTCTACGAGTGATATGGACGACTGTACCCATAGACGTCAACATACTCTGACAGGCAGGGTACAGAAAATGGGTGAAAAAAATTACAGGAAGATCCATTGGTGGATTCTTAGGGAATCCATTAGCATGTGGCATGCCAAAAAGAGGCATAAAAAAAATAGAGGAAGCAAAAGAGAAAGCGAAACGAGAAAAGTGAAGGGGTCAGCGTTAGCGTTTTCCAAAAGGGGACGTGTGTGGCATCTCCAGGGGTTATGCTAACGCATTCCCTAAGAATCCGCCAGTGGGTCTTCCTGTCATTCTTCTCAGTCACATGCTGTGATGACACAGAACTCTGATATCCAAGGAGTAATAAGCTGTCTGTGGGATATCCTCACTAATAAAACAGATAGTGCCCAATGAAATACACATTTTGTGACCTCTGGAACATAGAAAAATATGTTAATTTGAAGAAGCATTAGAATGCCTAGCCGGGAAAGTGAAGCAACCTAACCGACCTTCGAAGTTTCTTGTGTCACATTCGTCTGCGCTGGTTTTCTGATTTTGCTTCTGGTTCAGTAGTTTCCGTAAAAACATATGTGCCACTGTTGTAAAAAATTAACTGGGTGGGATCTCGAGACTAGTGTATTATTGCGGTTCACACAAAAAGTTGAAGTTACTTTAATACAAGGATATGATCAGTTGAAGCAATGACTGAGATGTGCCCTTACAGCAGCTTGTTGTACTCTTCTAAAGCCCTGCTGAGGCTGTCCTGAGATTTTCGGTTTGGATATCTCAAAAGATTCTGTCTGGTATTTATCATATTTTATGATATGCATAAGCAGGTCTGTTAGAACACAAAAGGGGTAGATTAGGTCGGCAATTTTTTTGTTTGTGAGTTTCATTCTACACACATGCAAAGTAAAAGATATGGTCTTGCACTTCAAGCTTGGATATTTAACACAGGATTTCATTTCAAGAAGCCTGGAATCGACACCTCTGGCACATTCATGTCCCCTAATTCGGCGGTGCAGAATTGCCTACCGTAGGATGGCGCGCATCCGCCCATTCCACATTAAGCGCCCATACCCAAATTTTTAAGATCTGAGAAAATATGCACAGTACATTTATATTTAAAATTGATCACCGAACAAGCGTCCATCCCCCATTTTTTCGCGATTATCTCTAAATTTTGAGTGGGCACTTGCCCGGTATTTTACGGTATGACTTTTTATTTATTTGCCAAGGTTTTCAGACTGTCTTTCCAACACAATCAGGTTTGTGTCATGCTTCCAGTTTTTTTGTAGGCACTGCCTTTTGCGTTATTACTATACCTACTCATGCCACAAATATTGTCTTGCACTCAAAGGGAAGCTTGTAGAATTCAAGGTGCCTTATCTACTAGAATATAAGTCAACCGTAATGAGCGAAGCTCACACGTCTGCTTTCCCTCAGAGCTTGCTGATGCCCACCAGTGAGACTTCAGAATGTCAGAATGGTGCTTGTCAATTGGAGAGAGAGCGAGAGATAGTGTTTGGATTTAAGGATGCGACCTACTGTGGGTAGCAGTGCGTGACGTTCGGCACAGATCCTATTTTCAAACCCCAAATGGTATCAATGTGTTGTCACTCAGTTCACTTCTTCCATAAATAATAATGACTGGCTTTCTTTGGGCATTGCAGGAAAATATGTGTGGGCTTTGTTTATAACAGGGTAGACCTAGTTTGGAACAAATACGGTAGGAGTTTCTTTTTTCATACACAATGACTAATAACATCCCGTATCTTCTTTTTTTTCTTACCCTCGTAGAGAAAAGCAACAATCACCTGTGCACCAGACCCTCTTGCAGCCAACCCTGACAAGCAGTCGACGGTTGCGGTGACTTATGCGATGAACGAGTATGCTCACCTTCCTTTTGCTTCTGTTTGAAAAATAAGGTTTTCGCTCGGGAATATTTGAAACAATAATGCTCTTTGGGTTTCAGCATCACCAACACGGAAGAAACGTTCACACTGTCCATCCTGAGTCACCTCCTTGTGAATGGCCCCAACGCACCCTTTTACAAGAGCCTGCTCCAAGCTGGGATTGGCGCAGACTATGCTCCGTCCCTAGGGTGTGTCTGTTGAGCACACTGTTTAATAAGGGGGAGATTGATGTGTAACAGCTATAGAAGTTTGCGTGTACAGTTTCCAAAGGAGTCTTCTCCCCCTCATTGAAGATTAATATTTTTATTCAGCTTGGTGAGAGTGACTATTTGGAATATTATACTATCAGCAGCGAAAATTTATGGTGCAAGTACAAAGTAAATATTTGGGAACATAGCCTTGTTGCTCAAATGAACGGTATTGGGAACGACCATGAAAGTTAGGCAAGGCCATGAAGCAATCATACATGCATAAACAATGACAAAAGCATGTGCAAAGACAGTCTGGCAAATCTAACACAGAGGAAACCCAGGGAGTGATAGGCCAATCTATTTTCCACCACTCATGAGAGGCTTAGAGGGGGTGTCAGGTCCCCTCTGAGATTTTTTCCTCTTACTGACCGCACTAGAAAGTGCTATTTTCTAAGCTTCTACGGCTACCTCGTGCACAAAAAGGATAAATAATTTGATATTTCTGATCCTGGAGGCTAAATAATGATGATTTACTGTAATATCCTGAAAGATAGCCCACTTTAAGTTGAAAGCAAATCCGGTGAAAATAAGGAGTAGGCTAACTTTCGGCGTGCCACAAAAAAAAGTTGACAAAATTCTAGTTTTAGATTTTGTGACATGCGATACTTGTAATCGCAGGGAGACGACTGCCCTTCAAAGTTGGCAGTGTTCATTTATCTCCTGGTGTGGCTAAGTACCACTATTTCTGCCGAAGTCACTATCATTGGCCAGGGCCCTGCAATCACTAAAACTGGGCTATCTTCTGGTGTTCTTGAAAAAAATAGCAAATCATGGCAAAAATAAGGGTGGTTTATCTTTCAGGGGTGGGGCATCTCTGAAGATATTAAAGTAACAGTTTTCTTTGTTGTTATTGTTCTCGAATACAAAAGCATTTTTTTTTTCTTAACAATTTTATCTTTGGCTTTTTATTCAAGATTTACTAACCACTGGGTTAACTCAGAATTTTAACACTGGGCTTTCATCAGGCCGGACCTGGTATTTTTACCGTAAGGAATCTCTTGATTGTGCCGACTTATTCAAAAGGCTGTGTCATTCCTTTTTCAGCTACGACAACAATTTGAAACAGGCCTTCTTCTCGGTCGGTCTGTATGGTGTGAGCGAGAAAGATGTCGATAAGGTGACCGACATCATTGACAAAACATTCGACGAAGTCATCAGGTAATCTGTCTCCATAGCTACAACTACCATCAGTAATCCCGAAAGGCAGTTTGCACAAGTGATGCAATTTACCTCGAGAAGGGGCGTCATTGCCGCCTGGCTGGCGCTTGACACATTTTCTGCTTTTACAGCAGGCTCTGCCAAAAACTAGAGTCCGAGCGTTTGTAGTAATATTATATGTCATGTGCTGTAGAACTGTTTGATGCCGTAAAATTCCAGCGGCTTAACAAGCAATCTCTCTATGAGAGGTGGCTCTAGTGATCACAACATGTTGCTCCCAAGGCGACATAGCCTAAGAGAGCCTGGATTGAAGAGAGGGTCTGTCTTAGTTTGCACTTTCATTGTGGTCACCTCTCGCAACAATTGGTCGTTAGTGCGCACATGCTGTGTTGTTGCGTGCGTAGCGAGGAGGAAAGCGAGTGGAAAGGCAAAGACGCTCGCAGACACGGACGTCGGCGGAGGGGGTGCAAAAGGGGCAGCTGCCATTCCCAAGCCAGACTGTCCCCCCCCCCCCCCCCCCCTCCCCCTCCAAGCAAGTGGGGCGACCTTTGGTTTGCTAACAAGCAGAAAAACAACCTAAAGTGATTTAAAAACAAAATAGAATCTAACTATCAGAACATGAAAACAGGGAGATGTCTTGCCCCGTGTTCCATGATAGATTTTTAAAAGAAAAATAAACCAAGCCCCAATTTTGCCTTAGCGGGTGGGGGCGCACCTGTTTCTGAGAACACCGCAATCCCTGCAATGAGCACTCAATACAGTAGACTCGTTCATTCTAAACTTCAATAAGCCACAAATTTTGTTTGAATTATCAGAAATTTATTTAAATATGATGCAGATTGACTTTTGCTTTGCCATATGAATGGCTACACATACAAGGCACATATTTGATGATTTCCTCTACATAGGCCTACTGATCATAAGCAGCTATGCTCATATGAAACATTTGTGAAATGTATGACGTGTAAGTTCATCTATACCTCAAGTATGTTGTTTATTGACTGTTTAGCCAGCACATGACATCTCATAACAAAATTAGTTTGTTCATCAGGCCAAGAAGTTGGCCTGATGAACATGAAAACGCCGTTCGAATTGATCGGCTTATGAATATATTAAAAACATAGCCGGACAACCATAATAAAATTTCTTTGAATTAACCAGGAGTATGAAATATCTGAGTTTGAATTATCGCGAGCCTACTGTAGTGATGAAGCCCATACTTCAACTCCGAGTAGAAGTTGGTGAAACGGCCCGAAGAACAACTTCTCAAGTTCCTTCCGGGCCCTTTCATTTTCGCATACTCTTACATTTGCGTCCGCTTCTCCGTGAAGACATTCCCGCAGTATCTTCGTGTGCCTGGAGCCATGCTCCAGGCACACGAAAATATTATCATTATTATATAACATCATTATTTCTGTTTTTCCTAAGCACAACTTTTCCCAAGTTTCCTACTAAGGTCCTTAGTAGGAAACTTGGGAAAAGTTGTGCTTAGGGAAAACAGAAATAATGATAGCAATCACGGGGCAAAGACCGAACATACCCCTTTTTCAGAACTTCGGTAGCCTGGCACCACTTGACATTTTAATGGGCCATTCCTCTTGTGTTCTCTCCAACTCTGCGCCCTGTCTGCTGAGGACGCGGGGGTTTGGGTTTCCTTCGCAAAAGCTGTGGCAAATGTCGTGTAGCTGACGCACCAAAGGGCGCGCAGTGTTCGCCTCAAGGATGAGGCTCTCTACCCTCAGTAAGGAATCGCGTGTTGTTGAGACGATTCACGGAAGAGCCAGCCATGAGCGGTGGTGAACATGATCCCTCGAGGAGGTTGGGAGGGGGCGGTGGTGTGCATTAGGATCAGGTGGGAGGACATCCGCGTTGGACAATGCAGTTCCGCAAAACCATGCTTCCTCCAAGTCTTTAATGCAACTGACCTTAACCGCCCAGTCCACTCTCCCAGCCGTACACATTTCTTGTTGTCGTCGTTTCCGAAAGTTTGCAACAAACCTCACTTTTGCCTGGTCCGGATTTTTTCTCCATCGGTGTCTTCCTGTGCAAATGGCTGAGAAGATTTCGCCCATTCCTATGCTTTGTATAATATTGTTGCTCGCTAACATTGGTCAGAAAAAATAGCGATGGATATCAGGAACTCGTTTATATGTAAAAAGGGCGGTGATCACGGCACTTCATTTTGTAGGACGAAGAAAGCAGCCGCTTCTGACTTGTGCCAGAATCTATTTAGGCTGATCTGACTATCAGCCGGAATCTATTAAGGCAATTTTTGTCCCAGTCACTCCTGACTCCTAAGCCACCTCTGCCCTCCAAAATCCGGCTGATATGGGACCCATTTTTAAGTCACCTGTTACAGATACAGCTAGTCGCTTTTAAATAGGGTGGATATTTTCAAGTAAAGCAAATTTGAACAGTTAAGTACAAGACCCAAAAAGAGATAGCAGACAGAACTCTAAAATCGACTTATCAAATTCTGAAATAAAACAGATGTGGCCCACTTTATCTATCTAGAGCTTAACTGCAGATTTTTGTCCTATCGAAGAAAAAGAGATAATTAGCGACATCTGTATAAAAAGCACTCAAAAATTTACTGATGACTTTTCGGGTTGTCGAAAGTGAAATAATGAGTTTTTCGTATTTGTGTAGCTTCTAAGCTTGCACATTTATTTTGGAGTTATCTAGCTTTCTCACTTTTAATATTTTGAATATTAGGAAAAGAATGACTTCATCAGGGAAACTAAAATATCATGAAGTGCACGTGTAGTATGGTCGATCGGGTCTTTGAACTTAGCTATTAATGCAAAAGCATTAACTGTCCCATGGAGCGAACTGACGTCATCAGCTTTGAAACCGCGCCAATCTTGGCCAAACGGCACCTAAAATCTCCTTTCCCAAGTGAAGCCCATTTCTGATGGATTATGCTCCCATTGGCTGGCGCGCATCATCAAGGAATGAGGCTCCCATGGGCTCTCGTGCGGCGTAGTTCCAAAAAACGCTACCAGAGAAGCCTTCTCCATGGCGGCGCAGTGCACGCAGTGGTGCGGCCACAAGTAAGAGGAGGGAGCGGTGGCGACAGAGCTAGAACCCGTCCGGGCAGTTTCCAGTGAGGCCACACGGTCAAGCTCAGCGCGGCCACTTTACGAAGGCGCGTACCCGGCCTTCTGCCTGCGAAACGTGGCAGTCGACATCACTACGCGAGAGACGAACTACGGGAGCAGAGGAACGACATTCATTGTTACACATTCACAACTCGTAAAAAGTGCTTAGGTGTCCTCGGACTTTTTTTATTTAAAGACTTGGAACGTTTTATACAAGCTTGCTTGCCTTATTTCATTTGCTTCTCTTAATGATGCGGAGGAAGCCATTCTCCCCATGTTTTGACAGTATATGGATAAGCATTGTACAGTATTTTTTAACTTATTGTATAGCCATATTGCCAAATCGGATAAATTACTAAATTACCGGTGGTTCCTTAATCAGCGATGATAGCCCGTTAATTCTGAAGTGCTCATGCCCCGTTCACCATCCACAAAATTTTTGCTTCCAGGCTGCGGGGGTTAAACCGAGAGTTGTCATAACCTTACCAGTGGGCCTTTTTACATAAACAATTAGAACCAGAAACTTAAGAATGTTTATGTAAACATTTGCTTAGATATCTACTAGTATAATATGCAGTAAAAATGTTGTGGGAATATGTTGGTTGTGACTCATGAATATATACAATTTCTTGTTCAATTTGGCAATTTCATATTTCTGTACAGTGCAAAAATGCCCCCCCCCCCCCCCCCCCCAATTTAAGAAGGAAAACAAAAAAAAAACAAAGAGAGCGTCACGTGCAATCGTTGTGCCCCCACCAAGTAAAATATCCTGCCGACGCCCGTGCTCATAGACGCTCAACGTATTCGTAACCTCCTTGCAACTCGTATAGCAAACGGGGCCCATAAATCATTTAATCGAGCAATCGAAAACTCTGTAATACGGTTACAGGCTCTCTATACAGCCTACAGTGTCTTGCGTTGTTACAACAACCCTTCGAGAGCGTATGAAATGCTTTGCAGACAGGCATTGTTGGACAGCTGAAATAAACAACATCCCACAAAGGCTCTTTTTGTGCCTAACGGCACAGTCTTCCATGTACCAGTGCTTAGTCCAGGGGTCTCAAACACGCGGCCCGCGACTCGCTGGGACATTGCCCGCAGGCAACCGGCTACGAGTCCCGGTCCCAATGTCTCGAGCGCTAGAAATGGCATGCGCTATCTTATCTCGCCGATTCATTTTTGCTCGAAAAGCAGCCATGCTCTTTTAACATAATCTCATAGTTTATACCTACTTGTGTTCATTTGACCTTTGTTTCACTTTACGTTTTGCTTCCCAGCTTTCTGTAACATGCAATAACTCCACTACTAGGCTGCAAGCGCAAGCTATTCGTTGAAAAATGCATTTCGGCTGCACAAACTCTCGATCAGCAGGAGTAACTGGCAAAGATAAAGCTACGAGCTCGGAATTCTCGCCTTCAAAAATATAACCCCATCAGAAGACAAGTATTTGTTCGTCTGTTGTAGTAAAAATCGCCAGGAAAACAACTGTCATATTAACTGATTGTTTTTAGAGACATGTTGAGCTTGGTCAATTCCTGGGTGAATTGAACAATGGGAACGACAGTGTACTTGTTCTGTTAAAAATGCGGAGCAGTGTCATTTTTATTCTTATCACATCAGGTTAAGGCTTGAAGTGGTCTTATAAGCAAATCAAATTTAAAGATGTCCCTGGAACGACTCCGAGTTTACAAAAGGCATAAAATACGAGGTCTTCCCCCCTCCCCCCCCCCCCCTCGTCATATTGGCCCTCGTCATTTCAGGTGTTGGATATCTGGCCCCCACGCTCAAATGAGTTTGAGACCACTGGCTTAGTCAGTCACGTTTATGTCCAATTCCGCTAACAGAGCACGACACTGTTAGCAAAAACAGGCAACCGCTAGTGTTTCTTGCTTTGAGGTCACAATAGAAGTGCTGTCATCGAAACCGCTAGTATTATGGAACATGCTGGTTTGGGCCACCAACTTCAAAGCGATAATAATTTTTGCTCCCCTATAACATGTTTGAGTAAACTGTACCTAATACTAAAGTACCAATGTCGCATATCTGCTCGGCTGTAACACCTGCTTTTTTCAGAAAGGAATAAGCATAGAAACACACGGCCCTTATAGTTATTCTTTTTCATGCTGCAGAGACGGGTTCCCCCAGGAACGCATTGAGGCGGCCCTGCATTCTGTTGAGCTGTCGCTCAAGCACCAGACTTCCAACTTTGGCATGAGCCTGAATTACGTAAGGATATACCTGTTGACCTTCCTTGTAAATTGCATAAACAATGTTGTGCTCACTGCTAACGTCACTCTAATGTGTTTTACAGGCAACTGTGGAAATCTGGAACCATGGCGGGGACCCTGTGAAGTCCTTGCAAGTGAACCGGCACGTCAAATGGCTGAGGGATCAACTCGAAGCCAACCCCAGGTTTTTCCAAGAGAAAGTGGAGCACTATTTCAAGGTCAGCATCATTAAGCAGGGGACACCTGAGTGGTGAAACTGGGTGCTGTACGGCGTGCTGCATGACGCACCACCTGGCGATACGCAGCACTATTTGTGGATTCAAGACAAATGCACGCAAAAGCCCATAGTGCAGTGGTCGCGCGACACACATAGTTGCTGGGCCACCATTGGCAGCAAACGTAGAGTGACTTGCAGTACTTCGCTTTAAAACGCTCAATTAATGCCCAAAACATAAATGAAAGTATTCAGATTAAAAATAAAACAAATAAAACTGGCGCGTATGTTCTTGTGCTACCATTATATTGTCATGAATGACAAATAGTGAGGCGAAGAATAACTGAAGAAACTAAACGTTTAATGGGGTGAACTTGTGCCAAAAACAAAAAATAGTTAGTTAGTGTCGCAGGCGTCAATGTCGGCGAAACAGCAGGATTGAGCGCTGGAGCGAGACTGACTTCGCTCGCCATAGTGAGTCCCTTATGTACCCTCGTGGGTTTCTGGAACATTCGGCATAGAACTTTCGGCACATAGAACATTCGGAACTCAATCAGACGTGAATGTTCTCGAACTTACGATAACGCCAAGTTGAAAGAATAAATGAAAGGACATTCTGCTGACTAGAATCTAGCCTAGACCTTCCGGTTCGACAGTCAAGCGCGGTAACCATTCGGCCACGCACGCGCTTGCTCGGCGACGCGTTTAGCAATGTTACTATTAAAATAGTAATGTTGTGAACATACCACAAAAGGTATGTTCACAACACTAGCAACGCCGTGATTGCTTTTCTTTTCTACCCGATCAAGCTGACATTAAAAAGAAATATTGAAATCGTTACAATTATTTTTTGTGTAGACTGTTTAATTGTTTATTTACAAGTCGAAATGCAACGTGTCTAACTTAGCTGAGACTGCTGGAGGTGCACGGCATGTCAGTCCTGAAGAAAAGTTCTAGGCATAGAGGCCCAGATTGAACAGAAAAGGCTAGCGCGAATCGCTTGTATGAGACACGACCAGCTTTCATGAAAACTTGGTGCTTTCGTTTGAAAAGACACTGAGATGTTTTATTGACTTTATGCCGAGGAAGTTACACCGAATGCAATAATTATCAGGTGTTTTCACCATGGCATTGAAATGTGCAGTGACAAAGCGTTATCCCCGGACATCGTAAAAACATTGTGCATGGGAGTAAATTTCCTACGAACACAATTACTAACCCAGCAGAAAAATTCCGAAACTCATAACACTTTTCTTCGTCTCCCAGCGGCATCGAATGGCTTGCTCGACAAATTTGACGCCGCCAAATGTCTCCCTGGTACAAAGCGCACCGTCTCGGCATCTTTTCTGCACCCCTCGTGTTAACACTTTCATGGGCTGTGGCAGTAATATTCCGGCACACATATTCCCCACCTTGAACTCAAGTCTCAAACCACCAAACCAATCTCGCTCGTCATCGTACCGCCCTGTTGTTTGTGAAGACCTGCCTGGTTCTAATTGAGATAGTGATTTCACAATGCCTTCCGTGTCTTTCATGGGACTTGAAAAAACTTTGCAGATGACTAGAACGTTCTCAGGGGAGCGTTCAAGCCACACATATAGCACTGAACCCATACCGAACAGACCATACGAACGGTCACATTATTTGCTTTATTGCCGCTAGGCGCTCCGCGCACAAATATCTGGACGAACCAGATTGGAGCGGCGCTGCACCGTGAGGCGCGTACGTCACAGTGACGTAGGGACGCCTGTACGAGTTACTATGGATATTGACGCACGCTGCCACGCGACGCCCGTCTTCGTCGCTCATGTGTCCCCTACTTTACCTTCCTAATATGAGCCTACTTATAATCTTGACTTTACCGAGAAACAATTTGTTGCAGTGTCGGTATTGCACTGCACTATAACTTACCTTTACTGTATCTGTATTGTCACTATGTTAGTTTTTACTTGCCTAGCTACTGTGCATTTTTTCGTACTGTGCCATGCAATAGAAAGGGCTTGGTTGCAATTATGTTTGATGAATGCAGTGCTGATTATTTGTTTAACGTTGAAACTCGCTTAGGCTCGATTCATCCAACCGACAAAACTTTTTGACAAGTTCTTTTTAAATTGACTGTGTCCAGACCTGTGCATTTGATGACTTCCAAATGTAGATTCAGCAGTTGTGTGAAAATAAAGAAAAGAAGAAAAGGCAATTTGGGCAAATTTTACCTCAATTTCTGGATCTATGATATGCAGGAACTATGAGTTTAATTTTTATTCATTCTGTATTTGCACACAAATCTATCTGATTGCTCTTCTTGTGAATGAGACATACAGATTTGGATGGTTGCTCACATAAACTACTAATGCATTCTGTTCCGAACCTGGCACTTGCACACTTCTATCTTTAATTTGTTTCATTTTTGTTTCAGGCCAATAGGCACAAACTGACTTTGGTTATGAATCCAGACAGCAAGCACGAGTCCAGGATTCAATCCGAAGAGGAAAACAACATCAACAAGAGGATTGATCAGCTCGATGTTTCACAGAGGGAGTCTGTCTACAGTGAGGGTATCAAAGATTTTTCGTATGCTGCGTAATGTGTCTCGTTTCTTCCAAATCCTGAGATGCAGATTGATTGTGAGTGCCACTTCTTTCCTTGCTGACAGGCTTGGAGCTACTGAAGCACCAGATGAAGGTCGAGGACGAAGAATGCCTGCCGCGGCTTCTGCTCTCAGATGTCTCTCCTACAATTGAGTTCACAAAACTGAATCACCTCAAGATGAGTAAGGATGGCTAGAGCTTTTTTAATCTTTGCATTGGATGTACAGTCTAAGCTCATTATAACAGACCTGGTTACAACAGACATTTGGATATAACATATAGATTTGTGAAGTTTGGTTAGTTTTCGTCTACATACCATTAACTCAACTTCATATCTGCATACAACATGCTCCTTTTACAGCAGGCCAAAATCTTGGTCAAAATCAAGGTCTGTTATAACGAGCTTAGACTGTACACTGACACAGTTCAGTCGGCATGCACAGCACAAGACTTGTCTGTCTGCATGCTGCACGGGGTCACTCTTTAGATTTCATCCTGTTTTTCTGCCTAACAGCAACGCCTGCGACTCTTTTTCTTTTTTTTTCTTTAGTGTTGTGACAATATGCATAAAAATACAGCATGCGCTAAGATGATATATGCAGTGGTCTGTGAAGATTAATGTTTAGAGCTAAGAAGACTGCAAAACAAACTGGGGGTGTGACTTCTTAGATGTCAGGTCAGGATTGATGGGATCTGCTCAGACTTTTTACAGCGAGGAGAGTAAAATCGCTAATATTGCCTTGTTTATTTTTATTTTGGAGCCTGAAATGGCTATGGAATAAAACAGTTCCACTTGCTTTTGGTAATACAAGGGCCAGGTTCTATATGACTTTACTCTGACAGGTTTCGTAAGGTTACTTGTGCTGTTTCAACCCATATTGACACTAAAGGAGAAGAGCCACCAGGCAGATTTGAATAAAAGGCTATTTTATCGTTGAAGAATTCAGCCATGTCAACACGCCTCTTTACATAACCTTGGTTTCACTCATTCCAGGTGGAGTTGATGTCCAAACTACTGAGCAGGCGACAAACGGAGTGACTTATTTCCGAGCAGTGCTCAATGCTTCACAACTTTCTCCTGCATTGAAACGAATGATCCCTCTCTTCTGTGAAGTGGCAACGAAGTATGTATTTTCCTCCTTGGTATGTTATACTACATGCAAGGTTCTGACTTAAAGCGACACTGACACCCCCAGAAAAGGTTTTTTGCCAGGCAATTTAGTATGGTGTCAGAAGATTACCCAATCAGTGTTTTGCTACAGCGTCACATATATTTTTAAGTAAAAAAACGCAACTGCTCGGAACCAAAACTGAAACTGTCTGGGGATGAAGGAGATATATAGAGGAGGAGAGAGTTGTCGGAAGTCACGTGGTTACACCCAACCACGTTTTCTACTTTTTTTTTTCCTTAATTTTTATGGTTGTGCGAAGCATACAAAAAACGTGCACGTCGCACAACAAACGCAAAAGTCGAGCATGTTGTGCTTGACGTTTGCACGTTTTTCAAGCTCTTACTAATTTGTGTTTGTTGAACGAGCGATGCCTTCAACCAGGAGAAGGGGCGACGACTCGGCGATGTCTTTGTGCGAATCAGCCTGGTCGTCGGGCGTGTCGTACGGAATAGATCCTAATTGGTTTGATCGGTAAACGATTTTTTTCTCTAAGCTAGACAGGTTCGCCGATATCGCAAACAACAGTTCTGAAGTAGGGGTCCCACGCCCGTCGTCCGCCGCCATCGCTTAGTCCACTTCGTTCAGCCGTCCAGCTCGGAACTCCTTTGATACGATGCCATGTTGAGCATTATGCAGAGCATGCTTAGAGTGCTTCTGGTTCTCAGCGCAAATTTTTTTTTTTAATCAGCGTATTGCAGTTTTTTAGAAGCCACAAAAAATGGGTATATTTCTTTCTATTTTTAATATTGAGTGTGTTCCTTCGATGATCTAGGACTGTTTATATTTGGTGTGTGTGCCTAAACCATAGAGAACAGCACGTGACCATGCAGAAGAGAGTGAGCTTGACTCAAACCAGCCAGTTCTCAATCGGTGGTTTTTGGGCGGCAAGAAAGCGAATATTGAGCCGCAAATTGTGTTCTGCGTATTTGGGCTTTCATATTTTGGATACAAATAAAAACCTTCACTAGCATAAATACCCTGTCCGTGTCTCTTCAAGGTTAACTTTTTGAGACATTTATATTCTTTCTCAATTTCTTATTGATGATAAGCTAACCCTTTGAGTGCTGGATTTTCTTGTACCGCTTGTCAAACGTAAGTTTTGGTCTTGGTCACGTTGTAGCATGCTCTGCAAACAATATTTTTTATTTATAAAAAACAATATTTTATGGGCGTGAAGTTAATAGATGTCTGCATATTTCCAACCTATGACATATTTCTGATATTGCACTTTTCAACACCTTGTGCTCTGCAGTCGCACCTCGACCTCGCATCCCGGGTTCGCTCTTTCGAGCGGCCTTACTCGACCTTTGTTTATTCGGAACTCTAGCTTTCTTGCTTTCACAGTCATAGAATACCAAGTTCATTCGTAATGTCTAGATCACGGTGTTTGCCATGAAGCGCGAGGTTGAATGGCATAGGTTCACCATTCTGTAGCATCGAAGGAGCATACCAAAACAAAAATGACCTAAATAAAAATTTAAAAAAGTTACATGCCATCAGAAAGGGATGCTACAAGATAAAACATTTGTTTTCATTGCTTGCTCATACATGCCGATACACGTTAACAAAATGACAGCCAAATTGAGAGGAGCAGGGAGCAAACCGAAACTGAAACCACGTGAGAGCACGCCCGAGTATACTCAGGCATGACACTCAAAGGGTTAATGTAGCCAACTTGACCACAGGGCTGGGTAGTGGCTGATTCATGTTTTGTTGTCTGTTCAGAATGGGCACTGTGGACAAAGACTACAGAAAGTTTTCACAAGAGGTAGAGCTCAGAACAGGAGGGTTGGGGGTCTCGGTCCATGTCGCAAACCATCCAAATGAAGCTGGACACTTTGAACAGGTAAGTCTAAAGCCCTTTTCTGAGGAATCCCAGTTTTCATTGACTGCTGTATGCAAGTTTGGAGGAAAGACTTGTCGCACATTCGATATGGTAGATGCTTTCTAAAGAAAAGTGAGAGGAGTTGCTTCTGCCACCTTTCGTTAGGTTCCAGCGTGCCGTGTCTTATTTGGTTGAAGCATTTCTGGGTTAGGTTGCTGAGGTCTAAGCAGCCTTGGTTTCGCACCACCACTCGCCATCCCAAGAAGCCTTCAGTTGCTCTCCTAGCCTGAAGCAAAACATTGTTGCTCATTCCCCATGTTTTGAGAATGGTTTCTCAATATTAAAAAAGTGTTGTTTCAGTATTATGCATAGTTCTGTGCCCAAAATTATACGTCAAAGTCAAATCTGATGAAATTCTCTCCTTAAGGAAGCATGAAATCGGATGTTTCATCTTTGTTTCTTTGTTTTGCAGGGGATCTTGCTGTCGTCCCATTGTCTTGAAGCCAACACAGAAGCTATGTTTGCCCTCTGGAAAGAACTCTTTCTTGGGCAAGTTTTTTTAGGTTTCTCTTTATTTCTCTTCAGCAAATAGATTGTGTTGATCCACTTACGAAATGTTTTAGTGGGACTACATTAAATTTGATCATGTATAATGTGTATTGAAGAATTATGATCGTTACCTACATGTTCAAAGGAACATTTTGTTGAACTTTAGAAAACTGTGTCGCTATTGGGACGGCACTTCAGCAGCCAGCAGGTGGCTAGACCGGAATGGTGTCTGCCCTCGTGTGCTTCAGAGTTAATATTAGGAGTAAATGCACTTGTATTTTGGACATTGAGAAGGGATGCCAATCTTGATCTAGGAATCACTTTATTCATTCAAAGAAAATGCTTGGAACACAACAAAAATGTTGATGGAAACAGCAAGTGTTTACATTCCATGCTCTTTGCTGCTGATGAACGGTCCTTTGGTAAGGAACGGTGTTTAGCTTAATTTTTTAGCAAAGCACTGCGACTTAATTTAGGGTGACTGGGAGTTCTGAACTTGCAAACAAAACCAGAGTTATAGTCAGCTGTCATCAGATTGTGCTAATCTCTGCTAGAGTCAACCTACAGAATGGTCATCCATAGGCCGGCGTATTACCGAGCAGCCACCAGGGCAAAGAAAACAAATGATGAAACAGGTTAATCAAGTTGGAAATACTTTTAATACGAAAGCATTAACTGTCCCGTGGAGCGAGCCGACGTCATCAGTTTGAAGTGCGAAAACGGCACCTAGTTTCCACGATCCCAATAGGAGCGGAGTTAAGTTGATGGATTTCGCCTTCAGTTCCATTGGCTGGCGCGCGTCGACGGGGCTCTCATTGGCCGCTGCGCTCGTCAGTTTCCACGACCGCTCACCTTATGGCGCGCCGTTAACACGGAGCATCCAAGGTCAGCGTGCCCAGGGGAGCACGCACGCTGACCGACGACGATAAGTACACAGCAGACGAAAAATGGAGCGGACGAGCGGCTTGCATGCTTTTGCATTCACAACTCAAAAGAAGTGCTTAGGTGTACCTCAAGCCTTTTTGAAAGATTATATGTCGTGAATTAACCAAGCCCCATTTCATCACCCAGGCTGACATTGGAAGACGAAGAACGCCTTTCGCAGCTCATCCAGATGTGTGCTGCGAGCCTTGCCCAGTCCCTGTCTGACGCCGGCCACCACTATGCAATGTTGCAGTCTGGAAGCTACCTCAGCGCCTCTTCGCAACTTCAGGAAGAGTTCTCTGGCGTTTCACACGTAAGCTTCTCATTATTGCGTATCGTGTTCAGCTGTGAATGCGCCTTGCCTTCCTGAGAAAACATTTAGGCATTTTATTGTGGCACTTTGATGAACATTGTAAACTGCTAGACTGCTCTAAAACGTTGCTGGAAGGCAACTTCAGCTGTGAAGGCAGGATGCTAAAAACGTTCAGTCTTTTTACTCGTGAAGAAGGAAGACCAGCGGAGCTGTACTCGATACACTGTGTGCTTCTTCTTCGTCGTCGTCCGTTTTTTTTCGTGCTGTTTCCTACGATGAATTCCCACCAACGTGCCCAACAATCCATTCTTCTATTATATCTGGAAAGATTGGCGCCATCTACTAGCGACGGCGGAAACCATACTGGTTGTGCACTTGCCGCCGTCGCTTATAGATAGGGTTGTCTGTTTCCGGGTAAAACCTGATTTTACCCTATTTTTACACCCCAAACATGTTTCAGGAGAATCGGGTTAAACCCGATTTCTCCCTGAATTACGAAACCACAAAAACTAACTAATTTTTTTTTTTTTTATGCCTCACGGACTTTGCGGTGCACACACGCTAGCTACCCTACCTCGGGACAACAGTGACCTATAGTTCATTTCGCAAGCTGCTTGCAGCACTGTGGACGCTACACGACTCTCAACCAACCGACCAACGAGCGCGCCTAGCTCAATGTGACATTCTACGGAGGCCTGCTGAGGAAAAGCGACAATAGGTGTTGGCGCCTCGGAGGGACATTTCCTGTCCCCCCGCTGTGCAGGTGGAACCGCCTCGGCGCGCCACGTAGCTTCGACCCTGCTGCACGTAGCTTGTGAAATGCACTATCAATCCCCCTTCGGCCGCTGAGGTGTCAACGCCCAGCAGGGTCTCTCAAGTAGCATGGCTATCTCGCTGGCGTCCAACCTTTCTCACGAACAACGTCCGAGCTAGTCATTCGCGTAAACAGATCGGGAAAACTTAACAGGTTTATTCCATAGCGAATTATGTGATCGAAGACGATTATCCCTCGAATGTTCGGGGTTTTTGTTGATGCCTGAGGGAGAGGAGGATTCCGTGGGCGGTGCTTCCATTGATGAAAATCGGAGCTGGAAAGCCCCGATGTCCCCCGGATTACCAGCTTCAAACAGACCCCTAATTTTAATGCTTTAGCGTTAAAAAGCTTAAAATACGCTCTGATAAAAAAAAAAAAAAAAAAATGTATTATTGAGTTTATTTGTAAATTTAACCCGAAAAAACCCGAATTTCGGAATGTTTCTACCAAAAACCCGATTCCTCCCCAAATATCGGCTTGAAAAATATCACCCGATTTTTATACTCCCCGATTTAAAAAAATCATAAAACCCGAAAACGAACAACCCTACTTATAGATGGCTGTAGCTGTCCAGGTAGGTTTGTGTCGACATACCGGACACGATCCTGGGGAACCTAGCCCTTAACAGCTCTACTGTAAAAATCAACCAAATGTGTTACATCATGGTCTCTCAAACTGCTTTACCAGGAACCCAGGTTTTACCCGGAACGTCTTCAGTAGTTCCCTGAACTCCCAATTTTCCTTGACCATCCCGACCCCTAGGTGGAGTATTTTCCTCTTTGAGCATCATTTTATCGGATTTGAGCTATGTATTGATGCGTAACTATTACCCAAACAGGCCCTAGTGTGTGCATTACTCTTTACAAATTGTGTAGGCTTTTGCACCATTTTATTGCATCAATGTCAAGATCAGGAGAGGTACCTCGGTTGCCATTCACGGCAGGGATGGGTTGCTTGAGATAGCGAAGTTTGAGAACCCCTTTGTTACCCGAATCAAAACTTTAGAAGCGACTTTTCGAAGATTTGAATGAAAGGCCACTGTCCTCTGTTGGAAGGCAAAGGATGTCATCATAGCTTTTGCCTCAATGTGGAACACTGATTATACACTTGTCGGTAGTGACATGTGGCGATTTCCTTGCGAGGGTGGAAGTAGTGGGTCCTGAAACCTCCCGGTCTTACACTGCTCTGCAGATTGTGCAAATGAAGACGCTGGCCGAAGCTCCTAGTCGCAAGTTTCTGCTCCCCCAACTCAAGGAACTTGCCTGTGCTCTACTCAACAAGGAGTCTATCAGGTGACGGCTCTTTTATTTTACACGGGGGTGTTTGCGAGCAACGCCACAAGGCCACTGTAGTCCGACTCACCGCCAACTCCATTTCAGGTGTTCTCTGAATGCAAGCCCCTCCGGGCTGTCTTCTGCGGAGAACCAACTGGATAAATTGCTCGAGTCTGTGCCTGGAAGTTGCACTGTTCCGTGCCCAGAGTTTGTTGACGTGAGATTTTTTTGTTATGGTGCTCTTATTTTTAAGGTTGTTTCTATGCCAACGAGAATGCATGCGTGCACGTTAGAGCTAGAGCAGTAAAAGTTACTCTTTAAAGACAATCAAGTTGAATATGTAACTAAATCACAAATACAATTTTAAAAATGTATTTATAATTGCAGTTACTCATAAAAACTGACTGCATTCTGATGCCATCTAAAATATTCCAGGATGTCGGGGTTCGCCATGACGGCTGATCAATGGTTCAGTTTTCAATCCAGGAACAATATTTGGCATAGCTCTGTTTGGATTCAGGACTATGCTTACGACACCGTTTGGGGCAGTAACAAAATGTTGCACTGATTTTGAGACTAAGCAGGTGTAAATACCTACAGTAATCCCTCGTTATAACGAAGTCAACGGGACAACAAAAAATTCAATATAAGTGGTAGTTTGATAAAAGCGATAGAGGCAAAAAAACAGTGCCAGTGGCCTTGAAGTTGGACGGGAACACTACGGTAAACTCTGATCATATGTTTGATCAAACAAACCTTGGTTATGAAGATCTTGTAGCAACTTTACCGAGTAAAAAAATAATTAAGTGGAATTTGCCGATAATTTCATTCGGGCATCAGTTCTCCTCAAACTGCTCCAGGCATTGCAAGAACACAGTCACCGCCACTGCACGCTACTTTGTTTTGAAGCAGCCGTAGGATGTTTCGCGTCTCCGCAGTCGTCGGCGTTTCCCGAGGTACCTCTCCGACGTCGCTTTGTGTTTACCCTGGCCGCACGCAAAGTGTGCGATCGCAGAACTCGTGGCAGGAGCAACAACAGGAACGTTCGCATCTACAAGCATGAACGAATCAAAGTTATCCTCGGTGGCTTTGCCAACATGTCTTCACACACTCCTGTAGAAATCGTTTCGGCTCCGGAAACTGTGCTCCGGGTCGGTAAGCACGCTCGCGAGAGAAAATTTGACGGTCGCAAAGCAGTTGGCTATTTTTCATCTTCAAGTCACGGGCACGCTCTCTTGCATGAGAAACTTCTCAAACTCATCCAATACCTTGCTTGTTCTGCAAAATGTTGGACAGTTTTGAACAGCCGATGCTGGAATGTCGAATTCTTGTGCCTCTTTATGACTTATGCTGGCCACTTTTCTCAACCTCGCAGATCTAAGGGACTTTTGGTAAACACTCCCAATCTCTCATACGACGCACGTGTGTGTGTAGTACTCTGCAGGCGCGCATCGAGGGCTCCCGAAGGGATGATTTCCTCCGGCCTTCATATCTCCCTTGACCCGATTACGACGTTGGGCAGAGCCGTGAGTAGCGCCGGACAGAGAGTCGGATGCCGTGAGTAGCGTCAGAATATGGACACTGCTTCTGCTGCGCCGCTGCTCCCTGCCTGCGTCCCCGTGTCGGGGCATCGGCATCGAAAGCGGGGCTTCGCATGCTCTGCTATCCATCACCCGTTTACTCTGTTTTCTTATTTGCCGTTTTCCCAGTTTGCCATTTGCCTCGTGGAGAAGGGGGGAAGGAACGCAAGGGTCTCCGTGTGTACCCGTGTAGGCTTGCATGCTTTCGGCACCGTGGCCTTCATAATAAGCGTGGTCGCCCGCCGATACACTTAGAATAATCCAGTAAAAAAAATATATGCATTTTGGTCGTGACCACATTACGTTTTGATAAAAGCGGTAGTTTGAAAAAAGCGATTCCGTTATAACAAGGGATTACTCTATGCGTATTTATTAAGATAATTCCAACAAGTAATTAATTGAACTGAGCTACAAGTTGCTCATGTGTCATTAACTTGGCATTATGGTTACATGTTGTATAAACTTTATTATAACTTGGAAAGTACTACTTAGTGAAACTATAACTAACTACATTAGTTTAAACACTTTTATATTAATTTACAGCTTCGATTAAGACTGTCAGCACATAATGATACGTACATGCCGATTTTAATGCACATTGTCTCGCTTTTCGCTCTCTTTTTCGTTTTATTCAGGAGTCGGACTTTTATGCCAAAGACCGCAAAATCCATTTTGTGTTTCCATTCTCTGTCAACTACTGTGCCAGAAGCTTCAATGCCGTGCCCTATGTGCATCCGGATTATTCGAGGTATTTCTCGCTTCTCGTCCTAGTGCTATTTTGAAGTTCTTTCTCACGTTTGCCAATGTACTCCTGCACATCTCTAGGTGTGCCTTGTGTGTGCTGCATAGGTGTCTAGGGTTGGAGAAACCCCTTGAGGTTAGGCTTGTGCGAATGCGAGTAGTAGTAGTGGATTTTGAGTTGAAAACGAATAGTAGTAGTTTCGGCCAAATATTTTCTAATTGAATATAGGAGAGTTTCTCCAAGGCCTTTCACTAACATACACACCGTGTTTAAATGAAGGTTCAGCTGAACTTGTGAGTGTTCCCAACCTTCCACAGTCCACTTCTAAGCTCAATTAATTTTAATATAACGATACTAGTTATGAAATGTGGCGTGGAAACACCAAATATTTTCGTAGCTATTCTAATCAAGGGTATTTATAAATGTGCTTGCTATGTGCGAATATTCTTTCTTCAAATTCAGATATGACAACAAAGAAAGAAGCACGAATGATGAACGTGGGTTGTCAAGACATTGCTGCCTAACGTATACTGAAAAAAAAAAAAAAAAGAAAGCGTGCAGGCAAGCTAGTGAAAAGTTGACATAACTTTACCCAAACAGGGACAAAAAAGGAAGACATGTACAGTCGCCGACCGATTATTCGGACTTCACTGGGACCGAAAGAATGTCCGAATAATAGAGTAGTCCGAAAAATCAGCAGATTGAAAAACTTGCCTTTATTACTCCCAAGTGGGCTTAAAAATGCCGTGAACAGCGCCTTGTTTCAGGTTACGCCTACGTGCCTTGTTTTAGGTTACGCCTCCGTTTCCGTTTGGCGATTTTCTGTTAGCTTTAGAATCGCTGCCTTCTTTTTTAGCGTTATGGTGGAGTAGCAGAACAACAGATGGGGCCATGACGTCCAAGCCGGCGTTGCCTGAACGAGATCAGAGGCGCAAATCCACGAGCGCAAAATGGTGACTGGCGACGCGAAGGAACGAAAAACAAAGCAAAATGATAATAATGATGATGATGACATGCCGCTAAATGGGGAAAAAAGGGCTGCCATAGCGTCACCTAGCAGTAGGACTCAGAAGTGCTCAAGTAGTGCTGCCAAACCAAGTTAATCCATTGGCAGCCAACACAAAATTCAAAATGGCGGTTTCTTTGTGTTTACCGCTGATCGCTCGGGGCGATTTTGTCCGAATAATCAAACTTTCAGACTTCAAGCTGTCCGAAACATTGGTCTTGAATACACACTATTTCTGTGGGGTAAGTCACGGTTCCGCCTTTAGGTCCAAATATCGAACAAGTCCGAATTATTGGAGTCCGAAAAAACGGTCGGTGACTTTAAAAGGAAGGGACAACACCCGACATCTCTATGGTATCTCCCTTTTATGTGTCTCCTTTTTTCTTCCTTGTGTCGGGTTATGTCAGCTAACATACACCACTACGCTTGCATAATTGCAATGGGCTAGCCCCGTTGAGTGCATTTCTCGTCGAGCACCTGTGCACTGCAGGGGAGCAATACCCTCAGAGCCCTTGAGCTTCATGTGTATTGCTTCGTCGCAGTGTGCAGGTGCTCGCTGAGAGGTGCACTCGGCAGGGATAACCCGCCGAGTTAACACTTAAGCAAGCAGGAATATCAAAGTTCATTTCGAAGCGAATGCCAGGTTGGTGTATTATTTGAAATTACTATTCAAATAGTATTCACACAACCCTACTTGAGGTACATTTGATAACCTGTTCGTGCCCTCGGCTGCTGAAGAGCATAATCTGGGAAATATTTGTTAGGTTTTTACAGCGGAACTGTTAAGGGCTAGGTTCCCCAGGATTGTGTCCGTGTATGTCGACACAAACCTATCCGGACAGCTACCACCATCTATAAGCAACGGCGGCAAGCACACAACCAGTATGATTCCCGCCATCGCTCGTAGATGGCGGCAACCTTTCCAGCTATAATAGAAGAATGTATAGTTGGGCGCGTTGGTGGGAATTCATCAAAGGAAACAGCGCGAAAAACAGACGATGAAGAAGAAGCACACAGTGTATCGAGTACAGCTCTGCTGGTCTTCCTTCTTCACGAGAGTGGAAAGGCTGAACGATTTTGCTTAAGCATGTGAAATAACCATAAATATTGATTCGACCCCAGCAGCAATACTCTCCTATATCAATCAAGTCTGCTTACAATCTAAGTAGAAAGAGAAGAAAACATTGAAGTAGAAGAAACTTGTATAGCCTCAGGTAAAGCACATGCACACCCTGAAAGCTGGGCAAGTTATTGTTGCCTGCAGAAGCGTTTGGGAGCATTGCACTTTCCTGTTCATCTATAATTATTTATTTTGAATGTAGTGGGCATGTCATTTCCCTTGCCCCTTGAAATTACTTTGCTGGAAATGAGAACCCTGATAAAGCCTTCTAAATAATATGGCGTATTCTTGAACAAAAAAAAAGGGTGGCTTTTGAATGCTGCCTGCTGCTCTTAAATATATTTTATCAGAAGAATGTTCTATAGCATTCAGTTCATAAGAGATTTGTTTTTCTAGCCTTTCGATTGCATCCCAATTGCTGTCACACAAGTACCTTTTGCGGGAAGTGAGGTGAGTTCCACAATCTGAATAACCAGGCAAATAGCTCTACAGTTAAAGTGACGCATTCCTAATTCCAAGGACACTAGGATGTGGCTTTTCTTGGTGAAACTGTATAGACGTGCATCACAGATGTTTAAGTCTGAGGTGCTTTGCCGCATTTACACTCAGACAAGAGTCACCAGTGCTGAGAATGGTGATGATAGCACATTTTCTTTATTTGGAGTTGCTCGTTGCATGAAAGAAATCAGCATTCAATAACAGTCCAGTGCTAACCCCTTTGCTGTGCTCTTCTGGTTAGCTACAAGCTTAAACGAGGAAGACTGGATTACAATATTCAACGATTATGGCTGGTGTATCTATATAAGGTGTGGTCAAATGAGATTCTTTTTGTGCACCTCTGTTATACGTCCTTAAAGGTACATCGCCAGGTGGGGCAGAATTAAACGGAGCAATACATGAGGAAGCAAGAGTGCACCAGGTTTTTTTATAAGAGGTTGCTGTACGCGTTTAGACACGCACCCAACTGCGGGGGGAAGTGGTGGATACCATCCGCCTTCCGCAACTGGACGCCTGGCCTAGCTACGGGAGATCTTCCACTTCTTCATGTCCTTTGTGAAACATTTGCATCCCGTCGGTGACTGTTCTTTGACACACATTTGTCACTATACATTGCCCACATTCTGCAAGGAATGTTGACTGGTCAACACTGTTCCGCTGTAAAGAACTGAATCACCCTTCGCTGACCAACCTTCGACGGACTCCTAGTCACACCGGCCATCTGTTCACTGGTGTCAAACAAAAACCAGACATGCAAGAAGAATGAACGCTTGCCCGCTTGTACTTTGGTCTGCTCTTATTACAATAATCAAAACGTCATTTGGCTCCTCTTGTGTTGGTCTACGTGACGTGGCACAAACAAGTTTCATTTGATCACGCCTGGTACTAATAAAAGGCAGCAGCCAGCCTGTGTTCAGCTAAAGATATCTTGGCTCACGAGATACTGCTGCTTCTTTGTGTCGGTGAATAGGATTAGTCTGAAAAGAGTCTTCCTATACACAGTTCTAGAGTTCTGCAGCCAAACTTCCCTAGCATGTCTGGTTAGATCACATCGGAATTGCTTGACTATATGTATATATTTGATTATGCAAGTATTATATACAGTCCATCTTATGGCTGTCTGCAGAGAGAAAGGTGGTGCGTATGGAGCAGGAGCCATCGTTCGTCCTGGTGGATGCTTCAGCTTCTACTCGTACAGGTGACTTGCAGTCTTCTTTTTAAAGCAGAATTTACTTGTAGTTTTGTCTTTTTTGCTATGATATTGCATATAGTTTAAAGTTACCCCATCGGATGTGTTGAAGAGTGCCAGCTCAGTTGGTCCAATTGCTTGATAGTGCAGCTTCCTGCATTTCTTCAGTATGGCGAAAAGGCTGTTATCAAAACTAATTGTGGCTTGCTGGAATCTATATGTATGCAGCACGAGCTGATGTGCTCAGATTTGGTGCTCATTGCTGTCATTTACGAGTAAAATGCAAGCGGGCACCGAACCCACTTCAAGTTCTTACGGTGTCACGACACATGTACAACTTGCGTCTGTTATGGTGGGGCACAGGGATCCCAACTTGGAAAGAACGCTGGCCACCTTTTCCGACTCTGTGTCCTGGCTGGAGAGAGGCGAGTTCACGGAAAAGGATCTCGAAGAGGCCAAACTGTCCTGCTTTGCAAAGGCAAGCATTTTGTTCCCTGTTCTCATCAGGCAGTCTTGCAAGGTCTGCCAACTCTTCGCTCATTTCTGTGAACGTGGGGGGCTGCCACTCAAATAAAGTGCCCGGTTCACCTGCCATGTTTGCTAGTCAAAATGCAAACAATGAATCTCACATCGCTGCTGTTCTTACGCCTGGCTTTTGTAGCAAGTTTGGGACATGATGCTAGTCTTGCTGAAGTAGACAAAACAGATGCCTCTTGTTTCAAGATGAATCGAGTATCTGTGCAGACCAAACAGTTTGCTGCACATAAATGCATATCCCGCCAGATGTATTTAGGAAATTATTACAAACTTGCTGTGTTGGTGACAGTCTGGTTCCAACATCTAGGCATGAATTATGTTTTACTAGTTTTGAACTTTTTGCTCTAGTCAGCATTTCGATCTGGCAGAAAAAGTTGGACAAACGTGTTGCATTGAAACAATGCCTGTTGCAATGCCTTTGGGAGTTGTTTGCTTGGAGTACGCGAGACTGTAGCTGCATCGCTGGGAAGTGCAAATAGTACCTAAGTGCATCTGGTTGCCCTTGTCTCAACTAGGGATGTCGCGAACCACCCTAGGTTCGATTTCGAAAGGTTTCGATATTTGCGAAGCGAACTGAGGTTCGATTTCGAAAAATTTCGATATTTTCGTACCGACCGAGGTTCGATTTCGAAAAATTCGCAACTTTTGACCACAGCGGTGTTTCGAATTCGAAAATTTCGAAGCTTTCACGGTTTCTAAAATTTCGATATCGAATATTTCGAATATTTTTTTACTTCAGGTTCGATAAATTCGAAGATTTCGAAATTGTTTGTAAAAAAATTCGAAAACTTCGAACGCTTCGAATTTTTATAGACATGAGGTTCGAACAATTCGAAGATTTTGAATTTCTTCTTGCATAAAGTTCGAAGGTTTCGATTCTTTTTTAACGTTAAGTTCAAAAAAAAAACAAAAAAACTTCGAAGATTTTGAATTTCTTTCTAATCCATGTTTTCAAAGTTCGAAGTCCGATTTTCAAGTTTTTCCACAGTTTCAGTTTCAAATAACGTTTTCACGACTCACTGGTTTTCACAAAATCAAGTTTAGAAAAGTTAGGGTGTGATATCTAGATTCTGCGAAGTTGGTCAGGCAATTAAATGAGGCGACGAGTGTCCCGGACGTGCTAGAATATTTGCCAGTGCAGAATTGTGACCGCCAGCCCTGGGGGGGGGGTCTTCAACCTGCATCACGCAGTAGTGATTGCACGAACACACTGTTTTACGAGACTCATCCAGTTCGAAACGGCCAGGGGCGAGCAGGAGGTTGAGGCTCAGAAAAACCTTGATGCGACCTGGCAAACTAGCTCGCCACCCCTTGCACGCTGGTAGTAATCCGATCCGGTGAAGTTTATAATTTTCCTGGAGGTTTATTTTCTGGGACGGAGGAATCGCCTCGCAAAAAGCACAAAAGCCGACACAACTCGAGGTCGAGGAGCGTTCTACCATACAAGTGGCGTCGAAAGAGGAAAAACGGGGGAAAGAGGGCAGCGAAGGGGGAGGGGGGGGGGGTGCTTCAGCCTCCTTCTTCCCCTTGCAGGTATTTCGGACTGTTAAAGAAAACAATACGGGGAAAGAGGGCGTGGTCGAGCTTATTTTAATCTGACACTGCATAGAAGGTTGCGTAGATGTTCATTGTTAGAAACTCGTTGTCAGATGGCACTGCTCGTCACATGCTTAGTGGTTCGGAAGTTCAAAGCTGTCTTTTCGACCTAAACACCTGTGCCGATAGTAACAAAAAAAAAAAAAAAAAGAATAAATGCGGGAATAAAAAGCAGGAAAAAAAAAAAACTATCAAGAATTCGTCGGAAGTGTTCTATTCTTGCATATTCAGAGGTTCAGAACTTCGAAACAAGTTTCTTTTACCAAAATGTATACAGGCTAAAAGAAACACGTCCCAGGAACGTGAAGCGAAAAAAAAAAGTTTTCTTTTAATGACGTGCTGAACTTGAACTCTATTAGAAATCTTCTCCCATGAGTTAATTTATTCCTTAACGTGAAAAAACAATGAATATATTATTTTGTATTCTGCAGATGGCAATGATATGTACTGTCTGTGGTGTTAATTTAAATGCGGTACCTCAAACAACTTAGACGAAAATAAATATCAAGTTTAGGTCATAATTGCATGCAGATACATGTTTGGACATTTCTTCGAAACTCACGTTGAATAACAATAATCACATCTTAAGACGGCACTTACCTAGGCTATACATAGATCATTCTTAAAAAAGTATAACATATCTACCATAAATAGCTCCGGCTGCAGCGTGCTTCAAATCTGGCACAAACAATAATCGTCAAAAACCCGTCGTCCTTCCTCGCCCCTTCGGGGATTTATTTCTTTAAACCTAAGCATGCCAGAACATTGAAATAAACGACATTGTCTTTCGTAAGGAACGCAGCACCGCGTGTAAAAGTTCGAGAAAAAAAAATTACGAATGTACACCACTACCTGAAATCAAATGAAACCGTCCGCCGGTCTTTCGAAGTTCGACGAACGTCGAACTTTTACCCTAAAAGTTCGAAGTTTGTCGAACTTCTGACTTTTCAGAATTCGAACGTTCGAAACTTTTCGAATTCTCTTGATAGATAAGTTCGAAAGTTTGAAATTCATCGAATTTTTTGGTCAGTCAAGTTCGAAAGTGCGACAAGCATCGAACCTTGCAGCGCAATAAGTTCGAAAGTTCGAAAAAGATCGAATTTTTAGCGTAATAAGTTCGACGGTTCGAAAAGCGTCGAACTTCTTAGCTTAACAAGTTCGAAAATTCGACTTCCGTCGAATTTTACGATATAGAAAATTCGAAAAATCAAAATCTTTTGAACCTTTCGAACCGCTTGATTCGATCATCGAAACTTCGATTCGAAAAAAGTTCGCGGCATCCCTAGTCTCAACTCACAATTTCTGAGGGTTTGCGCCGCTTACTGCATGCTCCTTACAAAACTTTCTACCATATCATGTGGCCAGCACGTGCCATGTGTCACAAAAGATAAGAAAAAAGCTACAGCAAAGTATGATATTAAACCTCAGGTGCAGAAAGGTTGCTTGGTCTCAATCATCAGGAATGAGCACAAACATGAACCTAAATATTTTTTTTTTTCAACAATAAAAAAAAAAAAAACTAAGGGGAAAAGATATTTTGGAGGGCTTTTTTTTTAGTTTAAGGAGTATTCACCTGCTCATCAGTCAATGGGCGAATTTCACTACATAAACCTTAGTTTCAGGAATGTACCGGAGTATTGATTATTTTTGATGCTCAAATGAAGATGTAATGAAAGTCTTGCTACTTTTCGATTTTTCTGCAAGAGCACTAAAGATTTTTAATAAAAAAAATCTAGAAATATGACTTTTTTGACTGTTTTGAGCACCTTTTGAGGCAATTTTGAAATTAAAATTACTTAGATGACAAAACCGACAGAATGAATAGTAGTACTTACTAGAGGTGTCTCCTCTTTTGATTTTAGGATCCTGATGGGAAACCTAAATGTCTTGACATTTGCGTATTTGTGCAAATAAGTTTGACAGGGCAGCTTCTGCTAGATTTACTTTCAATGTGTTCAGCAAGATGGCGACGTCAGCACCAAATGCCCCAAGCCAGAGCATTTGTTGTTGTTTTCACGAGCTTGGACGGGTGGTGACTCGCTGCATGAGTCCTATGTTTGATACCACCGACATCAGTTTTGCCATTTTGCTGGAGAATGATCTGTGCGAGATTTTTGTCTGCTGCGCCACAGAAAAAATAGGACCAATGAGAGGCGACGCATGTACTATGACATAGTGATACAATGGCAACGTGCTGTGTCTCGCCGCCATGCGACGAGCTTCACCTTCAATTTTAGAGTGACCACAGCTGGCGCCACGGTTAGATCGTGCCACGTAACCTTGCACTTTGCGAGCTTCTAGATCATACCAAAGAGTCACACGCCCCCAGTAAAAAGTCCCTTGACGCGTTCGCCTTGCCAGTGGCATAAAATCATGAAATGCGCCAATGCGCGAGTTTGTGCCTAGTGCGACACTTGGAAGAAAATGGCGGCGCAGCACTAAAATAAGCGGCTATGGAGTGGCCTCTGAAAGGGAGCCGCGATGCGGCTCTTGCTCCTGGTTTCGTGGTATGTGTCGCTTGCATTCGCCAACAGTGGTAGTCGGTACTTGTAAGAAATGCCAAACGTGAATTTTAGATTGAGACTTCAGCTCACAGCACTGGTTTGGCTTCCTGGCTTTTTGGGGGGCTCGCTAGTACTATCAGGGAAAAATGAAATGCGAACAGAGGAGCGTGTGGCTCGCGGTACAGGCTGCGTCGCCTGGAAGTGAGCCTAGGGGCGAGGCTGTGTGGCCTACTTCCATGTGTATAAACCCCTCGCTCGGCGCTTCCCAAGCTTCGGCATTACACCTCTCGGTGCGCTGAAAGCTATCACCGCTATTGTTGCTTGCTCGACGCGTGTGGCGCGAGGAAGCTCGCCGCTTGTAGTAGCTAAAGCACGCGCTGGCTGAGCGCGCGCTCTAGCTGCTACTAGCGGCGAGTCGAATTAACCGAGGTCGAACTAACGAAAGTTTAGTGTACAAATGAAGCACAACTTTCTTTGATTATCCCACCAATGCTACAAGTGCCCGTGCAATAAATGTGAAATAAAAATAATTAAAAAAAAAAGAGAGGAAACCATTTTTAGCATTTTAATAAAACGCTAAATGTGATGCACAATTTTTTTCTTGTTTTTTTAACGCTTTTTTAGTGTTCGTGAGCAGATGCTGAGAAATGCTTATACACCGCCCTCTATGTTTACGAAATCGTAGCCCAGACCGTTGTGATTTTTCGTCGTTTCGAAAAGTGAGCAACGAACCCGCTCTATGCACTATTCAGCATGCGATCTTCACAGCTCAACACATACGTGTTTGTCGACTCTGAAAGCGAGCAAAGCATGCGCCGTGCGAACAAGCACTGAGAATGGCACCACGGTCAGGAGCTCTTTTCTACCTGCGAGCGTGACTCGTGCAAACTGTGACGCTACTCGTTACAGGCTCACATATAACAGCTGAACTCAGTGGAGCAAAAATTAACAGCAAAATTTGCGCTAAAAACATTTATTACAACACGCCGCAGCGTATTCGTAGGAAACCAAATTTCATTAGACGAAACAAGCGACGCCACGAAACCCAATACATGATGTCAAAACGTCAGTTGCGCCTTCATCTGCACACAATTAACACTAACGTGGAAGTTTGGGCTAGTTGGTATTTCATGATTAAAAATTTAAACAGCGCAAGGACACGGACAAGAACAAGAGGTAGACGAACAAGCCGCTGTTTTAATTTTTAACAGCGCCTTGCTGTTCTTGCTGTTCTTGTCCGTGTCCTTGCGCTGTTTTAATTTTTAAACAATTAACACATTTGCGAAAGCTGACAACCCAAGTGCACACAACCAATGCACAACAACATCGGCTAATGGGGTGTTCGCAAAACATGTTTGAATTGTTCGAAACTGGTTCCAACTTCTGAGCCGGTCGTAAATCAGAGCCATTTCTTTGATTATTATATTGCTTGTGCCCCGTTCTGGGCGTTGGCCCCAGGCAGTAGTGGCGGACGACGGGCCGACAAAATCTAGCTCGCCTACATCGGCGGTGAACAGCCCGTGGCCCGATCGCCCACCACGAGCACCCGACCTGCATGTGCAGCTGCGAGCATGCAACTCGCTTGTTCCGGAAATTTTCTGCGTCATCTAGGAGGAAAAGGCTGCAAATAAATCACGGGCAAATCCCCCTTAACACAAAAAATTTATGGCAAATTGCTAGGCAATTGCATTGCATACATGAAACATTCTAGCGTCACAAGTGTTTGATACTCTGAGTTGCCAGACGCCTACGTTCACGGTGCTCTTCATCAGATAGTGTAACATATGCCCTGTGTGCACTTGATAGTTGTTCCTAGAATGAAACTATACTACCGTTAATGGGGCTGATAAACCTGACGATCTCCCAGTGCCTTCCGTACTCGTGAGCTCCTCTCCCTCACTGCGCACAGATGGTCGAGCTCCTTCTCGCCCACCCCTCTGGTCCCGTGGCCTTTGCGTCAACCAGTCAGCGTCGAGCACCTCACTCCTCCTCTCCCATCTCTCAACCAATCAGTGTCGAGCCTCGTGTCCCTGCTTTTATCTGGGCTTCACGAAATGTCGAACATCTGACCAAAGAATGTTTTTTGTCAAAAGCTTTTACAAGCTTTTCTCTCAGCTTTTTCATGGGTCATTAGAGATGACTCTCAATTGTTTGGAGCTTGTAGGGGCAGTGAAATCTTAATCAAATGCACTGAGACCATGAGTTTATTTTATTCAGTACTCACTTGGGTGAACGGGCTGTTCACCTTTGTTTGCTTCCTCTGAGGGACATGGGCCACAGTAACTGTGCTCCGCAAATTGAGAATTCTTCTTAGGGCGCTTTGGTGTTTTCTTCTCCAAAGATTAAGTGCTCTGCGATGCTCAGTGCAGTGTCCATGTCAGCGGCATTTGGCTTGAAAAGCGATGTAGTGGTTTCTTGGCCTTACACTTGCACAATTTTGCTGTCTGAAGGCAGACCACAGGCCTTGACATGTTTGTTGACATCAATGTATTTGATTACAAAACATCCCCAAGACAATTGCTCTAGCCCAGTTTTGTTAGCCATGTGTGCTGCATGACTATGTTGCCTGCTATTGATTGCTTTCATAAACTTCTGAAGGAATGGTGCCAAGGTGCATACACGCTGCCGTGCTTGGCTTGGTTGACCTGGCAGCTTAGCACCGCTAGTTTTCTATGTTCACTGTATTTCTGACCGTGCCACTGTAACCGTGTAAAGAGCAGATAAGCGATAAACTAGGCGTGGTCAGCATAATCGCGAGGCTTTTTCATTACCGGACTTCTGGAACACAGATGCATTTTTTTCCCTACGCGTGCATGCACAATTGGTGGAACTGTACTCATGTTTCAAACTAACCAAAAATTAAAATGAAGCGATCAAATTACTGAGACTCAGCGGTATAACTCATACCTACTGACACGAAAAGCCAGTGAAAAAGAATTCAATCTTGCCAACAGAAGAATGCTGTTGCTGTTGCCATTTTTTTTTGTTAATCGCAGTATTTATGTGATTCTTAGCATCTGCTTGTTCTTGCTGCACGAGGCTAAAAAAGATAACAGATTTTACGTCACTGTAAGCTAAGCATACCTCAACTGTAAGGTCCTCCCCCAAACAGGGTTGTTCTTTGCATGCCGCCTTGTCTGGAAAAAGGTGGACTCTTAGAATTGTATAATTACTGTTTGTAAGTGTGCAAGTGTCCTCTGCAGGTGGACAGTCCTATTGCCCCAGGCTCCCGTGGCTTGGGTACCTTCCTGCACGGAATCACCGATCAGATGAAGGAGCAGCACAGGCAACAGCTCTTCAACAACACCAAAGACCAAGTCATCGATGCCATCAGAAGGTAAGCCATGGTGTTTATGTATCAGTCTTGTAATAAACAAGAACAATTCAGTGCACTGGAATTCGTCGACAAACAAAGAATTGCATTCTTGGTAGGGGTGTGCGAATACCGAATAGTAGTTTTCGAATCGAATACCGAATTGAATCAAGACAAAAAGCCAAATATTGAATCAAATATCGAATAGTGATTTTATCTGTAGGAATTTTTCAAAATGTGCTGCGAATGAGATTCTTATATGTGCAGAGTATGTGCCTGTTGCAGAATATGCATCTTGTATAAAACAAAAGCTAAAATGTAAAAAAAATTTCGGTGAAAAAAAAATTAAAAAAAAATAAAAGCAGTTGCTGTTGGACACTAAAGATCCAATCTTATGGCTCAATATAATCTATCTACCCTAAACGTCACAAAATGACCAAAGTTACAGCCACGCATGTCTTTTTTTCTTGTTAAAAGCACAACCTAACACCACAACCTTTTTTTGATAACTAGGTATTTGTATATCTCCAAAAAGGGGCATTTTGTGATATTTGGTTTCCATTTTAAGAAAGAAAAATAGCACCCAGGATTTTATTTCACATAAATAACCAGATAGGTCTTAAATCTGAGTAAACAGGCTTAAACAATATAATCTGAAGTAAGAAAAAAAACTTTTTTAGGTGGCGCAAGACACCGTCCAACTGCCGCTATGCATCCATTTTTCCGTCTACCTATCCTGTTTTAGAGAGCCTTGATTTAAAAGAGGGAGCAAGCGAAACTGAAACCACGGAGACGGCTCCAGCGCAGATTGGTCGTAAGTGCGCATGTGTTGTGTTGTCGCGTGAAAAAAGGCGAGCAAACAGAAGGGCGACGACGCCTGCCCTCCCTGCCCTGCCTGCCCAATCCCGATCGACGCTTTCGTCTTTTCGTCACCTTCTCGCAGTTCGTAATTCAAACGTGGCTATCGAACGGTTGGAAACCCTCTCAAATCTAGGCACACTATTTGTTCGTTCCGTTTTGTTCTGAATCAGAATTTGCGGCTTGCGGTTCCAAAAGAACCACAACGATAACTCTGCTGGTTTCATCGGCGTGGTTATCGTGGTTTTCTTTCTGTGATCGTGCAGTTGCCAATTTCTGTGAGTGCGGCAAGTGTGTTTTACATCGGTGCTTGAATTTGAAACGAGGGGCTTTACTCGTGAAAATAATTAGGCATGGCGCGGTATTCCGGCCTCCTGACAATTCCTCTCTTGAAGCGGCGCAAATGGGATGTTTCGGTTGTGATTCAAGGGAAAATTGTGTCACGATCGTGAGTAAATCCGCATGCTATAAAGTTGGTGGCATTCGTTACTTTTCTTTTTTCTAACCTGTGCGTTAGATTTTTGTGGAATGGTAGGACCATGAGCTGTTTTTCGCATGTTCTGTCTAACATCACAGGCGCTTACATCGGGAGAAAAAACTGCTTTTTTGTCAGCTCCGCGCCGACCGCGCGTCTTTGGCCGAATATATTGAATATTCGAGTAATTAAATACTAGGAATTTGATTCACGAATCGAATTATTCGGGAACTTTCTATTCGATTCGTATATTCGAGTATTCGCACACCCTAATTCTTGGCACAGGGCTAATTGTTTAGTTCAGATGCCAAAAGAAGGCTACACTATGGAAGAAATAGAGGTCAACGAAGAAATGGAAGGGAAGAGAGAAAAGGCAGATTTTTCTGGTCAACACAAGCCTTGCCTTCATGTTTTCTTTTATTTTTTGTTCTTTTCCAGGAGCGTGAGCGAATCCTGCAGGTCCAGTGTAGCTGTCATAGGTCCCGAAAACGGCTTCACGGAAACCGGGAAACAGTGGCTAGTCCATCGAGAGTAGGTGTTAGACAGCATATTTTGTTTGTCTTTTTGTACCTTTTTTTTACCAAAGGGACAGTTGGGTATGTTTCAATCTCAACATATTTCTGATGAAATGAGCAGGCAAAAGTGTCTCTTGCTTAATGAGCGTAGCATGACAGTGAAAGTGAACTTTTAGGAGGCATTTTACAGATCTGCACATATATAGTATTTACACTGATGTTATGCCAGACTTGTTATGAAGGATTTTTAGTTATAGTAAAAGCATTGTTGTATTGTTTCTATCCTTATTTATTAGCATCATCTTATACCACCCAGCTGTTTCTAGGCTCCAAGTGGATTATGGACTTAGTTTACAATTGGTGTCATCAGTTTGCCTCTAGCACATGGGCAAATAAATGCATTTTCGTAAGTCTCGCCTTTGTGACTATTTTAATTTGTGTTGCGACGCCGAAGTCAACATATAAACATTTGTGTAACATCTGCAGTTTCATACTTTAATTTGTTAGCATTATTACCCACATGACAGGAAATAGCTGACGCCGTCCGTCTGCGGACAAAATAGTAGAAAGGGAAGTGCGCCACGTAGAGAGGATGAAATTAGTGAAGGACACTGGCGAGAGGGAGGCGACGTTGTGGGGTAAAAGCCAATGCACACACGGGAAACCGGTGAACAGCAAAAGCAGCGTCAGGCAGAGGATGCCACTGCTAAGCGTGCAAGGCGGGCGTATGAGACAGGAGCGGAAGCGACGCCTAGCTTGGCTGGCCGAGATGCGGTGCAAGAAGCAACATGCTGATGTGGGTCTGCGTGCGACAGAAGCCAGAAAAAATTAAGGGGGGACACTGGCTAGAGGTCAAACTTTTGAACTACTCAAGTGATCGGAATGCAATTTCCAGGGGAGATTTAGCTTTAGATTTAGGTTTACTGTGCAAACTTTCAGCTCTCTAGGACAAATTTACATACCTGCATACGATTATATGTCACTTTTCATTAAAAAATCTACAATATGCAAATGAAGCTATTAAGCATCATTTTGACTGCTTGAATATAAAGTGGGGGATATGGGACCTCGGGCTATCTAGTTTTAATAGCTTAAATGTAAATATTTCAGGAAGAGTTATTACCTCAAACTATGAGATGCACATCTGTCCTCTGTCAATTTTTGAAAACTTATTTTTTTATCACTGTGAACTTCAACTTAAAACAAAATAAAGTAGATAGCCCGATTCCTGAGTAAATTTCAGTTCAGGAACATCTTGATTGTGGTATCAGAATACTTTCACCTTCGAACAAAAGATTCCTTCGTATGAAATTTGCAGCAAAAAGTGGAACTGAGAAAAATGCATTCAAACATTGAACTCCTTTACTTTGTCACTGTCTCACAATATGTTGAAAATATTTTATATCATTGTAACTATTAGGCATATGGTTATCAAATTCGGTGTAAGGGTGTACAATTGTAACGAAGCCTAAAAGAGGCAGCAAGAAATAGGGGAAGCAAAAGAGAAAGCCAAACGGAAAAGTGAAGCGGTCAGCACTGGCATTTCCCAAAAGAGGACGTGTGTGGCGATTCCCAACGGTCGTGCTAACGCATTTCCTAAGGATTTACCAGTAGATCTTTTTCTGGCTTATGGCAGTTGAGTCTTTTTTCTTGCTGGGAGGTTTATGATACCCTACCGTGGTTCTCCGAAGTATCTGGTTTGAGTTTGCCAGAGGTGTAGAGCTAATAGGAAACTGCATTCTCGCGGAAGTACTGAAAGATGAGCTTTCCTAGATAAAACTATCCTCTCTGGGCCCTTACAGTGGAATTGGCTGTACCACTTTTTCAGAAAATCGATGCTGGAGGTTTTTTAGATAGGCCCTCTTATCACTTTCTGTTAAAGTACATCCTTCTACTGTAGAATACCGCGGATCCGCCCACTTCACAATAAGCGCCCATTCCCATATTTCAAGATCTCAGAAAATATGCACAGTACGTTTATATGTAAAATTGATGACTGAACAAGCATCCATCCCGCATGTTCCGTGATTATCTCTCAGTTTTGAGTGGGCACTTGCAAGCTATCTTATGGTATATGTTTACCCTCAAAAAATTTGTAATCTATTTGCTGATCAGCCCAATTACACAAGAAACCCAAGTTACATAGCTCATTCAAATGCTAAAAATCGATCTGTTACTCACCGTGTGCAAATGCTCCTTACTGGCGAGCTTTCCTTTCTTTGTAAGGGGTGCTTTTCTGACGTGCACTGTTCTGCAGTGGAGGAGCACTACGGTTAATAGCGGTTCATGTGGCTATTGTGCTACTAGCTAGGAACTGAAAGACGGCACTTGCGTGGCTGTAATGCATAGTATTCCCTTTTCGGCAATTTTCAGTTAAAATTGCAGGTGAAAGTCATCAAGTGAAACTAAACTAGAGCCACAATGAGCAAATGCTGACTTCACAACACTCCTGTTGCTTACAAAAGGCCCTATTGCAGACGATGACTGCATGCGCTGGACAAATGGAACGCTATAATGTAGCTAATGGTTTAAGTCAATATTTCAGTAAATAAATAGTTTCAAAGTTAAAATAAAATTTCAATAACTATAACTAACTTTAGTTACATTTTTGGAACGAGTTGTAATATATGTTCCAAAATTATGTTGACAAGTACACAAATTCACATCTATGTAGTCTCAACATCAGTATGTGTTGTAGCTGCCTCAGACCCTACCATGAGCAGAGTGCAGATTTAAGACAGAATTTTTCCAGTAACTTTTCCATGCTAAAGATTGAACTGTTGAGCAGTTTCAGCACACCAGGATATAACGAGATATTTTAAAAGTAATTGCAACATAACTTGGTTACTTTTTGTGGGTAACTAATTGTAACTAGATACATATGTAGGAATGTAACTGTATTTGTAGCTTCAATACATTTCAGATGAAGTTGCTATAACCTAGTTTTAGAGAAACTTTAACAGCTTTGGGCAAATGAGCTTCAGTGGGTATTGTTATATGCATGTTTTCTCGCATTACACATTTTAATTTGTTGAGGAGTGGCAACTGAACATCTTCTACTCTTCAATGCAGTGAGTATATTACTATAAACACGATTCTGAGCAATAGCTTGATCAAGTTGCTACCTGCATCTTGAAACTGAGCTTTAAAAAACAATCCTGCAATTGCTTTTTAAAGCTGAGTTGGAGCACTACATTCAAGAGGCTGCTGAGAACTGCTAAGATGCTCAGATGCAACAGCCTAATACTCTTTTTTTATTTTTTATGGTATAGCATTTATAGGTGATTACATGTTTTTCTTTTATTGAACCACTCGTCGGTTTATTTTCGGTCGGTAAATTGCTGCCGCAGTACAAATTCTCAGTTGACCAATCACCAGTTCGTGGGCTAGGAGACTTGCACTTATTCAATAAATTCAAGATAACAATCTATTATATTCTGTGAAGAAACAGGCTAGTTGTAGTAGATAATACTGAGTAAATTGACAGTTTTAGTATTGCATTTAAAGGACCCCACTTCAAGTAACCTCAGGAGTCAGTATCATGGTATCTCATTCTGTTAAAATGCAGCACCTAAAGTGAGCTCGAGTAAAACACTTGAAAATCCGACCTTAATGTCAAGACATCCATCCAGTGTCCAGTAAACAAAACCTAATACATATTAAAAAAAAACCTTTTTTTTTTTTTTTTTTTTTACTTTTAGAAATAAATTATGCGTCTCCAAACGCTCATTTTCCGCGCCCAAATGTAGCGTTGGTGATCCGAACCAGATTCAAAAGCCTCAGGACTAACCGTTATCTTATTCAAAAGTTATATGTGATATTCTTACATTTTCAAGGGGAAAATGGTGGCCGATGGACGTGTGGAATGGCGCCAGTTACCAAAATGGGCAAAAACAGGTCCCATTTTTCATTGAAATTTTCATAAAATATCTTTTGAGGTAACAGTTAGGCTGAGTATAAGCATTCGGCGATGCAAATTTTTATTTTTGCAATAAAGAAAAATTATTTGGGCGGGAAAGGAGCATTTAAAAATGCATAATTAATTTTTGCAATTAATTTTTTTTACGTTATGTATTAGGATTTTGACAATATACTCCCCAGGAGTCAACGCCAGGGTCGAAAGCGAAATGTCGCGAATTCTAAAGGCGACGCGCGCTATGTTAGCGGCACCGACCTAATTAGCGCTAAATGAGAATTGCGGCAGCTCAGACAGAAATCAACCCCACCCAAGGCGGGGGTGGCCCCCTGGTGAACCTAAAGAGGGGCTTTAGGGAACCATAGACGACATGGTCCGCACAGCACATGTAGTTATCGCCTGTTTTCTCCTGGTGTACTTATCTTTTCAAAGAACCTGATTGCCACGTGCTTAAACTTTCTCTGTACCTTGCTTCATAGAAAGGCTAATAATGTACTATCTCTCCTTCTTTCTCTCTCCAGTCATGCTTTCGGGAGGTCGTGGAGTCTTGTGATCGTGAGACAAGACAACACGCGCACTGCGGTCATAAACAAACGAAGGGGTTGCCAGTCCCGTGTAGTTGCGTCTTGACAGACCATCTGCAGCCATGGCAACGACTTGTAGCTTATGTAGTGTATTATGTGGTGATTATATTACTAGTGAACACGAAACGTTGACAGCATAGCAGAAAAATGTTCGCAGTGTGTAAGATATGGATGTCCATCCCTCGAAGAGGATCGGGCAAAATCCTCAAGTTCGTGCATTTCCCATTTGTAGCCACAGTTGGAGTTCACCGATAATCTAGCACTTGTTATAATTATTGCAGCACAGGTGAGTGCTTCGCGGAATTCGTCAGTCTGGTATGAAGAGGGACAAAAGACGGACCTCTCAAGACGCCCTTCTGCCGACGTAGGCAACTAGTGTGCCCAATATTTTTACTCATTATTTTTTGAATGTTTATTTTATTGAGGTCAATAGTTACAAATATTTTTAATCTTAACAGACGTCTTACTGAAAGTCTGCCAGTGAAGTCATAGGTTTACCTTGATCAGCCGAACGTACAACCGTCATGAATAGTATAGTAACAAGTTTGGGCTCAAACATTCCCACTTTATCGCGAATATAGGTGTAAATATTCACATATAATTTGCACCACTGTACTTACCTTTCTACTTCTTTCTGTAGAAAAAAAAATGACACGTTTACAACACCCTGTAAGCCGAATTAGAGCGCAGCTCTTGAGGAGGAGGAAGGAAGGTAGGTACCAAGGGGAGCGCCGCCTTCCTCCTTCTGACCTCCTCATTCTCCCTGCTACTCCTCCTCCCCTCCACCCTCCTCGTCCTCCCTTTATCCTTCAAGCTCCTCCTCCCCCTCCTTCCCTCTTCCCTTCTCTTCCTCCCCCTCCCCTCCTCCTCCCCGCGCGGTGCATTATGGGACATTTATGGTATCCCCCTCCCTCCTCCCCGCGCGTTGCATCATGGGAAATGTCCCATAATGCACCGCGCGGTTACGGCGACGCCGACGCCTCTCAGGCCGGGAACGGGCGCCTAAAGCCCGGTTCAGACAGTTGCGTTTGACTGCGTTGCGGCAGCGAGAAACCAGGACATCCCTGCTGCTTATATCGCGTGCTAAGATGATTCCTTGAATTGGATTGCATGCTTCATACGAAGCACAGATGTGCCGGTGACTCGCTTTCGGTTCTCGACGCAACGCAGTCAAACGCACTCAAACGCAAGTGTCTGAACCGGCCTTAAGAGCTGCGCTCTAAAAGATGTAGTAGCAATTACAATTGTTTTCGTCCTGCTTTTGTGGATAAAGTTCAGCTAAAGCTCCTAGAACTTGTATTTTTAAGGGGCAAAACAGGTTTATTGGTTACATTAATTAAAGGGAGAAGCAACGCGGGTATTTTTTTAATTAGAAGAATACTTAAACTTGAACCCGGTGCCCGAATACAGCACAAAACATATATCTAGTCAAAATAACGGAATCAAAAGATAATCGCATCTGTGGCATTGGGCAGAAATGCCGCCGTGAAAGGTACCGTTTTCCGCGCTGTAACCTTGAAGAAAAAAAAATATATATACATGTTTTTGTTTTTCGCTCCATGAAATTTTTTAGCTTCGTACTTTACGACAAGTTTGGCGCGACATAAACATTTTTGAGATAAAGTAATGATTTATATATTATTCGAAAGAATGTTTTAATAAGAATATATGACCTAAGTTAAACTGTTGTAGCTATTCAACTTTTTCATGATAACGGCTCAGAAATCTATAGTCAGTTACAGGTCAAGAAGGTAGCGGCAAATGCCCCTCAAAGGGAATCAGATATCCCTCCGCCACCTTTGCATCCAATAGCGTCCCACCGTTTCCGTGACGTCGCGGACAACGCGCGAGGAGGGTCTTGCCTTTCTGTACATATTTGCTTTATCTTTCGACTTTGACTTAGCATTGTGGAAGCCACGAGAGGGAGATTAGAGTTCTCCCCCACCGACGGAAACAAATACGACTTTCGGGGATTAGCTTCCCCCCCGATGGATACAAAGGCTGCTTTCAGGGGCTCGGTTCCCTCTCCGATGAATACAAAGGTCGCTTTCTAAAAAAGTTGGATCGGAGACAAGTGGGAATCATTGAAGTGGAACAAGGAGCGTTTCCAGTGAACTCTTCTTTCGACTGCGGAGAGATTTGAAACGGGCGCATCACACTTGTGGGAGGAGCTTCTCCTACCTTCTTGACTTGTAACCGACTATAGAGGCAAAACGTCAAAAAAGCCATGTTTGCGCATTATTGACGCAAAATATATAACCTCTACAATGCTCTACATATTTAAATAAATAGTTCCAATGATCTAATATTAGTGGAAAACATTTGAGATTTCTGATATTTGTAGTTTGTGTAGTAGGTGTCACCAAACAGGACACAAAGGCTTCAAAAATCGAGTGTACCGTTCTTGGGCACTCAGAATGTTTTTGCTTCTCTTCAAATAATGTTTTTTTGCAAATCTTTTTATTAATTCTCTACACGTGTTGAAGAGTAATATATATATATATATATATATATATATATATCAATTAGCAAACACACACACAAAAAAATATGTTCGGGCTTGCGGGCATAATCTTGTTTGAACAGAGCCAACAGTCTTTGTGAATCCCAGGAAAGCCTTTTATTCGTGGCAACGTCAATTTTTTCGCGTTTCCTTCTTTTTTTTTTTTACCCCTCCAAGTATAGGAAGTAGGCAAACAACAAATTCATGCTGTGTTGCGCAGTCACATGCATGTTAGAAAAGTCTACTCGTGTTAAACGATGATGTAAGAGAGAGATAGAGAGAGAGGAGTTTTAATAGCTCCTGACTTTTGAAGAAACTGTTCGTCTTGAACATGGCACCCGTTGGTCCATTCGTACACGTGGGCACGAGGAAGGTTGTTTGATTGTTTAGTAAGTTTACGTGTACGAGAGGTTCTTTTATGTTTTAAGCTCAGCTAGCCCTGCTAGTTCTGCTCGAAGATTTTTTTTTTTTTTCTCTCTTAAAAGTTTTGTTAACGTGAATTTAATCGTGAATGTTTTTATTTTAATTGAGATGCTCTTGTTAGCTTTTCTTTCAGATGGAAACGGAGGCTCTCTTGTAAGGATTCGAGAGGTACGAAAGTATTATTGCGAGTCATTTGAAAAACCGTTTGGTTTGATTCTTACAGCGGCAACAGCACTTCTCTGGAGGAGCCGACGGAAGAATCGCCAGCATCGCAGACGACGATGACCACCCGAGTCTTCAAGAAAGGTGACCGGCGCTACAGCGAGGAACCGCCTAAAATCCAGGACGGCCGTTTTATCCTAAGGATCAGGGGCCTACCGCGGAAGGTCGCCTCATCGGACGTAGTGCAACTGTTCACCGGTGCGGGCTTCAAAGTCAGCGGCGGCTCCGAAGGCGTCCTCCTCCAAAGCAAGGGATATCGACTCACGGGAGTAGCGTTCGTCGAACTCGAATCCCAGGAAGACTACAACAAGGCACTGGAGTATCCCTGGAAGGAGCACACCATCTTCGGTCGCTACATCGAAGCGTTCCCCTCCAACACCGCCGACGTTCGTTACTACGTCATGTCCCAGAAGCCCGAACCGGCGTCGTCATCGACCAAGGTCCTCCACCTCCGTGGGCTTCCCTGGGAGGCCTCGGAGGACAACATCAGGGCATTTTTCTCGCGCTCCAAAGTGTCGAACGTCACCCTACCTTTGCTGGAATCTGGCAGCAACCTCGGCTTTGCTTACGTCGAGTTCGCCAGCGCCGACGATGCCCGCAGGGCTCTGACGATACGGAATCGAAACATTGGCTCCAGGGAGGTCGAATTCTGCCCCGTGGCTGAAGACTCTGTGGACAGGCTTGTCAAGGGAGACATTCTTAGCTTGGCGTCGTACGCTAACCTTCCGATAGACAAAAGCGATACTTCGGCGATAAGCGCCGGAGCGTTTCGTCCCAAGAACAGCGGTGTTGACAAGAGTACCGGTACCGCGAGGCGACACGTCGGTGCCGTGAACGAGGATGACGCAGAATCGCTGCTGCATTCCAAGGGCCACAGAGTTCTGGCAAGCGGGATGCCGCTCTCCAAGAACGCAGTTTCCAACCTCTTGTGGCCCGTTCAGCCCACGAAAGTGGTCAAAATCGTAGGAAAAGACGGCAAACCGAACGGGAAGGTGATCGTCGAGTTCCGTTCTCACGAAGATGCCCTCAAGGCAACGGAGAAAGACGGCGAGACCTTGTTTGCACGCACCGTTAAGATGAGGCTGTTCTCAACCGACTCGGTGGACACAGAAGCAAGCATCGCGGAACAAGCGTAGATGAAGAGCCGATAGAATAATGATAGTCATTTGCGGTATATGCATCTTTTTTTCTTTTTTACTAAATAATCAAATTTAAAACAACTTTAGTCAGTATTTCAATAAATCTGATATGAAGCCCAATATTGTGGTGGCTAGTTCTTGGGTTCGGGGAGGTCGTACCTAGTCCTGTTTCTTCTGACCGGATTTCGAATATCGAGCAGTTGTAGTGTTGAACATTTGAAAGAACCGCAAGTGTCAGACTGCAGATAACCTTCAGAATAAGGGTCCCTTGAAACGGAAAGCCTCCAACGGTAATTGACCGCAGCACATACCTAACAAAACGTAATTTTTTTTAAACTTGAAACAATGTAATGCAACATATTTTTGGCTGATTCTGAATTACACGTTTTCAAGGAATCATCAAGGGAAATTTCGAAAAAATCGAGGATGATTATTTTTGTTTAATTGCCGCACTAAACTTGCATAATTTTGACTTATTTTGAAAAGTTCCGGGCGCAATGCAGAAAACACATAATTGAGATCTAACTTTTTGTTAAAAGTGAACAAAGCATGAATTACTTTACAAAACGTTTCGGCCTAAAACATATTTCTAAGATGTGTTAAAGAATTGTCGAGAAAAAGCCTATGAAAAAATTGCGCAAAAGGCCAAATTTGTAATGTTATCTTACTTGAAATAAGAGCTTAAATTAACTAGGTCTGACCGTTTCAAGTAGAGCAGTTATACTTACAAATATTCACGTTGTAGAAAAGGGACTTTTTTTATTCCCGTGGCCTTAAAATTTGCGTCCATGAGCAATATCGAAAATTGTAGTGTCATCCCCTCGCAAACGTAATTTGTTAAAAAAAAAAAAAAAAAAAAAAAACGAACACATAGGGTTGGTGTCATTTGGATTCAGGCAACGAGGTGCAGTCGTATTTTTTTTTATTTTGTCTCGAAATTTTATATTTCGTGACGCATGTTTCAAGAAGAACAATCATTAATTTAATGTCCTGACATGTTTAGTTTCTAAGAAAAAAAAAAAAAAATCTCGAAGAAGCGGGAAAGAACGACAAGGTCTTGACGATCGTTGTGTGCGGCGTTTTTGAATCGCTCAATCTCAAAGTATTCAAAAGAGAGCGTCTATATTTTTTTAGTGTGATATATATGCAAGTAGGTAAAACGACATTATAACTAATATTTATTATTCGTAGCTCCAATCTTTGTAAAAATCCCCAAACATGCCTCCGCGAACTACTGTGACCTAAGTTGCGGAATTTTTGAGTCGACTATGTTTAGTATCGCTTTTAAAATAATACCACGTGTAGAACCTTTCAATGCCTTCCAAATTAAGCAAAGTTTGTGCCTTTGTCATGCACGAGTACTGAGAAATAAATTATGAAACAGAGAAGGTTTTCACTTTTCGTTCATTTTCAGCATGCTGTATTAGAAAAACCCCATTTTAATTTTTTTTTTCTTTTTCTCGCGTCGCGTTTTTTTCACGCCCTTCTTTTACCCAGAATACATTCCGTTAAAGGTATTTCCACTGGTTTTGAGTTTTAAGCCTCTAAATAATGCTAAGAAAGAGCAAATGCCGATGGTGGGTTTTGACGATTGTTGTGTGTGGCGTTTTTGAACCACTCTCAATCTCAAAGTATTCAAAAGAGAGCTTTATATATTTTTATTGTTATATATATGCAAGTCGGTAAAACGAAATTCCAACTACTATTCGTCGATCCAATCTTTGTAAAACATGCCTCCGCGAACAACTGTGACCTAAACTGCGGATTTTTCCTTTTGAGTCGACTATGTTTAGTATCGCTTTTAAAAATATTCCACCGTGTAGAACCTTTCATTGCCTTCAAAATTAAGCGAAGTTTATGCCTTCAACATGTACGAGTACTGAGAAATAAACTATAAAACAGAGGTTTTCACGTTTCGTTCAATTTCAGCACGCTGCTTTTTGAAGCCATATGTTTATCGTCAGTGATTAAAAATGACGATTAGCCCCATATAGTATGTTCCCCTTGCCGCATAACTCGCCTACACAGATCGAATCAGTATAGCTGTCGTGGCTTTTTTAAACAAATTCATAAAGCCTAAAAAGACACCCTGTATAATAGTATACTAATACAATAATGGTATACACTTGAAACCAGAACAAGGGGCAGCGCAATCAGATACGTGGGTTGGCTACTGCTGAGATCTGCAGAGACTATTGATAAGGCGCACTTTTTGTAGGCCAGTGTTTTAGGGAGGTCTTGGTTTTATTTCGAAAACACGTAACACCAACTGTTGTCCCTGACAGATAAAGAAACGAATGGCGTGGCGTCCTCCGAGCACTTTATGATCGCTCCGGAGCCAATAAGAATTCGACATTCCCCAATAAGGATGCTAAACAGCCAATCAGGAAGCCAGAAGCTTGGACGTAATAGGCCACGCTCTGAGTCTCTTAAATTATCAGCGACTATACTCAGATATGTTCTTATATTACATAAAAAGAGAGGGAGAGAAATAAAGAGAGAGAGAGAGAGAGTGCATGGAAGCAGATTGATACCAAAATAGTGACCTCCAAAATTGTTTCTAAGAGTCAAGTTAAAGAATAGGGCGGTTTCACAAAACGGCTCTTCCCTTACGGGAAGCCGGGTCCCGCTATTTTGACTAACAGCTTCCACCATTTCGACATTTTTTAAATGCAGACGCTCACTTATTGGCGTCGGTTTTTTGGTGTTGCTGAAACGCTGGAGCATGGCTAGTGGCCGTTGACGAGAAAACAGAGTATGAATGGTATTTGGGTTGCATATGCTCGAGCTTACTCCGATTTAATTTCTTTCAGAGTCGCTCCGCGGCGGCGTCTACTGGGGCCATTTTGGCCGCAGACGGGTCGACTTCTTGTTCGTCGGCTTCACTTAAATCCGATTAAAGACCGCTATGTATGAGAATCGAGTGCCAGACGATTGTCTTCTATATCGAATACTCCGGCAGACGCGGTCGATCACGACACAAAAGAACATGACCGAACTAGAAAACACTGCCAACGCGCTTAGAACGACATACAGGGGGAAAGTTTATGGCCTCCGGCGACATATCGAGCCGGAAGCACGTCATGTGAAACCGTCCTATAGCAACTGCTTGCCGCCGAACTGAAATCTGAGTTACATCTAAGCTGCATTTGCAACTGTAATCCGTGCTGTGCTTAACCGACCCCATCCGTCAAACCGGGGAATTTCACAAGTTGTTTTCTGTATCCACAACAGCTACATACTGCGACCTTTCGAGGTTCATGGGACCCTATTGAGTCTTTTTCCATGACGTCAATCGGCCATTTTTTTCATGAATTGAACCTGTGTTTTGTTGTTAAATGTGAGTGAAATATTTCTTGACGTTATGCAGCACTGGTTTTCAAGTTCCTAGCCGCCGTGCCCCACCAGAAACGCTGTCAGAAATGCAGCACTTGTGATATTAAACGAAACACTGATGCAAGTAGAAGCAGAAGCTAAACGCAATAAAAAAGTTTTAGCAGAAAACAAACACAAAAAAGTACACGTGTTGGTTAGTACTGAATTTCTTTTGGTGGGCGTTTAAGTGACGCATTCGTAATGCTAGAACCGACGCACGTGTGGATTAAGGGGTGAACGTTTCTCCAATATTATCTCTGTATTCGCAGATACTAAGGAGGTTGAGAATAGCGTATGCAAGCGCTTTGCGTGTCCAAGAATATTGACCTTTCGGCACATTATGCGCCAAACCTAAAAGGCATTCTGGGTTATGAAGCGCAGGCACTTCTTTAGAAATTGGGTAGTTGCCGCGAGTATTCAAAACTGTATACAATGTCCGGAACGCGTCTTCGATTAATGTGTTGAAGTCCGATTCCGCCCACGCATCGAAAGTTGTCCCGACGTGGCAACTAATGATGTCACAAAAGCTTGAGTGCCAGAAGTCGCGACCCTGATAGTTGATTGTAGAAATTCTGGCAAAAGAGCACGAGCAAAGGCGAACGTCACTGTCGTCGTAGAGTCCCAACTCCTGGCTGCCGAAGTTGCCGTGGTCCGTGGACTGTCGAGCTGGAGAGCGACCTGCGGCAGAACAAGCGCCTGGCACATCCACCACCGATGCTCTGTCGCCGCCGGGATCGCAGCCGGCGACAGCACGACACGCCTATTACGCAGTCAGGAGGAAATTGAGGGACCACTTTATTGGACGTACCAAACACGCCAGTCTGAGACGTGTTCCAGGCACCATTCCAGAAGTCTCCGCAAAGCGAAATTGCTTGACTCTTGCGAGACGTGAGAAGTTGGGAGAGGGCTATGCGGAACGCAAGTTCGTCTGCTCGTTGCACAGGGGTTGAGATGGTGTCAAAACGCCGTGATCTTCGGCGTTTTTAGTGCTTACGTCATGCTTAGGCTAGTGTCACATCTTCCTCGTCACTCGCAGAGCTCCTATACAGTAGACTGCTGCGAATTACTCTCCCAAGGACCCTGAGGACGAGTAGACGCACCAGATGTCTGAGAGTGTATCGCTTGGGTCACTTTGTGGGGTCTGTGTAGTTCTCAAATCCTTGAATTGCAGCTTTCCACTGGTGCTACGTTTTAAATTGCACGAACTTTATCGCTGCAGCTGTCGCGCGTTTATTCTTAAAGGAGCTGTGCAACGATATTCAATTGGAATGTCTTTCTCTCTACACGAGCTTACTCGCACACCTGGGACTCAAGGATACTCACACGCAACGCCATTGGCCAAGAAACTCCTTTGTTGCGGTGTAATTTCAAGGACAAAAGCGATCATTTTCATTCAATCTCTCCTTTGCAAAATTTGGTGACGTAACTCGGGGATCGCAGTACACCCAAGTGACGATATTTGAATGCGGTTCATAGATTGGACCCGAGCACTGCGTGGGCACTCGACTTGGGCTCGTGACAATTGCTAGCTCGAGAGCTCGAGAAGCATTCGGGTTGTGACCCGTGTCCAATCGCTGCAACGACGACAACAGCCGAGCCATAACAATATCTGGAACTCAGCGCGTGTCCTGCGCTTTGCCAACCCCAGCCCGTGGCTATGATCAACACTGGCGGCATATAATCGGCTCCAGATCACGTGGCCGCTTGTTCTGGCTGCGAGTTGAGGGGGTGAACGCTGCTCGTTTTTCTTAAATATTTTTCTGAGACTTCTATTGCGTGGGGTGAGAAACGAATGCGTGTTTCATAGGTCATTAACGTTAGGGATCCGTTTTAAGCGGTATTTGTGCACAGTAAAAAAATTGTTGCACAGCTCCTTTAATTTCTTCACAATATGCCGGGTCAGTAAAGAGTATCAATCAGCGTAATATACATCTATATAGTCAATGATGGTCTAAGAAGCGCATCACGTGACCTATTTTGGTGACGCTTCTCATTTCGTGGTTTTTCTTCAATGTACTTATCGCCGGCTGCTTCAACCTCATTAGCTGCTGAATAATAAAAAATAACTACAGTACATATAAACCACAGTTATACCAGTAATTCTTGTATTTTCTAGAGCTCGGTACGCTTAAAAACCCCACATTTTCTCCAGTCGAACGAAAGGGTTTTGTTCTGGTCGGCCGCCAAATCATAAATCAAGGAACACGAATATGGCACGTCGTTGCGTATTTCCAGGTAACCTTTTGTCACCCAAACTTGGACTCCTGTAAGACAAAGATGGAGAAAGCGTTCTGACGAGAATTATGTGAATGTAACGCGATTTAAAGACTTGAGGGATAATCCACACACACCCATCGTGGTTGAAATGATTAAATTTTTAGCTACGATTCTGCCGTCTTAAATTTATTGTTGTCCCTTATTTTTGCGACCAGAATTACGACAGGAAGCCTACAAATGCTGCCATTTATATTTTGTCAATTGTGTTTACTATTTAAAATATCTGATTTTTTTTTTCTATTCAACTCGTGAAGGGACGTGTCTCTGAACTATTAGTCGGCGCACGCAAATTTATCAGTAATTATAGTCACTGACAACATAGGAAAGGCAAGGGGTTATTATGTTTACGCTTCTTGCATCGTGATTCGTTCTTAACGCCCTGCATTTCTTGAGCTATCTTCTGCTATGCGAAGCGCCAGTTCATCTGCCTCTTTTGCGGGGTTTGTGCAGACGTCAGAAAGTTGCCGAGCTCTGATTGGCTCTGATTGAAGGATAATGGGTAGATCTCAAGACAAGCAGCCTTGAGGTCTAGCCCCCTATCCTTCCAATCGGGGTCAATGAAAGCTCGGCGTCCTGACGTCACCACAACCCCTGCAAAGGAAGCAGACGAACTGGCGCTCCGCACAGATTCCTCGTGTGTAGTACAAAACCACCATAGAGTGCCTCGTGTTTTCTAGACTTTCAAAGTAGCGCGCAAGGAATCTGCAGCACCATTGTCACTGGACCCGTCACCCGTCGCAAAGCCTTCTCATATAAGCCCGCGCTCGTTTCCAATCAGTGGAAGCATGTGTGCGTGGCCTAGTCGTTGGGGTCACGTGTCACGTGACGTCAGACATCGCCAAGGAATCTCATAATTCAATGCGCTCAGCCAGGTGTGACGTCACACGGGGCTGTGACGTCATGACCCTATATCGACCCGCTAAAATTAACATCAAATTTTCCGCAAAATTTCACGGGAAAGTTTTTCGCTAAATTTATCGGAAAATTATCCCGCCAAATTTAGCAGGTCGATAGGGTCATGACGTCACAGCCATGTGTGACGTCACACCTTGATGGGCGCGTTGAATTATCAGATTTCTTGGTTCCACCGACGCCGACACCAAATTTTCTGCGACAAGACAAAGTCATCCTGAATTACTAAGCCCGTCGTCCTTTTGCTCTAAATGATTATTAACGAACTAGTTACTAGTTCGCGATAATTTGGCCTCTGGTTTGTGTGCGAACAGGCAGTATATATGTCGGGTAGCTTTTAATTTGATTACCTTCTTTAGCGACGTCGTACTTGAAAAGAAACAGCTTACCTAGCAATGTCGACTTCAGAACAGCGCAAAATTTGTAATCTGAAAAAAGCAACTGGTACCTCTGTTGGCCGCTTTTTCTTCCTGATAAGAAAAAAAAAAAAAAAGGAGATTGAATTAGTCCCTGAAGTAACCGAAAAGTCAATGAATGACATATTAGACGTATAATTTAAAGATATTACAAAATAGGGTTTTTCTGAATGCATTGAGGCGTGTTACGATAGAAACAATCTATTAGATCACACACGAATAAAATAAAAACAAAATTACGAAATAGACTGTGAAAGACACTAGGGCAAGAGATTTACGTGAATACTAGCGAAATCGTTATCTAATAATTATTTTCTGAGAAGCCACATTGAAACCAGATACTTATTTCACATCTTATAAAAACATTATAGTAGTCAAAACATTTTAGGAAGGAAACTTCAGCCTTGGCACTGTTTACTTCCGAATTCAGACTTGGGGGGGGGGGGGGGGTTATTGAAACTAAAAGGGGACAAAGTTTCGAAAGTTCCACATCCGAAGAGACTCCAAAGTTCGTGAGCCTTGAGCCACTACCACATGACTCATATATATTGCACTGCTGGCTAATCCGCTCAACCACCCACTTCTAAAACCCAAGGGAAATAAGCAGGTATTTCGACCCTCTACCTACCTTAGTTCTTTCCTCAAACCCGCACACCTTAAATTATTCTCTGAATAGCACGACGATTTCAGTGCAGTAATGTGTTTTTAATATGGGCACTTCACCAAGAACCGTCCATACTGTATTTTTTTTTTATTTGATGAGACCCAGTTTGTCTCTCAAAATGTTGCCTAGTCTGCCTTTCCGTTCACGTATAGGTGACCAGCTGGTAGGCGCAATTGGATAACACACGGCAAAATGGGACAAATAATTGACGGCTTTATAATTGTTTTCGCTGAACAAAAGACGTCCATTTGTTTCTTTGTGCCACTTAAAAACTTTTTGGCTTAATGATATATGTTAAACTTTTTTTTTTGGCCGCCCCTATCCTTCTCGTCGCAAGCCTCTCCTAAAACAAATTCTTGACTTTTTCTTTTTTTTTGGTTTCGCACGTTATTAGGAGCGAACTTGCGAACTAGCTTGGAGACGACGAACAAGTTGGTAGAGGCGGTGCAGGTCGCCATTTTCGCTCTTTCGTCAAGATTTTATCACCGCTGAGTTGAGCTTCACAATTACAAATAGAGCTTTTCGGTAAACGACGTGAGTGAGCCCAATTTGAGGCATATATGCGCCTGGAGTTTGAATTTCTCGAGACGGCCCAAATGTGCTGGTTTTAAGGGCCACACTCAGTATGTTTTTGATGTAATAAAATATCTGGAATGTGTCGTTTTTGTGATATAGTGAGCAGAAAGTTAAGTTTTCTTAAAGTGTTTTATCGGACCCATTGCAAATAAAAAATCCTTCACAGAAAAAAGTGCAAGTATTACTAATTAGTATCAATTAGACTAATTAGAAAAATATACACTAGCACAGCGGTACATAGTTTTCTAATGAAATATTGTTTCTATTTACACAAGTGATGAGATTCTTACCCGGGATATTTTCCACAACGAACATATTTTCATTTTCGTATGCAGGGTCCGACTTCTGAGCTTTTACATTCACCGATCCAACTACTCTGAAACAATGCAAAGTACAATACATTTTATCCCGAAATGGTGATAACAAATATAAGCAAAAATAATTGTGATTCAGGCAGAACTGACCGGTGCGAATTAAGAAACAAAATATTAATACCGCCTTTTTTAAGTATACAAGTAATTGTGTCAAAAGCAGGAGGTGACAGAGTATACACACTTACTCAATTGACTTTGAAGTTAGGTAATAGAAGGCGTACTTTGCCGATTTGCTGCTGGCGGTAGTTTTCGATCTTGCTGCCATCAAACAATTATGATTTTTGTCAAAACCGGGGTTTTGTGAGTGATAGACAAGGTAAAATGGGCTACGAACTTTTCGAACAAGCTGCAAAATGAGAAGGGAAGGTCAGTTATAAATATTATTGAACGAAATCAGCCGTATGATCACGGACGTTCTTTGTGCGCTTGTAATTCATTTTACAAATTAATCGGTGAAACCTGCTGACCGCGCGAACAAAAGACAAGTTAAATTGTACAAGCACAGAGAAAAATACGATGTCGGTAACAAAGTTATCAGTGTGTGTGTGTGTGTGTGTGTGTTTTTCTATTTTGTAGTTGCTTACCAAAATGCATTTCAAACGCACGAAGCAGATGTCTTACATGAACTATGATTGTTTTATTACTTGAACAGGTACGATACACTTTAGTATTCTTGAACAGGAAATATGTTTTGATGCGAAAATACAAAGTAATTTGGTAGACACAAAAAGGGATAATTTCAGGCGCAAATAACCGCCGAGTACCCGGGGATTAAATCATAAACTTAGTGGGGTCAGGACAGAACCTACAGGTTTCCCAAAGCTTTGTTTCCAAACTTCGTATCGTCACCTTTGGCGAGAGAATGCATGACAGGCAATCCAGTCTGGCAACGGCGGGCACGCTTCTGTAAGGCTTGATATCAGACAATAAGCACGTATCCAAATGGCGGAGCCCACAGATCGTGGTTGCAATGATCTGAGGACTACTGCATACATATAAAAATAAACAAATCAAGGCAAGTCTGACATGGTGACGCAAAAGCGGGGGAAAACGTGTCTGTTTTTTTAAAAATATATTTTAGAAATTGGGCAAAAAGTGCATAAAGGGCATGCATTTTTATATAACAAATATTGAAAATGTAAGGAGTTTGTTTTCTACCGTCGGTTATGCATAGTGGTTTTTATGGTAGATAACGGTAAAGTTTTAAGATCGATGATCTAATGCTCACTTAAATTATAAAGAAGCAACTTTGAATCGTCTTTCCGTCCGGTTGTCCTGAACACAAATTTGTTAAATACAGTTCAAGTTCAAGTTCAAATACAAATTTAAGAGGCTTGAACCAATTCACTATATTAAAGACATACTAAAACAAGAAAATTGAGCAAAAGACAAATCTAAAAAAATCTGTGTTAGTGAGAAACATATGTTGGCAACTAGAAAAAAGAAAACATTTCGTCAATTGCGGTTGAACCGAAGTGAAGCGAGCATATAAAACGGGGAAAAGCATAATGGGCTCATAGCTGGGACTATGCACTGTTACTGACAAACGTTCCTGACGATTACCATAATTTACTTAGGTGGGCTGAACATAATGAAATAACCTGAGACCGGGGTTTTCGGAAACAAAAAGGAGGAGGGCAGTCTTTTTTTATTATCCGCTTAGTTGTGCATCATGTTTAGACAACAACGCAATAAATCTATTAAAAAAAAAAAAAAAAAAAAAAAAAAAACGCCGCCAGGGTTGTTAAAGGTTTGGAACGAGCACATTTCAACTGGCTGGAAGACATTTTAGGAAGTCAACCTCTGACACACGTCAGCGACAAGGGTGAAAATATAAAACCCAATACCTTCCAAGCATCCGGAGTCTCCTCGAAATACTTTTCCATCTCGCTGGGGTCACAGACATCGCCTTGGCACTGTGTCATCTGTACCGTGAGTAAAACCAGCAGGGAGGCAAGCATCGAAAACAACATGACTCATTTGACGACGTTCCTCGACAAAGTGAACAATGTTTCGCCTAGCTGGTTTGCTAATGCTATTTTTCTTTTTTCTTAATGCACACCCCGGCGAAGAGTGTATGTTTGCGTACACTCGACGTCATGAGGTTACACCCACATAGGCCTGTATATACTCGAAGTTCATATACAACAAAGATATAACCTCTTACACGTGCGTGCTTGTGTTGCTTGCCGGTTTTCTCCTGGGAAACTGCAACTGCGGGAGAGAGAAGGTCAAACGGGAAAGGAAGGGTCTTTTCCCCGCTGGAAGGTATACGCCACCTTTAAATCTACAAACTATACATCACGATACACGGTTGGCGAATAATCTGAGAAAACCTACAATCTAAAAGAAAAAATAAATCTTAGGTAGTCAGAAGTTTGGCATTTTTCTCGAAGAGCGAGTTAGGAAAGAAATAAGAAAAACATAGATGCTAGAGTTCACATTAAAGACACTGAGAGTGTTTCTGTAAACGTTAATTTAAAGCTTTTTTTTTTCCCCGAGTTTAGGTTATCGCATATAGCAACCGCAAAACATGGAGTGAGACACTCAAATACAACTATAGTGCGTGATGTCACGCCTGCTTATGGCGCGATATCGTGTGATAATGATAAAGACAAGGTCACCGTCAAATCGTTCCCTTCAGTCGCAATTTGAAGTTTTTTTTTTTTTTGGTTTTGTAATTTGCCGGGTCCTGTTACTATAGATTATGGTGATTAGCACCCCGAGTGCCTTGCTGGAAAGCGAACACGCTTAATCATTTAGATAGTAATTATAGTCACTGAGAGTTAACAAAACGCAGGATATGGCGAGTCCCGAGCAGACTTGCACGTAATCCATTAAAATTAACGAAATGATATGTATTACATTTTCAGTAATTTCTAGCGGAATAATTACATATTTTCTTGAGTAATTCTGAAATTATTTCTTTACGTAACGTCGCCATTGTAAATCGTTACATTTTTGTTCACGAAAAAAAGAAGCGGAAGTTTTGAAATTGATAAACCTTCAAAACTGTTTCTTCTTCACACTCAAGAAGAAACAAAATGGTGTTCATTTTGATAAACTTGACCGCAACGACGCCGTCACGCTTTGACAAATGCAAAGAGAGATGCTGAAATCCTTTCTTTACAATCTCCAAACCTTTGATTTGATTTTTTTTGTTGACCATAAAGGCAATATTACAAAAAAAAATATATAATTTCTAAAAAAAACAACTTAATATTCTCAAAGCGCGAGTAAGTTTCTGTGGTGTATTCAAATTACATTTTCTTTTTAATAACTTTGTACTTTATTTGCAATCGTAGACGGGAATTGGACACCAAGTGATTGTCTGCCTCTTCGAGAAGCTCGATGGAGTAAGTGCTGAGACAAGAATTAACAATGCCCCTCTCGGTTATTGTGACTACGACCATTTTCACAATGCCACAACAGGTAGGGACGTATTCTATTTCACTGGAAGTAAGTCGAATCCTAAAATCTACAAAAAAAGATGTGATAATAACTGAAGGTGTTAGCAGGAGTCCATGGAAAAATAGTCACAACCATCCTTGCTCGTTGTTGCTTAGACGATATTACAACACTTTTCATCTTAAAAAAAGAAAGATGTCTTTTCTAAGCTGCTTTTCAGTTTATTCAACCAAACACAAGTTGCTTTTGGTAGCGGCCAGCTTTTTTTTTGTCGAACTTTTATGGCCGGCCTGATTCCAGGTTACCTGCATTTTTGTCACTCTTGTTGTGCGTTAGCTTTTTTGCGAGCTTTCCTGAAATGGTTATGGTCTTTCTTTTAGAGCGCAGCTCTTAGGGGCCCGTTTCCGGCTTGAGCGGCGTCGGCGTCGCCGTCGCCGTCGCCGTCGGCGTCGGCGTAACCGCGCGGTGCATCATGGGAAATATCCCATAATGCACCGCGCGAGCCCCCCACCGGGGTCACGTGACCGTGGGGAGGCACGTGACCCCCCCGAGGTCACGTGACCCCCCGGTCACGTGACTCCACTGAGGTCACGTGACCCCCTCCTCGAGGTCACGTGACTCCCCTGAGGTCACGTGACCCCCTCCTCGAGGTCACGTGACCCCCCGAGGTCACGTGACCCCCGCCGATGTCGCGTGACCCCCCGATGACGTCATCAGTGATGATGACATCAATGATGATGACGTCATCAGTGACGATGACGATGTGGATGCCGGTGACGTCATCAGTGATGATGACGATGACGATGTGGATGCCGGTGACGTCATCAGTGATGATGACGATGACGATGCGGATGCCAGTGACGTCATCAGTGATGATGACGATGACGATGTGGATGCCGGTGACGTCATCAGTGATGATGACGATGACGATGTGGATGCCGGTGACGTCATCAGTGATGATGACGATGACGATGTGGATGCCGGTGACGTTACCGACATCCGCATCGTCATCGTCATCATCACTGATGACGTCATCAGTGACGTCACTGATGTCGTCACCGGCATCCGCATCGTCATCGTCATCATCACTGATGACGTCGTCAGCGACGTCACTGATGACGTCACCGACATTCGCATCGTCATCGTCATCATCACTGGTGAAGTCATCAGTGACGTCAGTGACGACATCATCGGCATTGGGGGTCACGTGACCCCCCAAGGTCACGTGACCCCCCCTGGTTAGTCTAACCCCCCCCCCCCCAGCGCCCTTCCCTCCTCCTCAAGAGCTGCGCTCCAATTCGGCGTTACGGGGAGTTGTAAGCGGCTTCCACTTTTTTAACTGTTTTTACCAAGTCAGGACACGTCTCTCGGACACAAATCTTTAATATTGAGAAAAATAAAATGGTAACTAATGTAGACTAGTAATTATGTAAAATATTCCAGATTTGAGGAGGGAGTAGAACTCACGAGTCACGGCTCGTTCTCTACCATTCGCTGCCCGTGGTATCAGGGGACGTCCATTTGGAAAAATATGGAGTGTACTACTGCTGACCGATGTGCCGTGCGTTCTAGAACTGCATCCAGAAATGGTATGTACATACGGCAAACAAGCGTTTGCATTTTCTTATCTTGACCGACGTTCTAAGGAAATGTTTTGAGGAATGTCCTAGTGTTTTTATTTAATTTTATAACTTAAAGTATTTATAAAGAACGTTTTATTCACTTGTTCAGCAACGTCTCAGACGAGACTCATCCTGGTCAGAAGAACGGTAAGGTAAATATAGAAACCACGTTTATTGTTTAATAGTCACGTGTAACTACCCTGTCTTACTACGTGCACCACCGTCTGTCGATATCGGCCGGCATATTTAGATTAGATTGATAGACTTAGATGTATACTTCAATCGATTCTTATTGCAGCTTTGGTCAGTTGTTTCATTTCGCCTTTATCAAGCGCCAGCTGCAGGAAGAAGCTTTGTTTTGTTTTTTCTCAGGGGTAGAGAGCACTTCCATTGCTTCCCTGGAGAAGCACAACGTAGTGCCTCAAGCATGCGTGAGGCATAATATGCCTTTCCCATCCAGTTGAAAGGATGTCCAGCCTAGAAGTCATTACCTTCAGGAAGAAACATGACAAGATGTGTTACGATACTTTCGAGATCCAACTGTTGCTCAAAATACTCAAGGTCAATAAAACGTTACTGACGGGCCAAAAAGAAAAACACACACACACACACAAATAGTCCTCTTTTTGTTTCTTACTCGATTACAGTAATATGTTGGAAACTTGGAAGTAATGCGCCACGAAAGTAACAGATTATTTTCGTGGCGGATTACTTTTACGGTCACTTACTTTTATGAAAGGGTAATTATAAATGCAATTAATAACAAAAGAGCCTCGAGTAATTGTAATTTTAACTTGTTACTTTTCTTAGTAACATCAACAAATCTGGCCTGATCATCCTTTTATTCTTCCACAGACAAGCAGTTTGTGGCATTAGCTGATCATAACGCCAATCATTACAGGACGCGTCCTGGATTTCATAAGTTTCCTGCGACTATCGGTGTCTTCGGCTATTAGCCCCGAGAGCGAACACAAGCGCCGCTGCGGTCGCCGCGCTCTGATTGGGTGAGGCGTACCGTGACGTCAGGGCGAGTACTCCGCTCCGCGATCTCGCATCGGCTCGCTTCCCAGCACCGGTTTCTTGGTTTGGCGATGTGCGCCGCAAGCTCTTCGAGGAGCTGGACATCGTTTTCCCGGTGTACAAGACGTTAAGTTAGGCCGATATTGACGTGCTCCCGTACATTTTATAAGCCTGCTCGTCCCTTTTACCTTTAAAATTGGGTTACAAATCCCGAAAGCAATCGACGGAGGCAATTCTGCGAGGGATCGGTGAAGCGGTGCCGCAAGTGTTTCAGACGCTGGAATTCTGTTCCTTGCACGTTCATCATTTAGGACGATATTACATCCCGCTTTCAAGGCATTTGAAGTGGCATTTATATAATGGGCCTTTGGGTGGTCGGCAAATTAGCTCGCGGCTCCGACTTTGCGCTGCCACTCTGCATGCGCTGGTTCGCAGATGTTTCAAAGGCCCTGTGTTTGATTATCTTTGAAGTGCTCATGGAACAGGGTTGGCTTACATAAATGTAGCTTCTTTGTGAATTAATTATATAGTTTATACACGTATGCAGGCATATTTCTTAAAAGATTCCCAATTACTGGAAATTAGTTTGTATGGTAGCAGCAAAGACGGCCGAATTGCCTCCAGTTGCCTGTATGCTATGTATTGAACTGCCCAAAATATGCACAGCAATAGTGCCGTAATTTGGAATGTTCATATTTTTTCCTGACATTTTTATTCCAGCCTTGGGTATTCACAAAATACACCGTTTAGTCTGAATTGTCATTTCCAATCAAGAGAGACACTGCTGCAGGTCTCCAAAAGCTTCCTCAGCCTCCAAACTCCCTACAGCTGGACTCTCTGACAACAGAGGAAAGCAGGAGTAAAAGCAAGGATTCGAACGTCTGTCCAGTGGTAGATGCAGCACTAGTAGCATAAAATGTGGAACCTGTGAAGGGCGACAGTCTGCGTGAGAAAAGCTTCTGGTATTTTAGCTTCAGTACATTTCGATTTAAGTAAAATCTCAATTTTAGGACTTAATGGACTAATAACGAGCTAGACACCTTCGCCTACGTTTGTTATACATTACTTGAGGGTTGATATACACAAGTCCACAGATACCACCCGTGTATTCCATTGAAATACTATCCGAATCCAGCAAAGGTCAAATGCGAGCAATGTATATAATAAATGTTCCTTGTTTTTTTTCCTTCGCCCCTGCACTTGGGCTGTCTTACTTGTGATTCTCTCCCCATGGCCCAGACTGTATTTAGCATGTTGCTCGAGCAGCATGCAGCTTTTCTGCTTCGGCGATCTTGTTTAAAAACGGAGACACAAAAAAAATAGTATACGTAACCTGCCAATTCATCCAAACCATCAGCAGCGTTTATTGTGTGAGATGTAAATCTATAGTGATGCTCCTGCAATTGCGGCCATATTTCTGTGTTTTCATATACCAGCTCCGATTCATGCGTTGCTTACCCTGTCTACCATGCTTAAAATGTTGGTTGAAGTTTCGCCTGTAGCTACAAGCCATACCTCAATAAAGGCACATATAAACGGTTATACTTCCTACGAAAAACATGCCAGAAAAAAAAATTATAGAAACGAGCGCGCCGACAGCTAGCGTCGTCACAGCCTCCACAGGGCGAGCGGCGCGAGTCGGGGAAAAATTCACTCCTCGCCGTGACGTCACCCCGGTTTGCCGTAAGGGGGCGCCACGCGAACTTCTCGGGGCTAATACTGAGTGACAGGTTAAATTTTTCTTGTCCATGTCCATGTCCAGATTTCCTGCTTCGCGGTTTGATTTGTGGAGATCTTATCTGGTAATCTTATTGTCTACGGAGCGAGAATATAAAACTCGGAACTCGCCACATTCCTGTGTTTCTTAAGTTTTCGGTGACTAGGGTGGTTCCATTCGAATAGTGCTGTGTCATACATAGCTTTTACAGTACCCGAGAGAACCACGACATATCCGATATCTTTGTAGTGTTGAAGCTAGGAATGAGTCTGCGCTATCCGGTTCAAAGCAGTATTTGCTAGCCCTTACCACAGAGATATTATAATGTACGCTAGAGGCTCAACTGGCGTTACACTCCGTTTCACCTTACGTCCGGGAGCAGCGGCTGCTACGAGCCATCGGAGCCAATCAGAGGCCGTGTGTGGGTCACGTGACCTTGGAGAGGGGTCACAGCGACGCGCGGAAAGCGTATCACGGACTGCGTCCTCAGAGCGGGATTGGCTAGGATAGCTCGTAGCGTCCGCTTCGTCCGGGCCTAAAGTGAAACGGAGTATATAGTGTCTATGCGACTTCCGGGAGGCGAATGAAGCAGACAGCAACCAGTCTATACATTTGCGGTGCCTCTGTTCATTCCAATGGGAAAACGCACGTACATTTTGTTTCTTCGCCGGAAGATAACGTGGATTTTTTTTTGTTATTTGGGCCTGTTAAGTAACGAAGGATTTGTAATAAGTAAGATTTGTTTTTAGAACAGATGATCTTTCTATAGTTGCGTCGGCATTTTTTTTTTTTATCTTTCTAAGTTGGTGTCGGCGTTTTGGAGGGAGCATTTGCGGGGGCAGAGTGTCAAATTGTCGCGTTTTCCCTATGTAATAATTTAGCTGTTGGCGCCATACAGACTGGGAAAAATGCAGGCAATGACTCTAGAAAGAATCAGGTTTTGGCGGTTGGAGCGCCAGGCTGACAGCTCGCCGACCATTAAGTAACAGTGTACCTTGTGGGAGTGGTGGAATTTGAAGGGAATGGTCGGTCCCTGAGGGGAAAGGTGCCCCTACGAGTCTACAAAAGGAGTGCCGAGAGGATTCTCGGGGATTGGATTGGATTCGGTTTTGGGAGACCGGGGACAAAAGTATGGGGTTGAATTTTGGGATTTTAACTCACTGTTGAGTTTATGTTGTTTTGAGTCGTAATAAACATGGCCGCACTGGCCACTGTAAATCCTACCAAAGTCGTAATGTATACAGCGGGATGTCGGCCTTCTCCATCTTGATCACCCCCCCTGGAAAGGTTGACTGGGCCGTACCGAATAGTGTGTACAGTACCTTTATAACATTGTAAAAATATAATTGCTTTAGTTACATAATTTTTCTTTACCAGTGAATGATGTTAAACTTCACTATATTTCAGGCCCCATCCTCTGTTCCATAGAAGGTATGTAAAAACGAGCGACGATATATAAAATAACAATCGAAAGGAACGCGGAGTGTGTTTTTTTGTTTGCCAACATTCCGGTGGCGCTTATATATAGTATTGCTGATATGCACGTCCTGTCACTATATAAAATAAGCACGTCGTTTATCTTGACGAGCGGTTAGAAAACGTTCCAAACGTAAAGAATAAAGTACGGGGGCTATAAAAGGTGTGTCTGTTTATTGTTTTCTATGTCGGGCAGCTTTTATCGGGCATCTGTTTTCTGGCTTCTACCTTTTTTCAAAGATTTAGGGCGTGCGGATTATGTGTTCAACGCAGAACAAGCAACTTCGCACATATTCATGAGCAGAAAAAAATAAAACAGTACTTATTTATTGTAAGTCGAACTATATTACGGGAACTTTAATTAATTTTGATCACCTGAACGCCGAAAAGGTTCCTTATCCAGTATTACTGCGTAGTTCTTCCCGTCTCTCTTACTTTTCCAGATGTCCTTCGTTCGTTTGGCACGTATATCCCCCATACTGGAAAGTGCCGACGGCGTGTTCGCGCTAACAGTGTCCGACAGTGCACATAAATACATATACGAAGCCATTTCAGCACCGTTTGTATGCTGCAATGAATCTGAAATAAAAACGCAGTAACTGACCCATTATATGGTCTGCGTGACTGAGAAATGTTCCGATCTACCTAGTACGCACGAATTATTCGTGATATTTGCTCTTATAATCAAGTCCATGGAGAAAAGGCACTCGCTTTTCCCCATAGAAAAGCATTAGTGGAAGTCAATTTCCGACTGGTTACTGTCTGCTTCAATTTTCCATAGGACACTAGTGCCAGTTGAACCTCTGGCGTACATTATAATAACCCTAGAGCCCTAACAATGTAAAAAAAAAAAAAACAAGTTGAAGCCAGCCTAAAAAATTTATTTTCGACGTTTTTTTTTTAAATTATTGTTAGCCTGAAGAACCTAGAATACTGGGCAAAGGCTAGTACATTAAGTATAGAATGTCACGAACTGTGGAAATCTTCAATCAAACTAGAATTTAAAATTCGTGTGACATTCACGGCAAAAAAAAAAAAAAAATATTGGCTATACTATATGTTTTACTACAAAGTGATACGCTTACATTTGCAATCATAAGATTTGAAAGGCACAATGGCGACATAATATTAAAAAACTGAAACTATTTGAACTCTACAAAATCTCGTTAACAGATAGAATAAATAAAATATGTTCAAGTGTTAAGGCATGCGGAATACTGAAAACATGAACATGGTAATGACGGAGTTCGGTATATAGGGACAAATAACTCAAGTTGAATGGTGTTATTTTACGAATAATATGCAGCTTTTCTCGATAACGTTACTTTATTGCAGATAAGAAGTGTCATGCGAACGTACAATGCTGTACCATATTGAAGAAGCTGCTGGTGGCAGAAGGTTGATATCTCTTCAATCGCGTTTCTACTTTAATGTTTCTTTATAGTATCAAAAATATTTCCTATACGATATTTGTCTTAAAATTTTAGCAATATCTTAGCTTACACAGCAAGTTTCTAAACTCAAATGCGATACATTTTGTTTTGATATAACAAAAAAGAGCTTAAAACATGCACCTGTCCTCCAACTGTTTTTTTTTCCTACATAACATATTGAAGTTTAGCTTATTTCAGTGAGATCCTGCATCGAAAGGACGTGCAATTTATGATCCTTGCGCAAAGGGCACTGTCGACAGCCTCAAGAAATTGGGCAGTCACCATTCAGCCTGAAGCAGAATGCTGAGTCAAAGTTATAATCAGACAACACCGCAAAGTGTCAAGCTCTCTTAGCATTAATCAAAGGCCGAACACTAATGTTACAACTATTACTACCACAACGTAGTTTAGAGTTATAATAGTTTTGCTATGACTTCAATCAAAATTAGACACGCCCAGAGCGTTAGGAATTCTCCTTCAAATAGTCATAATGTTGCCGATAGGTACAAAATAAATTAAAGCTTTAAGTATGATAACTTAAGGCGTTTTATGACTGACGGTGAGAACGGGCGGGCGTCATTTTCAAATGCCCGGCCTCCGAGCGTACTCGTTGCCTTCCACCGTGCGTCGGCTGGACGTGCACGCTTGAGTTTCACGAGGTGCCGAAGCCTTATCAAAGGTAGGAATCTCACGCCGGAACTAAAACAACATAAAAACCACCCTGCAGTTCTAATCCTTTCAGAGACATAGTTCATTATTAGTTTCTTACCCTTTCATGCGCACCTCACACGAGGGGTGACGATCTTTTCTTGAAAAATATTACCAAGGAAAAATTTTCTGTACAAAGATAATAAACGACAACGTCATACTTTTTGCGCGTTTTATTCATTTTTTTCTTCTTCTGATAATGATGTTTGCTTGACAGTCCTAAGGGCGAGAGAAACTCAGAGCCCCTAAACTGAGTGCACTTCAACTAATTTATGTGCTTTTCCGAATCCAACCGGATGACAAATACGTGACTTTATTCGGAAAGTTTGCTCCTTGATTATTGCGTGGTAATTTGTTTGCCTAACGTAGGCGTTATATTTCCCTCGGATGTTTTCGTGGAGCGTATTTGGTAAATAAAACAAAATCAAGATTTAAAAACCACAAATCAACCAAAGAAAATAAATCAATTAATTAGACCTAGAAGAATAGTCCGTTTATTTTCTCGCTTCCTTTAGCCGCAGAGGGCACTCTTTCCAGTCATATAAAACCTGTCTTGGCTTGTCCGTGGCCAGGTCGTATACAAGAGCGCATATCCAAGGAATTTCTCGGACTTTCTCTAAATGAGATTTGGACGCCCACATTTGAATACCTGAAACATACGAGCAAATAAAATACATAAATTGTTCGGTATCAAAGGAAACAAAAGTCTCAAAGAGGTGCATAAAAAAGGAAACGGAATCTCAAATAAATGAAATAGAAAACCAATCCCCCACGCCAGAGAAACGCCTAACTTGGCAGAAGCTTGGCAGTCCTCTGGGCGTAACATGGGCCTTATAGAGTATTATTCTAAGGCCTTCATTAATGCCAGATAACTTTTACTTTGGTGTTTATATGACCCTTGCCTGACTCGCCACATAAGTGCCGAAGTGCGAAACTTGAGCCACATTAGCCAAATGACAGCAATACCACCAGTAGTGACATCCTAGAACTGGCACCCTTTTTCCAATTCAGGCCGAAGTTACGACATGGAAACAAAAAAAAAAAAAGGAAGTGAAGCCTAGTCGTCGAACTTCTTTTGCCATTTAGGCCCAATCATGCCACATCACAACCCAATTGATCGTAGTGAAGCCTAATCTCGGCACTTGTTTGAGGGGCCAAGATGCCCGGACTCTCCAAAAAAAGTTAAAATTTCGCACCACGTTGGCTTTTTCAGGCTTTTAAGGCCCTAAATTCCCAGACATAAAACCAATTTTGGCCCAAAAAATTGTACTCCTTAGATATGATAGACCCTGCATTGTAGTTTATTAGTGTTCTGGTGGCAATTCAAATGCTGTGAGACATTTCGAGTGACCGTATTACCCGGCCGATTCTCTCGAAAGGGAGCGTCAGATGTCGCGCATATTAGAGCTGGCCAGCATTCACGTGAGATTATTTCAGCGTCCAATGAATATTTATTTTACTATTTTTAAATCACTTACCAAAGAATTTTGATTTTAATACAGCACAATTCATATAATCTGTATAAAGCAGCTCAATGTCGTGCCATATATAGTTTTCACCTGCAATAAAAACAGGTTAAGTTGCCGTGGATCATATGCAATGCAGCTGTATAATGAAAAGTACATTTAGTGTTCGTATCTCATTCAAACAAGAAAAGAAATGCAACTTGAATGTTGTTTTGTTGATTTCTACCTGTCTTAACAAGGATTTGTGCGTATAAGCTGTTCGGCATAGCGTTATCGCTTACAGCACTTTAATAACAGTCTTATTTTATTAAGATTTTCATGACACATTTTTTCTAAACTTAAATAAAACGCACTGTACCGGAAGGCACTACTTATTACATTGGTGTTTCTGCAATCTTATCAAAGTGAAGCTTTTCGAAGAGAAGCATGAACCTGTTTTTGACTATGCATGAATTAGACTTTCCTCAACTGCACTACAAATTTCTACCATTCATACAAATGCGAACCTATGCTTGAGCAGGCATTGAAGCAAAACATAGTATATAAGCCTGTAGGCAGCAATGAGAGTTTCATTAAGACGTAAAGCCACGGAGGAATTGTTACTATTTGTTTCATTAAAACGTTTTGTAATTTGAAATAATTTAAGCGAAATTTCGCAGTTAAAGGGGAAGGCGCACGCTTTCAAAAGTAAAGTCTTTTGTCACAACGAGCTTAAGCGGAATGCCTTCGTAGAACTTTTTAATTTAAAACATAATGAAAAATAACAATCACAGAGATGTCGTATTTGGCTCGATATTTTTATTCGCATCAAAGTTTCTGCGCGGAAAGTAATATTTTGCAGTCTGTAAGGAGTTGGTTAAGGTTCAACAAATCTGATTGAATTGGTTTACTGTTATATTACTTTTTTTTCGAGTCTAAGTTTATGATAATCTCTTGAGACAGATTGTATCGGAGACAGTTAAACCTGAATCTTTACTTTCTTTAAAAACAAGTGTAAAGTGATCAAATTTATATCACTTTTAAATACTTTCAGACACCCCTCCGCACTCGTTATCCACCAAAATGTTGAATCGCAACATTTACTTATAGTAAGCAGGCAATCGTATTTCTTTTTAAATATCTTCTTTTTCAAACCAAGTTTTAACATTATCTTATTTTTGCTATGAGAGTTTTATTTGTTCACATTTTGTATAGCTTTGGAGCAAACTTATGCCTAACTTGCGTGAAATTCTTAAAAATGAAAACAAAATATTCGTAAAAATAGTCAGAGTGCAGGCGAGCTGGTGTAAGTTAAACTTGACTGTAAATCGGAGACTTGGGTTTGAAAAGGAAAACGAAAAGGAAGACAGAAAAAAAGATGACTGTCTTCCTTTGCATTTCCCTTTTCTACCCAAGTCTTAGGTTTACAGTCATGGTCATAAAATATTCATTTGTTAAAAATGCAATATTCTCTATCTAATTTGCATGGTCTTTATGTTCTTAATCTTTTCCCCTAGGAAAATTTTTTTCTTGACCTATAGTAGTGATCAATCAATCAATCAGTCTTTATTTTTGGGCTTATAGCCAAAGGTAGCTTGCAAAAGCATACAAAAGCATACAAATCATGCAAAAAGCTGCCAACGGCAGCTTGACGGGGTCTGGGCCCGTAATACTCGTTAAAAAAAAACAAAAAAACAAACAACGTTGTGCACAGTGCATATAGAGGTATCTTAATATTGCGGCATTAGACAGGTCTGCTTAAGATAAAATCTTAACTTAAAAAAAAAAAACTACTTAAGCTGAGAACACACCGAAACTAAAATGTGGTGGGATGAATATTATCCAAATAGTGGGAGGACCAACTTTACAACTTTTGTAAAATATTTTGTTTCAGTATAAACTTCTGGGCTCCTAGATACTTTTTTTTTATTTTGCAAGAAACAAACAAAGCAGAAAAATAATCTAGTTCAATCTCAGTGGCTCTCACCCCACATGCCACATCCCACACATAAAATAGGTCCTAGATGAATTTTCTTTTTTTCAGCCGGTTAAAAGTCAGTTGATGACGATCACACAAGTGGATGGCTGTAAGAATAATTACGAATAAAAGGAAATACCAGGAAATCAATGCGCTTCGTAAGCCTTGGGCGTCCTAAGCTTAACCATCAACACACGATTCTCGTGACTCTTGTCTGTGGCGTAATCTGATGATATGCAAACACCTACCCTCGTGGTATTGCACAGAAAACACGTTTGGGTGGTTGTAGGCATCATCTTTCGTCTTAGTTTTCACCTCCTTAGTTCCCGTCAACCTAGAAAAAAAAAAAAAAGAAACAAGCTCGAAGCGCGATTTTTTTTTTATACTGCGAATCATTTGTTTTTCATTGATTGTCGCACACGAAGAAGGCTTTTTATTAGTTTTTTCTATCGTTTTACAGAACCAGGCTTTCTCAACTGGTGATGTCTCCTCTCCTACACATGAGTATGAATACGCTTAAGACAGGAATATTATTGATTATACAAATTGTGAACCTGAATCTGAGGGTGAATGGTCCACTTCTAAAGATGTAACACTTAAAATTTTTTCAGATGCTTGAGAACAACCTGAAATTAGTTTAGAAAAGTGTGCTTTAAAATTTCTTGTTATCACCTAAGGAGCAGCATTAAAGAAACGTTCGGCTCTTTGCGCAGTTTGACCGACTTCCCCTTATATTGTGCTTTATAATAGTTGTATGAATTTTTAAAATTATTTATTAGTAGACACGTTTAACGAGTAGGAACTTCCTCCTGCCTAATCTGAAACCTTATATAGAATAATTATTTTTCAAAAAATGGAGGCAGATAAAGAAATTGTAGAATACTGAGAAGTTATAACCTAAAGTTTGGGAACATAGTCGTTAGAATTTGCAAAGTCAATGAGTTTCAGAAATATGATAATATTATGAGGAAGTCTATTTTTGGTTTTGTTTCTCAGATACATTCTTAACGCCATGGGCTAATAGCAAAATTAGGGGAGAAGACACAACGAAATGCCTACCCAGTTCTAGTGACGTCAGGCTAGCAGTTACCAGAGTCGCTGTGAGCTTAAGAGAAGCAGAGTGTGGTGAGTTACGAGCCAATGAGATAGCGGCTTTAACCGACCAGAATGCGAAAGAACGAAGTACGAAGCAAAGAGCGCGAGCAAAGTAGGTCATGTCGTTTGTTTCTTAAGCTACCAGTGACTACGCGGCGTGCACGTTCGTCTGCTTCTTGCACAGGGGTTACGGTGATGCCGGAACGCCGAGCCCTTCTTGGCTGATTGAAACAAAACAGCGGGTAAACCTCAAGGCATCCAGCACTGAGGTCTATCCACTATCCTTTCAGTCAAAGTCAATCACTGCTTGACGTCGTTCTGACGTCACAGTCACTCCTGCGCAAGAAGCAGGCGACTTGCTCTACGCATTGGTACTGGAAAGTGTGAGATATGTATTCATCTAGAAATATTGATTTCCCATAAAAATAAAATGGCAGACAAAACAAAAACAAAAAAAACAACAACATTGTTGTGCTTTCAGCTGATCTCTCATATTCGATACTGTGGTCATCAACAACACAGAATAGGAAACAGCCAATAAGCAAAGAGCGTTTTCCAGCGAGAAGCAAGGCATGCTATTTAGTGTAGCTTTTCTTGAAAGTTTTGATTATACCATTTTAGTGCGGGAGTACAAGTGCTTCGTGGTTGTGTATTCAAACAAATATCCTACCTTAGAGAAAAACAGCTGCCATCAATTAAATTATATATATTTTTAAAGTGGTGTAGATATTTGTATTGACGCCTATCACTCATGGGTCCACCTTTATGGTTAGTCGCCTAACTTTTGACACATTGATTAAACGATTATTTGGCAGATTAATAAATTAACTGTTCAAATCAGCGTTCTTACGGGCTAATGCAGCGGTCCCATTGGCTGCAGAGCAATAATAGGGTAGTAGGAACTGTTTTTAAGTTGTCAGTGTCTCAAGCTATATATTTATTCATCCTTAAGCTGACAGTGCGGTGGACGCTGCGTGCTTGCTGAACCAGTAATACGTGTATCTTTCGGGACGTGACCACACCCTCGCCCCAACCCGCCCCAGAAAAAAGGTTCAGGTGATGAAAATGAGACGTTTGATTGATCGGGAGAGAGCGTAGCGCCCACCTTTCTGTCAGCTTACAGATGAACGGAGTATAGAAATTCACTTAAAAACCTTCAGACGCACATATAGTCGCATGATGTTTAATCTAAGAACCAAATGTTCTTCAAATGTCTTCACGCCGCGTAAGGACTATGCATAGAACCCGCTTTACTTTTAATGTCAGGAAACGTCTAGATATAAAGTAGAAAGACCTACGGTTCCACCTTTTTTTGTGCTAGAAAACAAGAACAACTAACTACTTGATTATAAACATACTCACGTCACTGTCGTATTTGATGCGTATTTGTAGACACAATGACCGCTCTTGCTCTGTTTATCCAACGTTGATTTTTGAACGTTGAGGCATGGAAAAGTGTTACTCATGTCCAAGTCTTTCGAGTAATAAACGAGATAAAATATGTCCTTCAAATCTTCAAGGAGCTGAAAAGTCCGACATGCTAATTTTAAATAAATAGTAATTTCATTTAAAAATACAACATTTTAACCCACATGGGCAACTGCTTCAACATTCAAAGTGAATAAGAACGGTGCATGGAAAAGTTAATGTGTTTAAAAGCTAGCAGCAGCTTCCGCGACAACACGCGCAAAAATCGCTCAGCACATGTGTGACTGCCATAGTCGTTTACAGCTTAAAAAATCCTGGGCATGGAAGGTGGCGAGCACGGTATTATTGCTCCTGGTGCAGTGATATTGCGGCATGTGCTGGTAAGAATGCTGCAGAACGTATGAGGAAGAAAGAACTATAGCAATTTATAAAACATAATTAGGATTTTATTCACAATATCGAATAAAATCTTTTCACGAGAGAAAGTTCCCTGTTGTGCTTGCTTCTGTATTTTTAATTTAATTTACATAAAAGTGTAATCAGACGTAGAACAAAAAACATTTTAAATTTATACTGATAATTTACGGCCTACAACAACAGTCCTCACTGAAACACGCACACCAGTAACAGGGAACCACTCTAAGCGCTGATCGAGCGGTGCCTTTTTACTGGTATTGTTGTTTTATAATGAATTATTCTTGTGCGCCGTAAATTATAAGTATAAATAGCCAACTCGCCGAATTCTCCATCTTAAGATATTTCATTCAGATTTATTCTGAAGCTGGCAAAATCAATGTTTCGTATGTATGTAACCACGCTGATTTCCCTGCCATACCAACGATCACACTGATTAAAATTTGGGTATTTATAGAATCTAGAAAATATTGTGCTTATATGGTTAGAATCAAAACCATCTAAAGGCGATACCGTTCCGATCTTATCACTCGCAAATGCTTTTTTTTTTAGATTTGTTTATTTTTTGGTAATTTTTAAGACGTAGCTTCGCTTATTTTCTAAGAATGCAATATCACGGGTGCTTGTAGTACACGCATCTTCGTGAATTACGTAGTATAAGCTTTTAGAGCGCAGCTCTTAGGGGCCCGTTTCCGGCTTGAGCGGCGTCGGCGTCGCCGTCGGCGTAACCGCGAGGTCACGTGACCCATTCAGGTCACGTGACACCCCTAGGTCACGTGACCCCCGAGGTCACGTGACCCCCTTAGGTCACATGATCCCCCGGAAGTCACGCGACCCCCTGAAGTCACGTGACCCCCTTGAGGTGACGTGACCCCCTTAGGTCACGTGACCACCAGAAGTCACGTGACTGCCTTGAGGTCACGTGACCCCCTAAGGTCACGTGACCCCCTGAAGTCACGTGACTTCTGGGGGTCACGTGATCCCCTAAGGTCATGTGACCCTTCAGGTCACGTGACCCCCGAGGTCACGTGACCCCCAAAGGTCACGTGGGCCCCATGAGGTCACGTGACCCTATGAGGGTCACGTGACCCACCCCAGGTCACGTGACACCCCTAGGTCACGTGACCCCCCGAGGTCACGTGACCTAGGGGTGTCACGTGACCTCGGGTGTGTCACGTGACCCCAGAAGTCACGTGACCCCCTAGTCACGTAACCCCCTTGAGGTCACGCGACCCCCAGAAGTCACGTGACCACCTTGAGGTCACGTGACCCCCCTAAGGTCACGTGACCCCTGGTCACGTGACTTCTGGGGATCACGTGGCCCCTAAGGTCATGTGACCCTTCAGGTCACGTGACCCCCGAGGTCACGTGACCCCCAAAGGTCACGTGAATCCCTGAGGTCACGTGACCCCCGGAGGTCACGTGACCCCCTGAAGTCACGTGACCCCCCTTGAGGTCACGTGACCTCAAGGAGTCACCTATCCCTCAGTACGCTTCCATCTTCCTCCTCAAGAGCTGCGCTCTAACCGGCGTTACAGGGAATTGTAAACGGCTTTCATTTTTTTCCACTTTTGTTTACAGCTAATTAGATATCCGGTGTGACAAAAACTCAGGAACTAAGGAATTATCTCGCACTCGCGTTCGTGTAAGTTTGCTACTTGCCCCATCCTCCCATTTTCTTTTCTGTATTCTCGCATACGCCAATAGTTAAGGTCAATCTATATCATGACATCAAGGCTGTGTTACAAACCTTACCTAAATAGATGCTCTCGTCACCCAGGCACGTAGCCAGGGGGACGGCCCATAGGGCCCGGCCCCCCCCACCCAAAAAAAAAAAAAAATCTTCCATTTTGCTGGGACTTCCTCTCCCTCCTCCCCCTCATGCAGCATTTTGTCGTGAGCGCCCCCCCCCCCCCCCCCCCCCCGAAACAAAATCCTGGCTACGTGCCTGTCGTCACCTATGGAACACGCATGTTGAAGCGGAGAATGCGACGTTCGAACAGTTTCTACTTCTCTAGAGCACAGTCGATGAAGAACCAACGAAGCTGGGGCATTGCACGGCATTTCACTGCATGGGACTATGCTTGAGCGCTGGGTTGTTGTCAAGAATCGCCGATGCGTGGTCTTTTATGTAATACCACCATTTTTGTCTGGTATCACGGGTTTTGAAAGGCCATAATGTACCCTTCATAAGTTTAGAGTGCAAAAGAGGATTGTGACATTGAGTGGGATACTGCGATCCATGCACGAGACATTATATTGGTTCGACTTTGCAAAACAACATCGCTTGAATTTTCTTGGGAACCAAATGAAATGTATTAAGGAGTGTATTTAGGAATAGCTACCGACAGAGACCATTTAGATTCGCTAGCCTCACTTGATTCAAGGTTGGCATTTATTTATTTATTTATATATTCATACTGTGGGCCTATTGACCGTTACAGGAGCGGGTTTCTTTATTTATTTCAGTTTACCCCGCAGCACCAGAGGCATTATAGCAGGGGGGGGGGGGGTGTAGTACGTTTGCGTATAAGATTATATGGTACTTGCGTACACAGTGTACAAATAAGCAAAAACACAAGCTCACAGGTGAATATACACTTGCACAGAATCAACCAAACACGGGACAAAAAAAAAAAAAAAGTTCGAGTGTTACAAAAACAGGCACGAGCCTCTCCACTCACATCAACCACAATAGAAAAAAAAGAAGCACACAAATCAATAACATAAAAAAAAACTCAAAACAGTGCAATACAGTGGCCACAGAACCCGGCTTATTTTCCACAAAAGAAGGTAAACGTAGGGGAGACATTCTATTCTCTTCATTCATGACTCCTGCCCAACCATCGCGCGGTAGTCTGTCGTAAAAAGGAGACTCGGACACGATGGAAACAGTTTCGTCAGAAAGTTCATTCTACTCTTTTATGGTGTTAGGAAAAATTGAATATTTAAAAATGTTGGTTCGGGCTGTGTATCCTCTTATTTTCTTAGAGTAGTCCCATCTTCGAGAGATAAGGTGAGGTGGTTGTATGAGCTTCGGTTTACTAATACACGTACGATCATGATATATTGCGTGAAGAAACTTCAAGCGCAGTCGTCGTCTTCCTGAGCATAGTGGTTCCCATTCTAATTGGTTTTCAAGGGCAGTAACTCTTTCTCTGTAGTTATAATTTCCTGTAGCAAATCGAGCTGCTCTGCTCTGAACTTGCTCCAGTTTGTTTGCGAGACAGCGCTCTTTTGGGTCCCAGAAAGCACTGGCGTACTCTAGGATTGGTCTTATGTTAGATGTATAAATGGTTGCTTTTACATTCCGGGAACATTTCTTAAAGGGCCGTCTTAGAAAATTTATCATGCGGTTAGTAAAATACCCAATTTTTTAAAGTACACTTCCGCGAATGAGACATACAATATTGATTCAGACATAGATGCATTTAAACATATATTAGTATCAGTAAAGTAAGGAACAGAAAAGAGAAACGAAAGGACACTGGATTATATACGATTATATATCGTTTGGCGAGGCCTCTCAGGCTGACTTCAAAACCTTCAACGGTGTCACATTCAAATACATCTTGCAGTAGGTTGTTCCACTCAGTTATGGTCCTCAGATGAAAAGATTACTTTAAAAGGTCGATCCGGCCTTTCATCGGCATGAGCATTTCAGTATGACGTTTTAGAAGTCCTCTAGTAGAAAGAGACTCGAAATATCTCAGCGAATGTATGTTTAACCTTTCCTTTTGTATCAAATAACGCATTTTTTTATTTGGCAACTCTCCTGCGTTCATGAGCATCGCACTGACAGTTGCATGAGCATCGCACTGACAGACTAGCTCTGTTCTTCAGTATCTGGATGTGATAAATCTTTCAGCTCTCCTTTGTACCTTTTCTAATTTTTCAATCTCATTTTTTTAAGACAAGTCGTACAAATGTTGTAGGATGTTAATTTTGCTTCATCTGTTGCTAATTTGAGGTCACGGCTCAAGAAACACAATTTTATTTCTGCGGTGCTTGTCAAATTGTCGACATGGGATTTCTAAATAATATCGCTCGACACGGTTACACATAGTAACCCTAAAGCGGGGGGATAAAAAAGGGACGGACAAACATGAAACTCCGCTATCCCAGATAACGAAAGTGTCTGGAGCAAACTAAATTTCTGCGGCATTATTTTATCGTTGGAACTGTGTACGGGCCCCGAAATTCCCCTGAATCTTTCTTACAGGATATTCAAGACTATCTGTCAGTCCCTTTTTTGTTATTGTCTCCTCGCTTCAGGGTTACCATGTCGGTCCTTCACAAGCTCGCCTGCCTACTCGCTTTAATGGTTACACAGAGGTATATTAAATATTGGTGAACGCGATTGGACTCTCGTAAGGTTCATAACAAAAAAAAAAAAAAAAAAACAAAAAAAAAAACAAGAGGTTTTTAATTTTATTTGTAATAGGTAAAAACACTTTTTTTTTTGGGGGGGGGGGGGGGGGGTAATTTGCACTTTCGACCGCTTGCATTACTCATTTATAGTCCCTAACGTCGTGTTCAAAGCGATCTGATCTTCAGGGCACACAATTTTGGAATAAATTAAACAATCATCTGGGAATAACCGAGTGGTAACTTTAGAGCTAATTATTATCTGTACTACTAATAATATAACTTATATAAGGTGACTTTTAATATAACTATTAATAATATTTAATATAATTATAACTATTATTAATATAACTTATATAACGGACTTTTAATGTATTATACCTAGCACGATTAACTTCTTCAAAATGGGTACAATTGGTGAGTTAAGCTCTGATTCATCTCATTACTGGTACATTTAGTCCGGTGCCTACTAGCTTTTTAATGAAGTGTGCATGTGGAACGCGATCGAAAGCCTTTGAAAGGTCCTCGCAGATTACATTTGTTTGTCCGCTCTCATTTAGCGAAGTCGCAAAATCGTGTATAGTTTCTGTCAGTTGTATGACTCGATAGCCTGAGCCAGAATCCGTGCTGGTGTGGGTTAAAGGCGTTTAAACGCTCAAAGTAATCGAAGAGGTAACCCGATAATACGTGCTCTAGTATTTTGCAACAAACGCGGGTAAGGGAAATTGGACGGTAGTTTTCAATGTTATGTTTGCTGCAAGTTCTATGCGCCGCAGTAAGTTTTGCTGTTAGCCAGTCGGTAGGAAAAACGGGTGGTTCTCATTTGAACCCGTTCGCATTTCTACCTTCTCGTTTTTACCTTCTCATTTCAACCCAGCGCAAAACAACTTTCGCGTTTCTCCCTTTACCATTTAAACCGTTCTCAAAACAAACTTTCGGGTTTGGACCCTTCTCAAAACGACTTTTCTCATTTTAACCTTTCTCATTTTAAATTTTCTCAAAACATACTTTCTGGTTTTGACCATTGTCAGAAAGACTTTTCTCATTTTAACCTCTCTCATTTCGAACCCAAATTAATCCAGCATCATGATCTTGCAATCTTTCTGCGGTATTTATGGCGAATTCGGGTAATTAATTGCCTTCGAGCCCTTGCCTGTGGCACCGGCGAACAAAAACGCGTCAGTGGCGCATCACGTGACCCACTCCACCCGAATGCAAAGCACAATGAACTGGCGTTTTTATTTGACTGGGTCGCGAGTGAGCTCTGTTAACTTCTTCTTCGATGATTCTATGGTACCATGAGCACGCTGCATACGCCAACAACATAAACTACGACTCTTTGAGATGCGCGTAAACAGAAGCGGCTACACAAAACTTTTCAAAATATTGGCATTACCACAGTCCGTACAGCTGACAGAATATTAAAATATAAAATCAATGAAAGGGCAGATGTATAAATCAGTGTGGTGCTGCCTGCACGCGCGTCAAATTTCAATAAACTTCGTTTGGATTTTCGATTAACTGTTGCCACGGAGGCTTGCCAGCGTCGCTTTCCATATTCTGATTACTGTTAGTAGAGAGTTTTAGTAGATCGTTCCCATGACTCCGATAACGGTACCCGGTACTCCGCCACCGCCTCCCTTGCGCATGCATAGTATCGTTATCGGGGCTATCGGGGGTATCGGAATGATCTACTAAAACTCTCTAGTACCTTTTTTGGAATCCTCAGTCTTCTCATTGCACCCACCCTCCTTGAGATTGTAATGCGTGTTCAAGTTTCAAACTGCATCACTATGCAAACTTTTTTTTTTCAGCGGTGTAATAACTTGTTATTACAGAGTTGTAAAATAAAGTGATGTATGATGCAGCTTGTGTCTCAGAGCAAACATACCTTGCTCAGGTTGGATAAATTCTTCCAAAAATGTTGACTTTCTTTGAAACATAAATTATATTCCTCTTCGTTGTTTTTGCTATATTGTCTCAGAGCACAAAAGGGCGTCTGTCTCGATGGCTTCGTTTGCCACTCGAACCCGCTATTTGCCGCCTCAGCGAGCATTGTTTCGTTTGGTTCCCTATCCCGATTCGGATATGACGATATCGGATACAGTCTGGCAGACAAGCTGCCCGACCTCTTGGAGCTCGGGAAAACTTCTGCTGGTAAATTGCCGGTAAACGCCTGAGAAGCGCAACCCAAAAAGCTTGCACCCGCCAGCCTTTGACCACGCGAACGCCCTTGCCGAAGATAAGGGAAAACTTTTTTTCAGGGAAAATGAACACCCGAATTGGCCATTACAAGCAATAACACACGACTAGCACAATGATCCATCCGCTCCACACGACTACACCTTACGACATACAGCGACAGAAGAGAAATGAAGTACCGAATCTGCGCTAGCACTTTTGAAACCACGTCACCATGTGACCACGTAGCTACGTCAACAGACTCGGGGTGGCACGCAGGCATAAGGAAAATTGTTTCATGTGCTATGCAAGAGATGGTGCCGCTTCGCTTCATCTTCAACCTTCATCCTTAACTGTTTTTCCTTTCTCTATACCTCACTACGGAGTTCAAATGACAACGGGTTCAAATGAGAAAGGGTCGAAACGCGAAAGGTTAAAACGCGAAGGGCGTTTTGCGAATGGGTTCAGACGAGAAGGGTTCAAATGAGAATGGGTTCAAATGAGACGGGTATAAATAAGAAAGGGTCAAAACGCGAGAGGTTAAAACGAGAAGGGCGTTTTGCGAATGGGTTCAAAGGAGAAGGGTTCAAATAAGAATGGGTTGTTTCGAGATACACCCGGAAAAACATGTCGGTCCAAGTGTGCGCGGAAGATGATTGTCCGACATTCGGACAGCCAGTCCGCATAACGTTTCAAAAATTTGTTAGGAACATTATAAGGCCCTTCAGACTTATTACAATCAAGGTTCAGCAAAAAACAACAACAACAACAACAATACCCTGTTGTGATATACAGATATCAAAGTCAGCTTGAGACCCTCCACAAGCGCGCTTTCCATATACTGTGAATCACCAACGCGACTAAAAAAACACAGTGAGAAAACTTGTATCGGAAAGCCATCTCACTAGGATCAGAGATAGCTTCATTGTTCGCGAGCACATATTTTTGCTTACATCACCAGCTCTACTGAATTCCCATACGTAAATGGGTAGCTTTCTTTTATTGCGTTGCAGTGAAACGTTTTTCATGCACAACGACACACGCTTATGGTCCAACCGCCCATCTTCCATTGATACTGAGTAGCCTGATTCATGGCCATCAAAAAAAATAAAATCGAGTAATGATCCAGCAGTTTTTCCACATCTCGTAATCTCGTTTACAATTTGAACAAGTTCATTTCTAAACGTAATGTCCAGAAGAACTTCCGAGCTTTCTTTTTTTTTTTTTTAACATATGTTGACACCGTTTCCAGCCAATCCCAATTTATTTCTGGAAGATTAAAATGTCCCGGAATAATAACGCGAGAGTTGACCTGAATCTAATTTGTTAAATAGTCCTGAATAGCCTGTAAGAAAGAGACATGGGAATTCGGGGGCCTGTACACAGCTCCGAGAATAAAATAATACAACAGAAATATGTGTTGCTCCAGACACTTTCGTTATCTGGTATATCGGGCACTCGAACTAAGTCGATACTATCAGTACTATAGCAACGCCCCCGCCACGTGCAGTGCGGTCATTGCCTATCATTTTGTACTTGGGGGATAGTGGAAGCAGTTCACTATCTGTCACTTCAGGGCGCAGCCAATTAAGTTCAACCACATCCGGACCGCAGGTGATAAACAAGAGCTCTTGATTCCCAAATTTGCTGGCTGTACTACGTGCGTTTACATTAATCTGCTTGAATTCCCCGCTCGAGTTATTCGACTGCCATTCGGATGTGCTTCGGTTTGCCACGGATGAGGCGAGTTTTATCTTACAACTATTTTCGTCATCCAAAGTATACAATTTATTATCGATCACAATCTTATCGTAGACGAGTCCTACTTACACCCCCCTAGCTCTGTCGCCTCTTGTGATCTCCGATAATTGCTTTCGTTTTCTTAAGGTGCGGTAAAATATAATCCAAAGGAGCGGTATGTTTACTTCACGCAATCCATGTACTTAGTATTTCTGCTTCTCTACTCTGACATAACAAATACCCGACACTGCTTCAATGAAGGAGTGTAGGGTAACTAAATTAGTTCGACTTAATATGTTTTGAAGAAACAGTATAGGAAAAACTTAATTACCTTCCAAGCGTTGGGTGGATGCAGCAGAAGACGCTCTATGCCTTTTGGGAAGCATTTTTGTTCCTCCATTTTACCGAATGAGCAATCAAGGACTATGAAGGCGGTGAATAAAAAAATATACATCGGTTTTTTCTTTCCGTTCGCACAAGTTTGTTTCTACAACGTTCCGAAATTCACAAGCTTGTGATGTTGAACGAAGTTTCAAGCTTGAACAAACAATGAGGCGCTTTCGGCGAACTTCTGACATTTAGCCAGTGTTGCCAGAAGGCAATGTCGAGATCCGCCCAAGCTGCATGTTGTGATATGCGCCAACTGCTTGTTAAAAAAAAAAAAAAATCTCCAGCGCTCAATGTAAAGGCGCTTCGCACCTTTATATGAAGCGTTGGAGAAACTTTTTCTCATCTATTGTTATACTTTTATATATATTTTTATTTATTGTTCTTTTTTATATTTTCATAGTCACGGTACTGACGTATTAGTATCTGCAGTTGAAGCAATTCAAAATAGATTCGTCCGATTCATACTTACTAATTATCACCGCACTGCCAGCGTAACATCCATGAAATCAAGTTTGAACCTGCCCAATCTTGCATCGCGTAGTGAAGTTTTCCGTTTGTGCCTGTTTCACAAAATCTACCACCACAATCATACTTTGCGTGACGAGCTATTAGCATTTCCTTTTTACATATCACCACGTCTCGATCATCGACACAAGATGGGCGTACCTTCATGTAACACTACTACTTTTCACAATTCATTCGTACCCCGAACCACAGTGTTGTGGAACCACCTTCCAGCGTCTGTGGTATCCATATCTGACAGCGTTGCTTTAAAAAACTTGCCTTAACAATATTCACATTTCAGCGTTTCACCAATATGTACATATTGTTTTGCATTCATAGCTTGTTATTTATTGTATGTTGTTGATTTCCAGTGATGTAACCCGCTCCCCTCTGTAATGCCCTCGGGCCCGGAGGGAACTTTTAAATAAATAAATAAATTGTTATATGAAAGGCTGTTTACCCGCCATCTGCTATTACATTGATTGTTATATGTTTCACATTCACATGTAAAGAATATAACAATAAATGTAATCGTAGATGGTGGGGAAACAACCTTTTCGGGTTATGGGACCCGAGTTTAATGTTACAATATGAAAACTCCAACACGTTAACCTTTTCGTATAGTCTTCCGAAAAAAAAAACAAAAAAAAAAAACAGTAACTGACAAGCATTACATTGCACATGATCGCGTTCCCAGAGAGAGAAAGCAAACTGCGTTGCTAGCAAAAAACGATTTTCAGTTTTGGCATTCACAGAACATTCTCGACTTTGATCGCGGTGATGAGAATACCAAGTATTCTGCGCGAAAGAGCACTGACACGCAAACCTGCGACCAGAGCTGAGCGAATATTATTATGAACCAAATTTGTTAAAGAAGAACTATAAAAAAATGGTTGTTTGGTCTAGTTTTTGTCCCTGGAAACTTTACGTCATTCTGCGCCTAGGAAAACATTAGAGTTATACTTTTTCTACTTACGTATTTGGTACCCTGTGTTAAACAATCATTTTAACTCGATTAGGTCTAGGAAAGGGTCTAGATTGGGTCTAGTGGACGGAATTAAAAATTATAGAGTTAGAATATCGACGTAAGCAGGCAAAGAGTGATGCTGAGGCGGCAGAAACCCAGGAGTTTAGAACATGGATTTCCCTTAGCTTAGTTGCTTGAGGATTGCAGTTTGCATATAGTCAAGGAGAAGTAAGAGTGACATGGTAAGAATTATAAGTAATATCGACATTTCAATACTGGCGTACAGAAGGCCACAAATAGCATAAAAATAAACGTATTTCAGTCGACCGTATTTTATCATTTTCAGTTTCATAAACTTATGATTAGCTATATACACTCTAAAAAAAGTCTGTGCGTCTACTTTCACGAACAATACTCGGAGAACCAATCAGCGCAACTTACGGAGGCAGCTCAGCGAATGACGATGCAGAGACATATGTTTAGACTATAAAACGCAGACTGAGTTGGGACATTAGGCAATGCAAGCGTGACATTTTGCATTGCTTAATGTCACAACTCAGACTGCGTTTTTTGGTCTAAACATATGTTTCGGCATCGTCATTCGCTGAGCTGCCTCCGTAAGTTGCGCTGATTGGTTCTCCGAGTGTTGTGCGTGAAAGCAGACGCACATACTTCTTTTAGAGTGTAGAGCGTGTTCAAACTAACTTCAGTCAAGATTTAAATTATTTCGATACATTTTAGGAAGACGAAACCAAATGAATAAGTTTGTTAAATATTTGGAGCATGTCAAGGTATTTTTGTATTTTGCGTAATGAAATAATTAATTAGAATTAATTAATGAACTTTTGAAATGTTATATATAGATCACAAGTTTAATTATAAAGTTGTACAGCATCCTCAAAAACATCACATTCAGTGATTTTATAAAGAGTATCCTAAGTTAATTTTTTACGGGCTTCGAAAAAAGCTCTCGTATTACGAAAATAACATGTGATTTTGCGCTCGCCTTCCCTAAAGGGGCTTTAGAGTGCCTTGTATTGTATCGCTCACAACCGTGGCTTGAACTAACTAGACCCAAGTGCGGGAGAGGGCGCTGTTGACAGGGCGCTGCTGACAGATTCGCGCTCTTAGTCCCGAGAAGTGTGCGTGACGCCCTTTTACGGCAAACCGGGGTGACGTCACGCTGAGGACAGAATTTTTTTCTTACTCGCCCCGCCCACGTTGTGGAGGCTTTGGTGACGCTAGCTGCGGCACGCTCATTTCTATTTACTTATAATGCGAAAGCATTAACTGTCCCATGGAGCGCCGCCGACGTTGTCTGTGACCGCGAAAAACGAGCAACTAATGCGACGCCAATGGAGAAAATACCAGACATTTATTTATATCTAACAAAACGTGAGGGCGCAAGTGAGCTGGTGTATACTGAACATATTAAGCAACACGAGACTGAGAAAATACGAAGTTTACATCACGACAAGCGAAGGAAAACGTTTTCCTTCTCTTATCTTGGTGTCACCTTTCGTATCTACTGAGTCTCGGGTTTCTTAAATATGTTATTTATATCTGTTTACATTGCTCGCGCTTGACCTCCGCTGGATTCGGATAGTATTTTAATAGACTCTACTGGGGTTACCTGTGGGATATTATATTATATCTGTCAAGTAATGTACAACAAACGTAAGTGAATGGGTGTCTAACCCCTTATTAGTCCCTCCTCAAATATGAATGTTTTACAGGGTCTAAAATTGAGATCTAAATCAAGTTGTCCTAAAGCCACAAATAGCAGAAACCTTTCTTACGAAAAGTATCACCCTTCACCAGGGATGGGCAGTATTTCAAATACAAGTATTTGAAATACGTATTTCAAATACTTTGTGTATTTTGCATTTCTATTTAATTACAAATTGGGTAATGTATTTGACGTGTGTATTTAAATACTAAAACGTGGGTATTTCAAATACAATTGTAATTAAATACAATTTTGTGGGCGAAAATACATTCTCAAATTTATTGTTACTGTCCAGAGCAGGAAGAAAATTACGTTCTCCACCGAATGCAGTGTCTCTCAATCAAGCACAGGCGTTTAGTGACTTTGTGATTACGGTGCTAGTTCAGGACAAGGATAGTGACGAAATCGACGTTCACAGGCAGACTGGCTAAATAAGCGCCTGTGACAGCTTGTGATGCTTTCCAGCCTGATTTCCGTCCATATTTTTGCCTGGAACATTTTAAGTGCGCGGGTCGTCCAGATTTTCGTAACTAGTGCGAGTTGCAACAATAAAAAATTCTCTAGCTAGTGCTGCGCGTCTTGGTCGTCTCGGTTCTTTGTTGGTCTATACCAAAATGTAATCGACAAAAAAAGCTGCTTGAAGCTCTGTACTTTTTTCACCTAGTACGTCCAAGCTGATTACATCTTTTCTGTGATTATATTTGTATTACGTTACTAGAGCCTCGCACACTAACTCCCGAGTGTGCGATGCAAAAGTAAAATGAGATACCCAAAAACCCGTCGCAGGTGCCCTGAAGTCGCTGACGCAAATTTTGAAGAATGTATTTGGAAAAGTATTTGGAGGAGACCAAATACATTTGGTTGTATTTGTATCTTGTATTTAAATGCTTTTTTGGAAATGTAATTAGATTTGTAATTAAATACATTTTTGACGAAGTATTTTGTATTTGTATTTCGATACATATTTACATGTATTTTGCCCATCCCTGCCCTTCACAGATTCCACAGTTCCTGCAACTAGTGCAGCATCTTTCACTGGACAGCCGTTCGAACGCTTGCGGTTCCTCTTGTTTTTCTCTGTTTTCAGAGTCCAACAGTAGAGGTTTTGGAGGCTGAGGAAGAATTGGGGGGCCTGACGCAGTGTATATTTTTATCTGGAAATGACAATTCTAACTAAACTGTGTATTTTCCGAATACACAAGGTTTTAATGAAGACAGCAAGTCAGGAAACTATAAACATTCCAAATGACAAAACTATATTGCTGTGTATATTTCCGGCAGCGCAATACAACATCTCATTAATGCTACTCGGGGCAATTCTGACGTTTTCATTGCTACAATACAAACACATTTTCAGTAATTGAGCGTGTTCTGAAAATATAAAACATGCCCACATACATGTACAAACTATATCATTAATTCACAAAAAAATTATACTTTTAGAAAACAACCCTGTTCCATGAGCACTTCGATGACCTTCAGCCCTACCCAGGCAGCGCAAGACGCCGAGATGACATCGAAATAAGGTCCTAGACGTTGGGCGACGTCAAAATCCTTAACAAACTTTTTATCGACGGCATTGGTACGTCCACATGAGAGGTTCCGACAACGTCGAACACGCAACATAGTAACGACGTCATGAGCTTCACCTCGACGTCTTCAACAGTAATTGACGTCTGTTGAACGCCTTGTATGAGAAGTTCTTTGAACGTCAAGCACGAGACGTAATAAAAATGTCCTGAGCGACACCTTGACGTCTTCGATATTAATCGACGTCAGTTCTACGTTTTCTCCGGGAAGTTACTTGAACGTCGAGCACGAGACGTCCCAAGAATGCCTGAGCAACAGACGTCATCGATATTAC